TGACGTGCACCAGACAAAGCGGGAGCGCAGGAAGTTCCAACAGAAGACCAAGGGCCAATCGGAATGTGCCAGCTGCGGAGGCAACCATTCCCGTGCCAAGTGCCGATTCAGAGATGCCATCTGTCGGAAATGTTCCAGAAGGGGCCACATCGCTAAGGTCTGCCGATCGGCTCCATCTGACACCCCCCCTTCACCGACTCGCAAGTCCAAGTCTTCACTCCAGTTTGCCAAATAAAGCTGTTTCGCTCTCACCAACTGCCGCTGCCCGTCTGGAACCACGATTGGCCAAACCGACTCCCCTAAGCGACACAAGCTGAATGTCACGGTGCTCATTGAAGGAGCTCCATGTGTCATGGAGATCGACACCGGGTCTGCTCTGTCCATCGTGTCTTGGAACACCATCAAAAGACTGGTACCCAGAGTGTCCAAAAGGCAACTCAACTCTCACCGCGTACACCTGAGAGACTACCAGGGAAACGACATTCCCGTGGTAGGCGTTGGCCAGTTCCGGATCGCCTTCAAGGATTTTTCGGGCCTGCTCCAACTGGTGATGGTCGAAGGTCAGTGGCCAAGCCTCCTAGGGCTAGACTGGTTTGATGCCCTCAGCCTGGAAGTCACCGGCATCAACTGCATCTCTAACGCAGAGACTGAGGGTCTGGTCAAAGACTTTGCCGAGGTTTTTGATGGCACTTTGGGGCAATATACAGGTATGCCCATCTCCTTTAGCCTTGATCCACAAGTCGCCCCCATCAAGCTAAAGCCACGCTGGGTTCCCTTTGCTCTCAAGGCTAAGGTGGACGAACAACTGGACAAGATGATTGCCCAAGGAGTTTTGGAGCCGGTTGACCACGGCAAGTGGGAAACCCCCATTGTCACGCCTTTCAAGCCGAACGGGTCGGTGAGAATCTGCGCTGACTACAAGTGCACGATCAACAAGGCACTTCAGCAGCACACTTACCCGGTTCCTGTTGTTCAACACCTGCTGCATTCCTTGGGTGAGGGTAAGGTCTTTGCTAAGCTGGACCTTGCCCAAGCCTATCAACAACTGCCCGTCAATGATGCCACTGCTGAAGCCCAGACGATCGTCACCCACCGAGGGGCATTCCATTGCCGCCGTTTACAGTTCAGGGTGAGTGTGGCTCCTGGCATCTTCCAAAGCCTTATGGAGTGTCTCCTGTAAGGGCTTCCAGGTGTGGTACCATATTTTGATGACGTTTTGGTGTCCGCAGACTCACACCAGCAGCTGTTCGAGCGCCTCCCGAAACTTTATGGGGGACATCCCTTGGGTGCCAGCCACAGCGCCGTGCTGACCAGGTTCCAGGAGGCCGGGCTCAAGGTAAAGAAGGAGAAGTGCCAGATTGCCGTTCCACAGGTGGAGTTCCTGGGCTATCTTATCGATGCCTCCGGCCTTCACCCGACCACATCCAAGATCTGCGCTATCCAGCAGGCCCCCATCCCAAAGAACAAGACGGAGTTGCAGGCGTTCCTGGGACGGCTGAACTTTTATAACATGTTCCTGCCCCACAAAGCCATGGTGGCTGAGCATCTTCACCAACTCCTCAGCACGAAGATACCTTGGTCCTGTGGTCATCGGGAGACGGCGGCCTTCAACGCTATCTCTGACTGAACGGAATTACAGCCAGCTCGACAAGGAGGCATTGGCACTTGTGGCTGGAGTGAAAAGGTTCCATGAATACCTCTACGGCAGGACTTTTGACCTCATCACTGACCACAAGCCGCTTCTGGGCCTCCTCGCTGGTGATCGACCAACTCCACCGGTACTCTCGCTGTGCATGCTGCAATGGACTGTTTTCCTGGCTGCCTACCACTACCGGCTCATCCATCGCCCGGGGAAATCAATGGGCCATGCCGACGCCCTCAGCCGTTGCCCTCTTCCAGCATTTATGGAAGACCCGCCTCCTGCTTCATCGCTCCTCCTGATTGAGGATCTTCCGGCAGTGCCTGTATTGGCTGCCCACTGTGGCCTCCGCATCTGCCCAAGATCGCACCATCAGCCGTGTGCTCAGCTGGGTGTGGAGGGGGTGGCCACAAGGGCCTTTTGCATCGGAGTTCCAGGCCTTCGCAACCAGACAACACGAACTCTCGGCTCATCGCGGCTGTCTGCTGTGGGGAGACCACGTCATGATTCCCCAAAGACTCCATCAACACGTCCTTGAGGCTCTGCACGTTGGCCACCTGGGAATCGTCAAAATGAAGGCGTTGGCTTGGTGTTACGTCTGGTGGCCTAACATGGACGATGCCATCACTGCCTGGGTTTCCGCCTGTCAAGCGTGTCAAGAATCGAGGCCTGCACCACCGGCAGCGACGGGACACACCTGGGAGATGCCCAAGACACCCTGGTCGAGGGTGCACATCGATCTGGCTGGCCCCTTTCATGGCCGGACCTTTATGGTAGTGGTGGACGCCTATTCCAAATGCCTAGAGGTGGCCCTGATGCCCTCCACCACTACCGAGGCCGTCATCCAGGTGCTGCAAGGCCTTTTTGCAACGCATGGGTGTCCTGACGTACTTGTCTCCGACAACGGTCCGCAGTTCACGTCAGGCACTTTTGAGCAGTACCTTTTGGGACTGGGCATCCGCCATGCCCTAACGGCACTATTTCATCCATCCAGCAGTGGGCAAGCGGAGAGAATGGTGCACTTGGCAAAAGAGGCACTGGGGCGCCTGGACCGGAGAGACTGGGACGAGCGGGTCGCCGAATACTTGTTCGTGCAACACATCACCCCTCATGTGGCCACAGGGCGGAGTCCTGACGAACTGCTTACGGGCCGCCGCCTCAGGTCCCCGCTCGACCAGCTGCACCCGGACTTTGCCATGGCCGAACCCCCAGGCTGTGCCAACGCGCCACGGTCATTTGTTCCAGGAAACCAGGTCTTTGCCCGGAACTTTGTGGGGGACATCCCTTGGGTGCCAGCCACAGTAGTGGGAGTCACTGGACCTCACTCGTACCAGGTGGCACTCGAAGACGGACGCTTGTGGCGCCGGCACATAGACCAGCTTAGGCACAGGGTTGGGGACTTGGACACTACTGTGGTGCCCCCAACTGCGCTCATGGCTCCGGAACAGACACTTACAGATGGTGAGGCTCCACCTACACCTCTCTCGCAGACTGCGGGCGTGGAACCAAACCAAGCCACTTCAGAGGGTCTGCCAGACTTCCCACAGACTCAGACCACTGCCATGCCTGACATTCCGCCAACTCCACTCGTGGAGGTTCCACCCACAGCAGCGGATCCAGGGGACTTGGTTTCAACACCACCTAGGGTCGCGCTACAGCCTCAGCAAGAATTGGGCAGCCCACCGGACCGGGGTACTGCTCCCCAGCAGTCTGGCAGAGTTTCCAAGTGCCCAACTTATTTAAAGGACTATGTTGTTGGACATGTATCACTGTTGGTCTAAGTATGTGAAATGTAACTGATATGCTTTTGTGCCTAATTGAACCATTACGTGTAGTGCTGTATATAAGGAAACCATTACGATTGTAACTAACGCCTTATCTCAGAGGGGAGGGGTGTTATGTACTGAAGTTCTCACCCTGGGCCAGCAGGGGGATACTGTAGATAGTTATGCAAATGAAGGATCGAAAGTGACGTTCAGTGATAGGATAGTTTTAGAAAGTTGTTACAGGAACAAGGTACTGGAGCTCTATATAAGCAGGCTGACTGAGGCCTTCAGTTCAGTTCTGTTCCACGCTTACAAATAAAGAGCTGCTTTGGAGAAATTGCTGTGTCGTCTGCTATGTCAACCCACAACTTAACAGTCCTCGTGGTCCCTTCTACAATTCTGTGATGGTGCACAATCTGGAGTGGCACTTGTTAGGAGCAAGCATAGGAAGCAGCCTTATATGGAGTCAGACCCTGGGCCCACCTAGTTCACTGACTGGCATCAGCTCTCCAGGATTTCAGACGGGGAGACCAACCCTGCCTGGAGAAAATGGTGATGGTTTCAACCCTGATTGTTGAAAATGAGACCTTCTGCATGCAAAGCGTTAAATTACTCTTGCCACTTTTGTTGTTGTTTAGTCGTTTAGTCATGTCCGACTCTTCGTGACCCCATGGACCAGAGCACACCAGGCACTCCTGTCTTCCACTGCCTCCCGCAGTTTGCTCAAACTCATGATGGTAGCTTCGAGAACACTATCCAACCATCTCGTCCTCTGTCGTCTCCTTCTCCTTGTGCCCTCCATCTTTCCCAACATCAGGGTCTTTTCCAGGGAGTCTTCTCTTCTCATGAGGTGGCCAATACCCCAGCAACCCAATACCCCCCACAAAAAAACACACAACACATTTTAAAAGGGCATAGGATAGAAATTGGATCAACCAAGGGCCTGGTTAAAAAGGAATGTTTTTGCCTGGCGCCTAAAGGTGTATAATGAAGGCGCCAGGTGAACTTCCCTGGGGAGAGCATTCCACAGACGGGGAGCCACTGCAGAGAAGGCCCTGTTCTCGTGCTGCCACCCTCCGGACCTCTCAAGGAGGAGGCACACGAAGGAGGGCCTCAGAAGATGATCTCAGGGTCTGGTGGGTTCATATGGAGAGAGGTGGTCCTTGAGGTACGGCAGTCCTGAGCCGTTTAAGGCTTTATAGGTCATAACCAGCACTTTGAATTCGGTTTTATTTTGTCAAGCTACAAAATGCTTTTAAACAACCCGCAACCAAAAAAAACAACCCCCGACCCCATTTCTCTTTTGAAAAGCCACAAAAAAATATTCCTGCAGGGAAAACACAGTTATGATTCCCTGCGCACAGGACCAAAATTATGTACGTCACAACTCCCACTAAGTTACACAACCGCTCTCCTTGACTGCATTTTCTCCTTGACCGAAAACGGAGGGAGGATGCTATTTGTGCATCTGGAGACAAACTGTGCCACCCATGGACAGCAGAAGTTTCTCCTTGGTGGGTTTGAAGCCTGGGGGTGGAGAGTGTTGTTCTGGGAGGTGCTTGGCTTTGCTCTCCCTGCCTGCCCCACCTCCAACCATGAATGTTCCTGGCTATATATGCACCAGGATGGGGGCCCCTGCACCCATTTAAAAATGCTAACTGCTGCGCTCCTTGTTCTCCTCCTGCTGGTTCTAGCCCTGCTGACAAGGCGGCATGGGGGGTTCGGCTTTCCGAAGAACTCGGGGAGGCTGCCCGGGCCTCGGGCCTTGCCCTTCGTTGGCAATCTCCTCCACCTGTTCCATCCTGACCTTCCCATCCACTTCCATGACTTGGCTCGGCAATATGGCTCCATCTTCCGCCTTCGCCTTGGCAGCAAAGGTAAACCAAAGCAAAAACTTGTTCACCAAGGCATTGGATAGCTTAGTCACAATTTTACATTGTCTTGCCATTTTATTGTCTTAGGACTCGTCCACGTTTGTTTGTCCCCTGAGTCTGAGAGGTTTTTATTTCGTCCCAGGGGAAAAACACCCACCCACCCCGCTGTTTACTGCTGAATCAGAAGAAACTTCGGTTGGGTTTTCTGCAAATTGGCTTTTGTTCCGATTCAGCGGTAAACAGTGGGTTTTCTCAGGGAAAGTGGTGAGACAACTGACAAATCTCTCAGACCTCTGCCTATCAATCACAGGACAAAAGGAAGTGTGAATGGTTCTTACTGTAGTTTGGGGTGGTTTTTTTTTGGTGTGTGGGGGGTATTCTTGTGTGCATTTTCATTTTTAGAAGAGGACTCCCCTCCCTGCTTCAATGGTTGCTAGTTCTCTCTTTATAAAATTTACCAGCTAAAATGTTTATTTGTATACACAAATGAAGATTTTGCGCAGAAAAGGACATTACAATTGCTTAAAATAGCAATTTTAAAAATATATGTGTGTATAATCGTTTGTCTGTTAGTATTTCAGTTATTGCCTTGCTTCTGCGTTTTAACTTTTTAGAATATCACATTTGTTTGCCCACTTTTATGGTTGTCAATTCTCTCTTTATAAAATTTACTAGGAAAAGTGTATATTTATATGCACAAATGAAGATCTTGTGCACAAAAGGATATTGCAATGATTCAAAATAGTAATTCTTTTTTTAAAAAAATATGCAATACTTTTTTTGTTAGTATTTGGTTATTTTCTTGCTTCTGCATTTTAACTTTTTAGAAGATCATGTTTCTTTTTCTACTTGCCACTGTTGCCTTTGATATTTTTTTTAATAGCCAATACATTTATACATGGTCATAAATGACAAAATTACACACAAAGGTTATTACGATAATGCAAAAGTGTTAATTTTTTAAAAAGAAAAAGTAATAGTAATTAGAACATACATCAAAACTTGATTGGCGTTTGTTAAAATTCAGCAGTGAACAGTGGGTTTTCCAGGGAAAAGTGGCAGGACAAAAGGGGGAGGGGGAGACACCTCTTAGATGTCTGGAAATCACAGAACGAATGGAAGAACCTTAAGTGTCCTTTAGTGTATCAGGGTCTTTTGAAGTGCATTTTTTTTTAAAAAAAAACATTATTAAAGTCTTGGCTTTTTCATTCTTATTTTGCATGCCACCTTTTGAATAATACAGAGAAGTGGCATTTCAACTATTAAATTCTACAAAAATGAGGAACTATCCAATGTTAGACTTTATTAATTTCCAAAGCTCTGCTTGAAGTGTGACCGATGTTGCATACCACCCATAAATGTTTGCATTAGGGTCCTTTTTCTGAACAGAAAAAGCTAATTATTCCTCCCTCATTTCCCTGATATATAGAGACACAGCAAGCCCCCATAAACCAAGTCATACTATTGGTCTCTCTTCCTCAGTATTGTCATAATAATAATAATAATAATAATAATAATAATAATAATAATAATTTGCACTGCCCATCTGTCTGGGTTTCCCCAGCCACTCTGGGTGGCTCCCAACAGAATAATAATAATAATAATAATAATAATAATAAAGTGATAAAATATCAAACATTTCAAACTTCCCTTTAGTTGTTGGCAGTGCCTGTCCTGGGTTTCTGGATAAGGAATCTTCTCAGCTCTGTCTAAAAATGCCAGAGCTTGAACCTGGAATCTTCTGCACACAAAAGAGATACTCTAGATCCCTCCTCTGGTTCACAGCTTCCTAATTACCCTGAACAGTAATTAAATCAACGAAGCTGCTTAGCCTAGAATTGGCTATATACATATATACAGTAATTACCGTATTTTTCGCTCTATAACACGCACCTGACCATAACACGCACATCGTTTTTAGAGGAGGAAAACAAGGGAAAAAACATTCTGAATGAAACAGTGGATGTATCATTTTTGTGCTTCATGCTGTGGCCACAGACATGTGATCTGATGGTGAATTTGGGGTGACCCAATGCAAAAATCCTGAGAATTCCTGTGGATCCATGCTTTGTAACCACGTTTTTGCACCATTGCAGCCCCAGGCAACAGTGGGTGCGTGATTTTTTTTGGTGCAGGCTGTAGCCATGGACATGCTATGTCATCTGATGGTGAATTTGGGGTGACCCAATGCAAAGATCCTGAGGATCCATATGGATCCATGCTTTTTAACCACGTTTTTGCACCATTGCAGCCCCAGGCAACAGTGGGTGCGTGATTTTGGGGGGGCAGGCTGTAGCATGGACATGCTATGTGATCTGATGGTGAATTTGGGGTGACCCAATGCAAAGATCCTGAATCCATGTAGATCTATGCTTTGTAACCACATTTTAAGTGGGGAGCAAAGGAAAAACAAAGAAGGGACATGAGAGGGGTGTGCAGAGAAGCAGCTGGCTAAGAATGCAGGAGAGGGAGGGAGGAAAGAAAGGCAAAAGTTTCCCCCCACCCAAGCCAGCCATATCTCTCTCTCTCTCTCTCTCTCTCTCTCTCTCTCTCTCTCTCTCTCCTCTCTCTCTCCCTCCCCCCCTCTCTCTCCCTCTCCCCCAGCAGCACTGGAGCACAGAGAGGAATTAGAATGAAAGACGCTCTCTTTCCCCTCTGCTTGCCTGGAGGGGAGGGGCTTTCCCTGCTCTTTGTTCCGTTTCAGCAATCACAGCAACGAAACAGAGGAGGGTGGGCAGTAAGACCCTGAGGCAGAATGCAGGAAAGCAACCACTTCCTCTTTCCAGGTTTCCCTTCTCCGTGAAGCGCGGTTTGATTTTTGTCTAATTTTTTGGCTCCAGGAACCACACATTCGCTCCATAACACGCACAGACATTTCCCCTTCCTTTTTAGGAGAAAAAATCTGCGTGTTATAGAGAGAAAAATACGGTATTTAAAATTCAGTGTCACACAAAAAAGTCAAAAAATACATCCTTTTTTAAAAAAATGTAAAGAAAACTGAACCATCTAAGGGTGTATAATCAATACCCATGTCTGAGATTCCTAGTTCTCCTTTAAGTCACCAGACCACAAAATAACAGAGCCTTGTGGCACCATAAAGGACTGATTTATTATAGCATAAACTTTCATGGGTGACTGTCTGCTTCGGCTGGTGAATCTGATGACAGACAGCTACATCTTACGAAGTGGGTCTGAGTTAACAAAAGGTTATGGTGTCATGGATGTGTAAAGTCCTTTAATGTGTCACAAAACCCTCTTCCTTGTTTGTTTTTTTAACCAACATGCCCTTCAGAATCCAGCTGCCCCTCTGCAGTTATTTAAGGTGCCTGGGTACGCTTCTCCATTCCATAGCACGGCTGTTGATTTCAGTGATCCCAAATTGCTCCAATAATTCCCTATTTAGATCTCAGCCTTCCCATGTGCTGGCAATTAAAATCACGGCCAGTGTTTAAGCAGGTATAATTCCTGCGCTTGCATGTTTGTTTGGAAATGGGTGCTGTTTTTTAAAAACTAAAATAAAAAAATTAGCCTCATTAGCATAGCTTGAGAGATGCATCTTCTGACTGGCTAAATGATCTTGATGGCAAATTAAGTAATAATTCCTTGTTTTGTTTCGCTTTGAACTTTGGTGGAACTGTCCATTCTGCCTTAACAGTGGCTTCCCGCTTCCCGTGGTTTCAGGCGAGGTGGGATCCTTTTATCAGAAGAGAAGGCAGGGATTTGATTTTTTGATCTACCACTTGCCTAGCCTAGTTTTTCAGTGGCTCTGCCGGTTGGGAATGCGGATCAGGCGCTAGATCCGGGACGGGAAAACTGCGGCTCTCCCAACGTTACAGGACTCCCACTCCCATCACCCCCTGTCCATTGGCTGTTCAGGTGGGGACTGATGGGAAATGGAGTCCAACAAGAACCTGTCTGCGCTAGAGAAAGCGGGAGGGGTCTCCCCGGAGTTAAATCTGATGACGCAATAAAAACATAAGGGCATCCCATGCCCTAAACTGGCCAATGCACCAACATTCATTGGATTCTAGTCGCGGTTAAGTTTTGATCATCATCAGCCCAGTGGAACAGGGAGTCAAGTTTACACAGGAGGGGGAAAAAACAAAAGCAGACTTCTGATAGTTACTGAAACGAATCGCTTGGTTTCTTCATATGTAAAGTTTTAAAAGTATTACTAAATGATCTGAAATGGAATTAGGAATGATCTAAAATGTCTGGGGTCCCTTTAAAATGTATATAAAAAATGGAAATCTCTGATAGAGACTATATTGATGTATATTCATGGGCAAGTGGGGTCTTGAACCCTGGTCTCCCGGGTCCTTGTCTGCAACTGCCACACCAAGACCAAAGCAGAAACCTTCCCCACACTCCCCTTTTCCCTTCTATGAAGAAACCCTTTCTGGGACCCCACATTTAAATTCTTCCCTGGTCTCCTTGCTGGCCCTAGTAGGACCAACTTGGCCAGTTAGCCCGGGTGATCATTTGATGTCTACTGACTGGGCCCCCCCAAAAAATGACCCCTGAATTTTTGAATTTTATTGATATTGATGCTGCATTTTATGTTGTATCTTATGTTGTATTTTATGCTGTTTTTAAGTCACATTTTAATCAATGTTTTATATTTGCTGTTAGCCGCCCTGAGCCCGGTTTTTAAACCGGGAAGGGTGGGGTATAAATAAAAATTTATTATTATTCTTATTATTATATAAGCAACTTTTGAATTTATTTTTCTTCTTCTTAGACATGGTGGTTCTGAACAGCACGGATCTGATTCGGGAGGCGCTGCTGCGGAAATGGTCTGATTTTGCAGGACGGCCTCATGGATTTGTTGGTAATTGTAACCTGGTTGAATGGGAAGATATACACATAACCCTGGTTGAAACGTAACAACCAGCCATGACTGCTTAAGCAAACACGGATCAATCCTTGGTTCATTAGCCTAGTTTGCTCACTAATCAGTCAGAAAAGAACTTAGTCTCCTCAGTTGGAGATAATGAGAAACTACAGTTTATTCAAAATTGCAAGCTTTCAATTCCCTTGTCTTGTATGGATAAGGGCAGAGGGAGAGATTTGGGCTCATGCTTGCAACAGCAAGCCATAGTTTATTGTTACATCTGAACCTGACCATAGAGTCAAGGAAGGCCTGGACTAGAGCAACACAAAGCCCTCACTTCCTGTTCCCATGTGAAAGCAGAATCGTGACAAACATTGGCAAGGAAATCCCTCTACCGTACCCCCTCATGCACCTTCCTGGAGCCAGTTTTAGGTGCCTAGTAGTGGTGGCAAATCAAAATGGCTGCCTTCACTTGGAAACAGGAAGTGCCAATCAAACTGCGTTTTGACTGGGAAGCTTTGTGTAAGCTGTGGGCTTCAGGTTGACCCTAATGGCCTTGTTCTACATAGTGGTTACATTATGTTGATTCTCCCACAATCAAACACTTTTCATAGCAAATACCAGTGAGGTAATTTTCTTTCATGCCTACCATGGCAGTGACTCCATTTCTGAATATGTGTTCTTTCTTCTCCCTGAATTGTTTTTTCCCAACAGGCAGAGCAATTCCTCCCCTTTCTCTGGCACTATTTTGCCACCCTCCTTGCGTATTTTTCCCTGGGTGAATGAAAACATTTTAATATTACAGGTAGTTGTAAAATATGGAGCTGGGAGAGAGGAGCAGCAGGAGGAGAAGCAGCTCAGGGCCCGATTCCAAATAGGGGTGAAAACAGGATCCATATTCCATTCTGTCTTGTTCTTTGCTGCATGTAGACCTGTTTCCCTTCTGCTGCAGCTTGTCTTCTGCCAAAACCAAAATATGTCATGTATGTTAGTTTCTGTTTCTCACTGAGCAGCTGCTTGGAGTCACAGGACTCTGTTTACATTCAGAGACCTTCCAGTCTCATGGGAAGGGAGACGGGGTGTGACGTTAGTGGTTTCCTGTTTCCTTTGTTCCTTTGTTCCTTTGTTCAGTTGCTCTCTGCTTTCGTAGACAGAGGATGTATATTTCTTTGCTGTCTGCGTAGTAAGAAATAAAGCATAGCATGTAGCCCAAACCTCTCGTCTCTTCCCTGTGCTGGGAACTCTGCTGAATAGAATGTGCCTTCGAGCCTCATCAAAGGCTTGAGGTCGTTATACGTCGGGAGGCAATTCGAAGGCTCGGCCGAAGGAAGATGAGACTTTATCAGCTTGGCCGAGCGGAGATTCCAACAATGTATACAGTTCATCGTTGACATTACATTGTTCCATCCCAATCATTTCAGTGCACAGGCAATGGAAATCGGGAGGGGAAACAAATAAATTCTGTATCATTTGCAGACTGTAAGCAACAACAGCAAATCCTGGCTTAATTGATTTCCCTTCTGGCAATGGGGCCAATGAACGAACTCCGGTTTCTGTTCCGGTTTCCATCACAATTTGCTGGTGTGTGATTGCATTCCGCCCCCCACCCCCCGGGAAAGAGCAGCAGTCTGGAAGCATTCCTTCTCTCCCTCCTACTTCTCGCCCTGCAGCAGACCTTGTTTCGTTGGGAGGCAAGGACCTCTCCTTGGGCAACTATACGCCGACCTGGCGTCTGCAGAGAAAAATGGCCCACGTAGCTTTCCAGCGCTGCCTGCGAGGAAACATGGAGCAGATTGTCCAGAGCCAGGCTCGTCAGCTCTGCAAGGTGAGATGCTGCAAACGCCACCGACTGATCAGGATGGGCGGCTTGTGCATCTTGTGAAGCCGTCTCTCCGGGGCCAGGACTTCCGCTTGTGCAACAGAACTTCCCCTCCCCTTTTAAAAAAACAAAAAAATGTGGAACCTCTAGCCTGGGCAATAAAACCCAGAACCATGTTGTTTTACTTTATGTCAGGGGCATAGCTGTCAACCATCCCTTATTCGGCGGGAAACTCCCTTATCCCAGCGCCGTTTCCCACTGCTGTCCCTTATTGATAATGTCCCTTAAATTTCCCAGGTTTCAAAGGAAGCAGCTCCTCTCCCTCCCTGCCGGCCAGGGAGGAGGGAGGCTCCAACTGTGTTGCTTGGCTGCGTTGCTCTCCCAATAAGGAGTCTAAGAACGACTGGGGGGTGGAGCTTGCATGCCTTGAGCCCAGCCACGTTGCCTGGGGACTCGCCTTTGCTCAGCGCTTGCCAGCGGAGAAGTGACGGTGGTTTTCCTTGCTGCATCCCCTTTGCCACGTTGCTGCGCTGTGGGAACCACCGCTTAAGGCTTCGTTTGGCTGCTGGCTGGGCTTTCTGCCTTTGGTTCGGAGGGGCTCATAAGTTAAACATACCTGTGCTCGGAATCGGATGGATGTGTCATCGATGGCCCACTCACCCTTGCCGGGGAAAAGGTCTGTCTGGAGCGGGGGCACATGGTGGGGGAAAAGGAAAGGAACTGGTTGAGTACAATGGCGGGCGGCGATCTCGTGGGGGGGGGGGCTTTTGGATTTGTTTTGGAGGCTCCTTCAATTGACTGTTATGGGGGAAAGGAAAGGAGCTGGTTGACTAAAATCCCTTATTTTGGCTGCTGATCCCTTATTTTCAAATCTGTAAGTTGACAGCTATGGTCAGGGGTAGGGAACCTTTTTCAGACTGAGGGTAGCACTGCGGGTCACATGCCGTTGGTGGGCAGAGCCAGCGGCAAACGTGGGCGGAGCAACAGAGACGAACTTTGTATGGTGGGCTGCGCTTTAGCCATCCAAAAGTCAGGGGTTTCTGGGTGCACCTCCAGGCAAGCGAAAAGCATCATCACTCTCTAAGGAGAGGGGAGAGTCCTGAGCAGCGGTCAGCAAACCTTTTCAGCAGGGGGCCGGTCCACTGTCCCTCCGACCTTGTGGGGGACTGGACTATAAGCCACCCCCCACGACTCTCCCCTCCATTCTCCACAGCACCGGACAAGCCCCGGTGGCTGCTTACCTGTGTCTTGCGAGCGGCAGGGGCTGGTGGCGGCAGAGGGACAATGAGCGGTGCATGAAAGGGCTCCGGAGAGGGGCTGCAGGGTGGGGAGAAGCCAGGAGGAGGGAGGGAGGAGGTGCCTGCAGCAACTTCTGGTCAGTTTTACCATTTCTGCATATTCCATTCTTCCTTTACTGGCACTTCTGCTTCTTTCCATTTGGGGGCAAGTAGCATTCTTGCTGCTGTATTAGCATACATAAATAAGTTTCTATACAGTTTAGGTAGTTCTGTCCCTATAACTCCCCAGAGAAAAGTTTCTTTTAAAAAAATAAAATAAAATAAAAGTTACTTTGAACATCCTTTTCAATTCATTATATATCATTTCCCAGAAAGCTTTAACCTTACTACAAGACCACCACATATGATAAAAAGAACCTTCTTTCTCTTTACATTTACAACGCTTGTTTGATTTAGATATATCCATTTTTGCCAGTTCACTTTGTGTTAGATACCAACGATATGTCATTTTTGTATAATTTTCTCATAAACCATAACATGCTGTAAATTTTATAACCAAATTCCACAATCGTTCTCATGTTTCCATGTCTATATTATGACCAATATCTACCGCCCAGACGATGCTACATGTTCTAAGGGAAGCCTTTTCCTCTTCTGGTTTTGTCAGGCTTTCCATGGTTATGGGGGCAAACCTGTGGATTTGGCTCAGGATTTCTCTCTGCAAGCCTGTGGGATCATCTGCAGCGTCTTGTTCGGCCCTTTGGTGAGTAGGAACGGAGGAATTTGTCCACTTCAGTCCCCCTCAGTTTCTCCTTTTCCCGTTCTCTAGTTCAGATCTCTGTAAGTGCACATCAGTTTGCAATTTCTCTCTTAAAATGTCCTCATGAAAATTCAATGACATTTGAGTGGGCGCCTAATTTACCCATTTTTGCAATGCATTTTGCCCTAATATAAAACATTTTTGTCTGTCATTTTCACCGATTCATGTATTTTATGCACATCTTATGCTAGCATGTGCATTCTTGCACATTACTTGCCCCAAGAACCGCAATGCAAAATCCAGAGAAGTCCTCAGGAGAATTCATAAGTATTTTAGTGGGTGATTCCCTAATACACTCACGTCCCCTTAATTTCCCCTTAATATACACATACAGATTTAAGAAGAGCCTGGACCTTCTTAGTCCAGGTATCCTGTTCTCACTGTGTGCTATTTTCATGTATGTACATGGATGGGTGGGGTGTAAATAATAAATTGTTGTTGTTGTTGTTGTTATCATTGCTTTCCCACTAAACTGCATTTTTGTACACCTCATTTATCTGGAGAAACGCGCCACAAAATTTCGCAAGGGCAGCTGCATTTCAGTTCATGTTTAGGTAACAAAGCAAATTAGGTCACTGCAGCAAAATGTGTACAGTTCCAAATTTGTCCCTATCCCTATTGCTGAGTCATAAGGTGTACAATCAAATCTCGAATCCTGAACGCCTCCGTTTTGGAACGTTTCGGTTCCTGAACGTCGAAAACTCGGAAGTAAATGCTCCGATTTTCGAATGCTTTTGGGAAGCCATGCCTCGGTTGTTGAACATCTTCCCGGAAGCTGAACGTTCTTCCGGAACAGATTATGTTCAACAGCTGAGGTTTGACTATAATGGCAGGAAATGCCACTGTTGTCATTAGAGTCCCCTTCTTGTTAAATCACCTTTTCTCATGGCTATCTGCTCCGACTAGGGATGGAAGGAGGTGTCCGTTCTAGTCCTCTCAATTTCTCATCCCCCCCCTAATTTTAAATTCAGTTTTCTACATTTTGCAGCAATTTTCATTTTATTTTTTATTTTTTTAAAAACCCCACGAAATTCAGGCAGCATTTTAGTGCAAATGTCACTTTCTTCTTCTTCGGCGATCCCTTGTAGCTGAGTAAGATTGTCTTCCATAAACACGGTTTTAACAATGAGTCCATAAGTGACTGTGGAGGCCAATTCTGGACCCACACGTCCTTCCACAGTGGGGACCTAGGTTTCCGGGTGGGAGGGTTTGCCAAGTGTTCTTTCCTCTTAGCACATTTATCCCTTGCGTCCTGAGTTCGAATGTCTTCAAAGCCCAGGACACCTTTGGTAAAGGCTGTTCTCCAACTAGAGCGCTCGCAGGTCAGTGTTTCCCAGTTGTCAGTGTTTGTACTATAAAGGGATCTAAAGCACAGAGCCTAGGGCTTGCCGATCAGAAGGTCGGCAGTTCGAATCCCTGCGACAGGGTGAGTTCCCATTGCTCAGTCCCTGCTCCTGCCCACCTAGCAGTTCGCTAGGCCACAGTAACTCCCCCCTCTCTCCTTTCTTGGAGGTTTCTTTTTTATAATTTTTATTATTATTAAACATTTCAACATAACAATTTATCAAAAACATATCAACCTCATTCCCCCCCTAAATTTCCCACCCCCATCCTTGAAAAGAACCCACCCTCCCACGCCCTCCCAGACTTCCCTCAGCTCCTCTCTCTGGTTTTTGATCACATGTTACTCTCTGCATATTCTAAAATTGTAATGACCCTTAATTTATCTGTCTATATGTTACCAATAGGGATGCGGGTGGCGCTGTGGGTTAAACCACAGAGCCTAGGACTTGCCGATCAGAAGGTCGGCGGTTCAAATCCCTGTGACGGGGTGAGTTCCCGTTGCTCGGTCCCTGCTCCTGCCAACCTAGCAGTTCGAAAGCACAAAGTGTAAGTAGATAAATAGGTACCGCTCCGGCACAAAGGTAAATGGCATTTCTGTGCGCTGCTCTGGTTCGCCAGAAGCGGTTTAGTCATGTTGGCCACATGACCCGGAAGCTGTATGCCGGCTCCCTCGGCCAATAAAGCTAGATGAGCGCCGCAACCCCAGAGTCGTCCGTGACTGGACCTAATGGTCAGGGGTCCCTTTACCTTTTATACTACATTTTTTTAGATTTGGCTTTAAACCTATTTATCTTTTCATACACAGTTTTACTAATGTATGTACACAGTTTTACACAAGCAGTTTCCTCTGATTTGATGCTAGCAACTTTTGCACACTCCCCCCCCCCCCATATTTGTATTTCTGCCAATCTTGTGTTGTGGGAGAACAGCCTCACAAAAATCGGGCAGGTGCGTACTTTGAAAGAAGGCTGTGTTTGTTGTCACATCTTGCTTCAGAAAGTCTGAGTTTGACAGATTTGCTGGAAATGAATTGACTCTCCCAGCATCCCTCCTGCCATTTGTCTCCGTCTCCAGCCTGACTCTGCACTTTCCTCCACTTCAGGACAATTTCACCATTGAGAAACTGCATGACTGCATCTACAGGATAATGGAAAAGTGGGGTGCAATCTCTGTCCAGGTGGTGGATGCCTTGCCCTTCCTCAAGGTACAGGGGAGCAATGAGCTGGCTAACTAGGGGGGAAACACCACCGCCACCTAAACTTGCCTTGCTTGGCCAAGGTCAATTTCACTTTCTTAAAGAGCATCTCCACCCCATCATTCTGCCCGGATACTAAGGTCCAGCTCTGAGGGCTTTCTGGTGGTTCCTTCACTGCAAGAAGTGAGGTTACAGGGAACCAGGCAGAGGGCCTTCTCGGTAGTGGCGCCCGCCCTGTGGAACGTTGTTATGTACTGAGTTGAATAGGATTCAGAATGCAGCAGTCTGATTGGTCCTAGAACAATAGGGTCCAGAATGCAGCAGTCTGACTAGTCCACAGGAGCCACCCAATCCAGCTCCAGTTGGAAGTGAATCCGCAACCTGATTAGCCTACAGGTGAATCCCGGAATTAGCCAATCACGTGGGGCCCGTTGTGCAAATAATGTATATAAAGCAGACATTCTGGGGGAACTTCCATTCCTCCTCACCACTATGAGCTGAATAAAGAGCATGAAATCCATTCTCAACTCCGAGTCTATTTCAAACGCCCTCCCATCAGGTGTCAAGGAAATAGACAACTATCCGACTTTTGGAAGACATCTGAAGGCAGCCCTGTTTAGTGGAGTGTTTGATGTTTTATCGTGTTTTTAATATTCTGTTGGGAGCTGTCCAGAGTGGCTGGGAAAACCAAGCCAGATGGGCAGGGTATAAACAAACATCATCATTATTATTATTATTATTATTATTATTATTATTATTATTAAAGCAAGTTTATTGACTGGTTCTAGTCAAAGCGCTTTGCTGCACAGCTCAAGCAAGCAGGCTGCATTGGACTTTGCTATGCTGAGATAGCCTGGTTCTCTGCAAAAGTGGGAGAAATAATTGGGTGGGTCTCTGGGTGTTTTGTGCTGAAAATCAGCTACCTTCTGCTTCCCTGACACCCTAGGTCTTCCCCAATGCCAATTTGCGCCACCTGCTCTCCTGCATCAAAAGCCGGGATGCCTTGGTCCAGCACGTGATGAAGAAACACCAGGTGAGCATATGGATGGTGAGCAGGTTGGGATCTTCTTGTGGGGATCTGCAGCAGGAGACGGGGACACTCATTGGCCCTTGATGCAGCAATGTGGAGAAGCAGCACTTCAAGGTACTATGGAAGATGACATCATGCATTTGTTGGGTAGAAATCCAACTGGTGCAGTGGTGCTCAAGGAAGGCCTTTTAAAAAAAAATAAAATTCAAAGATCTTTATTGAAACTTAACATATATACATAATAACCAAAATTCCCAATGATTCCCTCACATGAAATATAATATCTACATTACAACAGTTGCATAATTCATAGAATCATAGAAACATAGAATCATAGAGTTGGAATAGACCACAAGGGCCATCGAGTCCAACTCCCTGCCAAGCAGGAAACACCATCAGAGCACCATTAATTATACACTTAATTATAAAACCCACCACCCACCCCTCCCCCGCAATTCGACTTCTGTATATTTCTTTCTACATTTTTCTCCTTGCATCCTATAATAAATTATTTTTGTTAAATTCTGATTTTTTCCCTTTGTATGTTTTGTTATTGCTTACATTTTTTATCCTAAGCCTATTAACATGTCATTTTTAGAACAATATTTTGACATATAATCTTCGAAATACTTCCACTCCATTCTTAACTTTTAATTTGATTGATATCTTATAATTGAAGTTAATTTTGCCAATTCTATATACTCATTTAATATACAAATCCACTCTTCCTTTGTTGGTATGTCCTGAGATTTCCATTTAGTAGCAATCACTACCCTGGCAGCTGTTGTTGCATATAAAAAGATTGTTTTTTTTCATATGTGGTATGTGGCCTACCAACCCTAACAGATAAGCTTCGGGATTTTTTATCAAGGTTTTTTTTTAGCATTTTCTTAAGTTCCTTGTGTATTATTCCCCAAAACTTCTTTATTTCTCAAGGAAGGCCTCTTGATCCAGCGGATGCTTCTGCTAATGGAAGGGGAGTGGCAAGTTAGGGGTTTGTTTTTGCCAGTTTCCCTCTCCCACCTGCAACCCCCCTGAAAATTAACTCCAGAGAGCCGAGGGACCCTCCAAAACAGGGTGGACAATGGTGCAGAGGACTATTTGTTCATTTATTTGTTTATTACTTTTATATACTACCTTTATCTTCCAAGGAGTTCAAGGTGGGGCACATGGTTCCCCAGTTCCTTCTCACAACAACACTGTGAAATAGGCTAGGCTAGGAGATCGTGACAGGCCCAAGGTCGCCCAATGAGCTTCATGTCTGAGTGGGGAAGGGTGAATTGTCAAGATCCGTCCATTAGTAAAGGACTGGGGGGGGGGGCGGACTTGTGGCCTTCCAGAGCTACATTGGATTCCCATCACATCAACTGTTACCTGCCCTGACTGGGACCGATTGGAGTTGAAGTCCAACGTTAGATCAAAAAGGCCACAAGTTGTCCATTCCTGTGTTAGTGAATGCCTCTGTTGAATGAGAAGGTTTGAAATTCCTCCAGAATGTTCATAACGAGGGAAACAAATACAAGTAGGCCATTCCACAGATGGGGAGCCACCACCGAGAAGGCCCTGTCACATGAACAGACAAAACGGTAGGGTGATTTCAGTGATGGGGCGTGGGGTGGGCTTTTCATGACAGCTGGAGGTGAAGATTAGATTCAGTCAGGGCTCTTAGATTCCCTTGGGGAGGAGTGGGTGACGTCCTGGTTAAGCAGAAACTGAAGAGGTCATAGCATTGGGGTCTCTTTTGATTTTGGAGGAGCTTAAGAATATTAGAAGAGGCCTGGTGGAACAGGCCATTGGCCCACCTAGTCCAGCACCCTGTTCTCATGGTGGCCTGAGGAAAACTGGCAAGCAGGACTGAAGCACAAGAACACTCTCCCCTTGTGGTTCCCAGCAACTGATACCTGGAAGCATTGCTGCCTTGAAGTTCTCCCTTGCTTGGGCACTAAGCCACTTCTGCTCTCTCTCTCTCAGGAGCCCCACAGCACCTCAGAAGGACAGGACATGGTGGACCACATGCTGCAATTCCAGCATGACCATGAGGCTAGTGAGTGCAAGGGGACGGGCCTTGTGCCGGAACACGTCCACATGGCCATTGTTGACATGCTCATCGGAGGTACTGAGACCACAGCAACTTTACTCAACTGGGCTGTGGCCTTTTTGGTGCATCGCCCACAGGTAGGACGCAGCGGTGTGTGTGTGTGTGGCATCCCAAGCTTGGTGGTTCGCTGGGCCACAGTAGCTCCCCCCTCCTTTCTTGGAGGTTTCTAAGCAGAGGTTGGATGGCCATCTGTCATGGGAGTTGGACTAGATGACACTTAGTGTCCCTTCCAACTCTACAATGCCTGTGTTTGTGCAGGGTGGGGTCGGGAGGCTTTCTGTGCCTAAGGGTTGTGTCCCCTCGTGTCAGCCTGGGTCTATAGCAAACTACAGGGATCCTAAATCCGCAGGAATGTTTTCTACTTCCTCTCAGCACCCTGATTCGTTCGTATCTCTGCCACTCCAGATCCAGGAGCGAATCCATGAAGAGCTCATAGCCGTGGTGGGAACAAGCCGTGACCCCACCTATAGTGACCGGGAGCACCTGCCCTTCTTGAACGCCACCATCTTGGAGACCTTGCGCTTGCGCCCCTCGGCAGTCCTTGCTTTGCCCCACATGACCATCCGGGATACAAGGTACCCAGTGTCTGCAAGGCCTATCCTAACATTCTCCATGTGTAGAAGGGAACCATGGGGGCTGCGCTGCTGGACCACCTCCGACAGTGCGCTCCCCGGAGAGCCACACATTGGTGTTGATACCTGTAGGTTCTCATGTGCGAACATCCACTGGGCTGATAGATATCCATGCCAATGCAGTGGACCTCTGAGCTGGTGCCATACAGAGGGTGTCAAGAAGGGGTTAACAGCACAGCTCTTGCTCCCACTTTTATGCTGCTGCTGCTGTTAATTTGATTAGTGAATTGCTTCCTATGAGCATAAGATCTGGATGTTTAAAAATGTGTTCCCAAACAGATGTAGATACGTGGAGAACTGAGTTGGAGATATGGGAAGCCAAATGTTATGGCTTGGTCTCTCCCACAAACGCAAGACAACTCTGCCTGTTAATTATTTCAGATTTATTGCTAAAACAACAAACTAGGACAGAGCTCCTCTACTCATCGTCCTCCCCAGAAGATGGAGTTGCCCGGACTGAGCTCCTCCCCCTTCCCCAGCTTCGAAAACCAAGGTGAGGTTTCTGATTGGCTGCAGGAGCTTCCTGCACTCAATCAGAAGCTGTGTCAGATGCTCGGCTTCCAAAAAACGTTTGCAAACCGGAACACTCACTTCCGGGTTTGCAGCATTTGGGAGCCGATTTGTTCGGGAGCCAAGCCGTTCAACTACCAAGGTACCACTGTATATATATAAAACACCTGCAGTGCAGCATCAGCGCTCCATCTAATCTGACTTCCTACAACGGCCAAAAGGACACCCTTGAGGAGCTCAGAAGCAAGGTATAAAGGAAAAGATCTTTCCCTGCTGTTCCTTAGCAGTAATAAATTGGATTGGGAAGCATAGGGAACTCATAGATCCCATGCACCCCAACAGGAAATGATGCTTGGTCAGTGCCACACGGGATGTTGGGGAGAGCCAGCAGTGTAGTTTCCCCATGGCTCCCTTCTCAGGCCTGTTAAGGCCGATGCTTACAAGGCTTTTCCTGTTTCTAGTGAGGCCTTGCTACCATTGACACCAATGCGGGAGGGAGGTTTTGAACCCAGACCTGATGTAAGAGAGAAGAGAAAGGAGAAGTGGGGTGGATTTCAGAGGCTCAGAGGAGTTTACGCTATGCACTGTACCAGATGGTCAGGGCAGAGAGGAGAGGAAGACCCTGCTGCCTGTAAGATGGCAGATGTTAACTCATTTTTTTGTATTCTCTCCACTCCAAGCTTGTCTGGTTTTTCCATTCCCAAGGGGACAACAGTCATCACTAATCTCTATGGGGCCCATCATGATGAGAGCAAGTGGCACCGCCCCCTGGAGTTCAGACCAGGTATTGCACACTGTGTGTGTGTGTGTGTGTGTGTGTGTGTGTGTGTGTGAGAGAGAGAGAGAGAGAGAGAGAGAGAGAGAGAGATCTGTGTGTCAAGGGCTCACCTGCACTTTCATCGGACACATATTTTGATTGAACTGCATACCGATTAATTGCTAGGAGTGAGCATCGGTATAAGGCAGCTTCCTATGTTCCCAATAAATTTAATTAAAGGTAAAGGTAAAGGGACCCCTGACCATTAGGTCCAGCCGTGGCTGACTCTGGGTTGCGGCGCTCATCTCGCTTTGCTGGCTGAGGGAGCCAGCGTTGTCCGCAGTGTTTTCCGGGTCATGTGGCCAGCATGACTAAGCCGCTTCTGGCGAACCAGAGCAGCGCATGGAAACACCGTTTACCTTCCTGCCGGAGCGGTACCTAATTATCTACTTGCACTTTGACGTGCTTTCGAACTCCTAGGTTGGCAGGAGCAGGGACCGAGCAACGGGAGCTCACCCTGTCGCAGGGATTCGAACCACCAACCTTCTGATCAGCAAGTCCTAGGCTCTGTGGTTAAACCCACAGCACCACCCGCGTCCCTTTAATTACTTTGGCTTTAAATAGAGATAATTCAGGAGAGCGTGAACAGGAATGAGTTGAGGGGAATTGAGCATAAATGAATGGGAAACAAATGGTATTTGGGCAGGGTGCAGATCAATGGAAGAAGTTATCTGGGGTGATCTGGGCGAAAACATGTTGCCTTGACATTTAAATCAGCATATGTAAATTCCATGCAAATAGTGCCCTGGGTACCTGTGCCCTGAATCTTTTGCTTCCATGGGTGGGCAACTCTCTTCCTGACACCACCTTTCTCTTCTTGCCTAGAGAGGTTCCTGGAGGAGGACCCCTCGGGGGAGGCCCAGAGGCAACTCATTCCATTCGGTTGTGGGGCACGGGTCTGCCTGGGGGAGACTCTGGGGCGCATGGAGGCTTTCCACGTCCTTGCACACACCCTGCGGGATTTCCAGATATTGCCCCCATCGCCTGGACACCTCCCTGACCTCAGGGGGTCCTATCGGTTTATTGTGCATTGCAAGCCCTTCAGGGTGAGGCTGGTTCCCTGGGCAGCGGCGTCTGATCTTGCAAAATGAGGCCTCCACTGGCAGTCGGGACGACGTTCAGAGTCCCTTCCGACTCTGCAATTCTATGATGCTGTTATCTTGGGACAGTCACCGACTCTCAACTGAGTCGTTGTGAGGATAATATAGAAGGGGAGGACGGGAGAACTATTTTATGCCACTTTGAGCTCATTGGGAGATATACTCTAGCTACTTGTAGATAGATGTAATAAACGTTAATCAATTTAACCTTAGTGTACATTATGTTAGGATATTTCTGTTCCACCTTAAAAGGGAGCAGGCTTTGTGAGTCACAGAGTCTGCGTATTTCCTGTTCACAGGATGTTTATGTTTTCTATTGCTTTCATTTCACTCTCTGTGCCTGAGCATACCGAAGCAGGCAGTCATGTTTTTCTTTGTTCTGTCCAACGCTGAATAAACTTCTAAATGATACTCTCCTGCGTGCAACTTTCACTGTGCATTATCTGCTGATAAGAGCGTGCATCAGTTCTGGAATGTGGCAAGCTATTTTCTGGAGCTCGTGTCGCTAATTGCTGATACTGTATCAACGGGAGATCGATGGACGTCCGGAGACGACATGGGGGCCATGATGGGCCATATCTCCCTGGCAGTATCCCAACACATTAGACTGGCTTTTTGTGGTTTTTATAAAAGATTTTATTTTGCTACAAAACAAATGGGGAAAAGTACATATTTTGTCTTCACAAAATCTTTTTCACAGTTTTTTAGAGTCTTTTTAGAGTCTTTTAGAGTATTTTTCACAGTTCAGTTACATGTAGGGAGAGACACTTGAGTCATGGGCATCTTGCGATTGGGGGAAAAGAGAGGGGAGGGAGAGTGTTGTACTTTAGTTCTGTTTCAGTGTGTTAGTGTAGGGCTTTGTGTCAGCATCACATGATAGATCCTGTGTATCACACAATAAATATTGCTGCAAACATTTCTGAGATCATGGTCTTTCTAACGAGTGGCTTTCTAACGAGGTTTGTTAATTGTCCTACTTTAAATGTTGTGAGGATCCTATGGCCTTTTAAAATGTGTTTTTTGGGGTGGGGGTTTATTGGGTTGTTCTTTTAATTTTGATTATGTATCTTGTGGTTTTATATTTTGATTTTATTCTGTGAACCGCCCTGAGATCTCTGGGTATAGGGCGGTATATACTGTAAATTCAATAAATAATTATAATTACACACACACACACACACACACACACACACACACACACTATCCTGAATTTTTAGATCACCCAGGTCATTGGGTCTTATGTTTTAAAGCAGGGGAGAAGACACATTTAGTCCTCAATATATTGCTTGACCCCAACTCCCAACATCCCTGGCGACGGGACCAATGAGAGTTGTAGCCCAATGACACCTGGATGGCACCAGGTTGGCAAAAGCCTAGGAGACCAGGGTTCGAATCCCGACTCGGCCATGAAGCTCACTAGGTGACTCTGGTCCAGTCCACTGCCTCTGAGCCTAGCCTAGGCTCAACGGGGAGGTGGCAAACCACCTCGAGCACCTTGGAGAAAAAGGGTGGAGTGTAAATTAAATAAGTAATGCTTCTCCCTATCATGGCCACCCACTCATTCACACCCACTTTCCCTCCGGCCCATAGAGGAAAGCAAGAAGGCTGTGAGGAAGGTCTGCCCTGTGTCCGCTGCTGCTTGGCTCTGCCCCATCCTCCACTCCCTAAGATTCAAGAGACCCGTAATCAGTTCTCAAAATCAGTTCTCAAAAAGCTGAGCCAAGAACAGCCCTGCAGGATCAGGCCAATGGCCTACCTTGCCCATCAACCCAGTGCCCGCAAGCAGAAAATAAGGACAGCAGCCCTACTCTCTCCCCACTTGCGATTTCTTGCAGTTTGTATTTACAGGCATTGACTGAGCCAAACACCCCTTTTGCAAATAAACCACCAGCAAAAGAAAGACGCAATTCTTTCTCTATCCTTTTTTCCAAAATTTATTTTTTATTTTAAACGTTTTTCTCACAAGGATCTAAAAAATAACATCCCCCCCCACCAAGCGCTTCGTATAGAGAAATTTTACCCTGATGCACCCCCCCCAAAAGTACCACTGTACAGCCTGCCCCTCCCACCCTGTGCAAAGATCCTGCCCCATCTCAGGTCAGCGACAGCTTCTGCCCAGGAGCAATGCGCTTGCGCTGCCCTCACAGGGGAGAAAAGCAAACCCTGTTTCCCCCAAAGTGCTGAGGACACGTGCTGCGATCCAGGGGCCTTGAGAGAAGCGCCAACTGCATGTGCGATTCTGTTTGCACCTCTTTTATTCAGGGCTCTCGCTGGAGCCACCCAGGACGGCAGTCGGAAGGTGCTGAGTGCACAAGGTGCGTGCCGGGCTTCTGACATTTGTGGAGAAACGACAGCAAGAAATCAAGATCCTGCCAGGGAGATTGGAAACACCTTGTTTCTTGCCACCCTAGTTCTCTCTCTCCCCCTCCACCTGCCTTTCATTTTCCAGGCTTTAGTTCCCATCTTGGCCCAGTGCTAGAGCATCTGATTAGCGTGCAAAAGGTCCCAGCCCCCTCCAATGGCCTCTCCAGGAAGAGCTGGGAGAGATCCTGCCTGAAACGCTGCCAGTAGATTCAGAGCTTGATGGACCAATGTTCTGGCTCTGTATAAAGCTGCTTCCTAGGTTCCTTATAACTAAGATGGGCTCTCTCTGGAGCAGGAGAGGCTGAGTTGCGATCTGAGGCCAGTGTTCAAATGGCAGGAGCCTTTTGTGAAGAAGTCGCCTACCATTTTTAGAAGGCCACAGCGGAGGCACAATTTGGCTAAATGTGTGTATGTGTGCACCTGCATGTGAAATCAGGCAGCGCGGCTTGCAGATTTCAAATTCCCCTCTACCTTTCCTTATGCAATCAAAGCGATGCTCTGGTTTGCTTAGAACTGTTGCGCATCTAACTTTTTAAACAAGCACTATTTGCTGTTTCGCTCTTCTCAGCTTCAACGCATTCATTGTTTAAAATAAGAAATCAATTTGAGAACTGTTCTCCATCTGTCACTTCCTTCAGCATCTATCAACAGATCTTTTCATCCAGGGCCCTCCAGAAGTTTTGTTGGACTACAACTCCCATCATGCTGGCTGGGGCTCATGGGAGTTGGAGTCCTACAACATCTGAAGGGCCGAGGGTCTCCAGCAGCCTTAAGTCAACCCATCAGGTCATTTTTCTGGTGCCATTCCACATCTGGAGTGCTGCTTACATTTTTTCCTAAAACAATTTTTCCCCGTATCCAGAGGAATAAGTTCAAGGAATGCACATGCATACTCCACTTTTGAATGAGACCTGGTAGTGTTCAGTGGCACAGAGGAAGAGGCTGGAAGCAGAAATATAGAGTTCTCTCCTACTCTACCAAAGAAACTGTAGCCTGTTTGCCTTCAGGTAAGGCTGTTCCTTTTATTCCGTTTTGTGCAGTTTACACTTCTCATCCATTAGAGGAGGTATGGCCAACTTGGATTGAATCTGGCCCTTAAAGAAATTACATTTCCCGCTCCCCACCAATGGCCTGAATACATTTTCCCTCAAGCTGTGGTGGAAACTCCAGTCACAATTTCACTTGTATGGTAAAAGAGCTTCAAGTTGCAAGACACTCAGATATTTCCCACTTCACAGCTGCAGCTCTGTCTCTCCTGTTTCTCTCTCTCACACACACACAATTTGGTAGGTCAGGCTAAGCCAACAGCTGTGAAGCCCATGGCAATAACAACACTTATTATTTGTAAAGCGCTCTGCTAGATGACCGCAACACTGGCCTCCTTCTCACTGAGCTTTCAAACCTGTGTCTGGGCTGTACCAATTCAGACAGCAGATAGGGGTTCCCACGGCAGACCGTTTCAAATTTCTTCCCGCATGTAGAAAACTTCTCTCTCACATGATAGTTTTCTACTTGCAGGGTTGAGATAGATAGGAGGATTCAGCCATTTGCACCCTCACCTGTAGCCTGAAGTGGTACATTCAGTTGGAAGTGGGCCAGTCTTCCCTTACAAAGACAGACAGTAAAACCACCATTGCTTGCCAGCTTAAATCAATCTTACTGTTATCAATCTGCATCTCTCCCAGTTTTCATCTTGGGGGTCTTTTCAGCCCACATCATTCAGCTCTTTTTTCGTTCTGTGATCTCTTAAGCTGCCAGCTCATCCAGTTCACCTGTTCTTCTCTTTCTGTCTCTTCTTTCCAACGGCGAGTTGTTTGGGGAGGGGGAACACGAGAGAGGCAAAAGCTTTTGCGTGGATGGGGGGCAGCTGGCTTCAGTTTATAAGATTCCCAGGTGGGGTAAAAGAAATGCCAAAAATAAAAAGTGCTTTTAATGTTAACCTGCTTTCAGCGACTTGTGTTTACGAGTTTACCTCCTTTTTGAAAAGGATTTGGGGGAGAGGGAGGAGGAGAACTGGGGGGGGGGGGCTGAAGAAGGGGAAGCCTAACTGGAGACAGATGTGTGGGAGCAGGAAGCCAGACAGAGGATAGGGCTAGGGGTCAGCAACTACAAGATCGTGGGCCAAAACCCATCCCTTAAGAGGAGAAAATGGCTTCTGTGGCAACAGTCCATGTTGGGGATTGGGTCGCTGGCCAATCTGCCCTTGTTATCAGTGACTCTCCAGGAAAAATCTAGTTGCTGACCAGGCAACAGCTATCCTGCAACATGCTCCAAAACTAAACCATTCCATCCCCTTAACTCTGCCCCTTCCACTATCATGTGCGACGCATCCCTCTCATCTTGTGGCCAGTCAGCAGGAGATGGGGGAGGAAACGAATACTACAAGGTGCTTTTGAAAAAATTGTCCATTTCCTTTGTTTTGCTCCTTCCTTTTTCTCAGGGGAATTTGTGGCAGGGTACGAGGTATCTCCCATTGCAGAGGGGTGGTTGCTGCTGCTGTTTCTCTTTCCTCCTCCTCTGTTCTCCCCCTGAGTCAGTCCTGCAGCCTCCTTCCCTTTGCTCACACCCGACGCAGAGGCCGGAAGCCGCGGGGTCTCAGTTTCATCTCTGTGAAAGGGATGGAAAACTCGAATCCTTTCCAGTTAAACCAGTTGATGCCCTTGGATGAGACAGAGAGAAAGAAAGAAAGAAAGAAGAAGGTAAGTGAGAAGCAAGGAGATGCATAATCTAGCATCAGCATGTTCCCTGATTGGGGACAAGGGCATAAGCAAGGCCTGCTGAATCAGGCCAGTGGCCCACCTAGTTCAGCATCCTGTTCTCACAGTGGCCAACCAGAGGCCTGTGGGACACCAGCAAGCAGGATTCGAACACAAGAGCCCTCTCCTCTCCTGTGGTTTCCAGTGACTGGTACAGTCATACCTCGGGTTAAAGTTGCTTCAGGTTGAGCATTTTCGGGTTGCGCTCTGCGGCAACCCGGAGGTAACAGAACGTGTTACTTCCGGGTTTCACTGCTAAAAATGATGTCATACACATGCGCAGAAGCGGCGAATCGTGACCCGCGCATGCGCAGATGTGCACGAGTTGCGTTCACTTCAGGATGTGAATGGAGCTCCGGGAAAGGGACACCGGCCTGTCACTCATAATTTGCAAGCACTTTGTGTTTGAAAGGTGCAGCTGCCCTTCACTCCCCCTCGCCCCATTGCAGTACCTGGTGGTCGCGGTTGTTCGCGTAGAGCCCGTTGAGGTTGGCGTAGTGGCAGTTGCGGTACCACCATGCGCCGCGGTAAGAGACAGCACAGGGGATGATGACTCGGTTGGGGTCACGGTCCTTGGTGGAGAAGACGCTGCCTGAGTGGTAGGTGAAAGAGTCGCCTGCGGAAGTGGGAAGAAGAAGAAGAGTTTGGATTTGGTATCCCGCATTATCACTACCCTAAGAAGTCTCAAAGCGTCTAACAATCACCTTTCCCTTCCTCCCCCACAAGAAACACTCTGTGAGGTGAATGGGGCTGAGAGACCTCAGAGAAGTGTGACTGGCCCAAGGTCACCCAGCAGCTGCATGTGGAGGAGCGGAGACGCGAACCCGGTTCCCCAGATTACGAGTCCACTGATCTTAACCACTACACCACACTGGAAAGGAGGAGAGAGGGTTTGAAATGGAGCACAAATCTTCCTCCTTGAGCCTGCACTCAGCCTTGAATCCTTAGATCCCCCTGCTCAAACCTGCCTTGAGGTTCCCCCACTCAAAAGAATAATATAATATGGGTATGTATTGCTATGTATTTGTGGGCGGCAGCTGCAACATCTAAGGAGAAGGAGAAGGCTTGTAAAAACAAACAAACACCTTTATCTATGCAGGAAGATTCAGGGCAGGCGAAAGAAAGTCCTTCTCCACACAGTGCATAGTTAAACTATGGAACTCACTCCCACATGAGGCAGTGATGGCTGGCTTTAAAAAGAGGATTATACACATGTATGGAGGGAAAGGCTATCGATGGCTATTAGCCATCGAATCATAGAATCATAGAGTTGGAATAGACCACAAGGGCCATCGAGTCCAACCCCCTGCCAAGCAGGAAACACCTTCAGAGCACTCCTGACATATGGTTGTCAAGCCTCTGCTTAAAGACCTCCAAAGAAGGAGACTCCACCACACTCCTTGGCAGCAAATTCCACTGTCGAACAGCTCTTACTGTCAGGAAGTTCTTCCTAATGTTTAGGTGGAATCTTCTTTCTTGTAGTTTGGATCCATTGCTCCGTGTCCGCTTCTCTGGAGCAGCAGAAAACAACCTTTCTCCCTCCTCTATGTGACATCCTTTTATATATTTGAACATGGCTATCATATCACCCCTTAACCTCCTCTTCTCCAGGCTAAACATGCCCAGCTCCCTTAGCCGTTCCTCATAAGGCATCGTTTCCAGGCCTTTGACCATTTTGGTTGCCCTCCTCTGGACACGTTCCAGTTTGTCAGTGTCCTTCTTGAACTGTGGTGCCCAGAACTGGACACAGTACTCCAGGTGAGGTCTGACCAGAGCAGAATAGCCACCACAGTTAAGTTCTGCTTCCACTGACAGCATGCCTCTGAATAATAGATTCTGGTTTGTTTTGTTTTGTTTTGAACTTTCTCATGTTCACAGAATCATAAAATGATAGAATTCCAACAGAGTTGGAAGGGATGCCATTGGTCATCTAGTCCAACCCCCTGTGATGCAGCAATCTCAGCTAAAGCACCCATGACAAATGGCTGTCCAACCTCTGCTTTAAAACCTCCAGTGAAGGAGAGTCCACAATCTCCCAAGGGAGAACTGTCAGACAGCTCTTATTGTTCCTCTGAGTCAAGTTGCCCTGCAGACATCCTAAGCGCTCCCTCTGAAACCAAACTGCCTTTCAACATCCTCTTCTTGCAAGCTCTCTGATTGGATCCCACCTGACAAATGGTGACTGCCTGGAAGCCCCAGCCCCAGCCCCCCTCACCAGCAGTGCCGCTGTAACTGCCCAGGTGCAGGCGGTAATGATCAGCAGGGGGATCCACGCGGAAATTCTGGTAGGTTGCATAGACAGACTCGTTCCCAGCCCGCAGATCCACGCGCAGCTCGTAGTCCCCTGATGTCGTCAGCTGGTGCAGAGCATCGTTCCCTGGAGAGCAAGGCAGAGAGCAGGATGAGCCCTGTTTCCCTCATGCGCCCTGGTTCCCATCCTCCTGCAACTTTAGGCTGCGTGTTTTGTTTTCTTTGGAGGAGAGGCTTCTGGTGACTTTGCAGAAAAAGAGAGCCAGTGCGATCAGACTGCTGCAAGGGTGGGGGACCTTTTTAGCCTGAGGGCTGAATTTTTCCCCTGTGCAACCTTCCAAGGGCCAGTAGCAAAAGCAGGAGGAAGAACGGATGTAAAGTTTACCTTGGTGCATCAGGCTACTCGCTCTACACAAATTAACGCAACCCTCTCTATCCTGCATCCAGGCAAGCAACAGGTATCATGGGGGCGCTCTACGTGGGGCTACCTTTGAAGGTGACCCAGAAATGACAACTAATCCAGAATGTGGAAGCTGGACTGGTGACTGGGAGTGGCCGCCGAGACCACATAACACCGGTCTTGAAAGACCTACACTGGCTCCCAGTACGTTTCCGGGCACAATTCAAAGTGTTGATGATGACCTTTAAAGCCCTAAACGGCCTTGGCCCAGTATACCCGAAGGAGCGTCTCCACCCCCATTGTTCAGCCCTCTGGTGGTTTCCTTGCTGCGAGAAGTGAAGTTACAGGGAACCAGGCAGAGGGCCTTCTCGGTAGTGGCGCCCACCCTGTGGAACGCCCTCCCACCAGACGTCAAGGAAATAAACAACTACCTGACTTTTAGAAGACATCTGAAGGCAACCCTGTATAGGGAAGTTTTAATGGGGTAACTGTGCCCCTGAAGAACCAGGTGCGCAGCCTGGGAGTCATTTTGGACTCACAGCTGTCCATGGAGGCACAGGTCAAATCCGTGTCCAGGGCAGCTGTTTACCAGATCCATCTGGTACGCAGGCTGAGACCCTATCTGCCTGCGGACTGCCTCGCCAGAGTGGTGCATGCTCTGGTTATCTCCCGCTTGGACTACTGCAATGCACTCTACGTGGGGCTACCTTTGAAGGTGACTCGGAAACTACAACTAATCCAGAATGCGGCAGCTAGACTGGTGACTGGGGGCGGCCGCCGAGACCATATAACACCGGTCTTGAAAGACCTACATTGGCTCCCAGTACGTTTCCGAGCACAATTCAAAGTGTTGGTGCTGACCTTTAAAGCCCTAAACGGCGTCGGTCCAGTATACCTGAAGGAGCGTCTCCACCCCCATCTTTCTGCCCGGACGCTGAGGTCCAGCGCCGAGGGCCTTCTGGCAGTTCCCTCATTGCGAGAAGCAAAGCTACAGGGAACCAGGCAGAGGGCCTTCTCGGTAGTGGCGCCCACCCTGTGGAGCGCCCTTCCAGCAGATGTCAAAGCAATAAACAACTACCTGACATTCAGAAGACATCTTAAGGCAGCCCTGTTCAGGGAAGTTTTTAACGTGTGATTTTACTGTGTTTTTGGTTTTTATGGAAGCCGCCCAGAGTGGCTGGGGAGGCCCAGCCAGATGGGCGGGGTATAAATAAATTATTATTATTATTATTATTATTATTATTATTATTATTATTATTATATTAATGTTTGATTTTTTTTCTTGTGTTTTTAATATTCTGTTGAAGCCTCCCAGAGAGTCTGGGGAAACCCAGCCAGACGGGTGGGGTATAAATCATCATCATCAGAATCCAAGTATACATTCCAGCCAGGCAAAGACACCCAAGGAGAGTGCTGATCAATGCCAGTGAGGAGTGTGGCCTGGGGAGCATCCCAAGAGCCAGGTAAACAGGCCTGGAGGGTCACCTTTGACCTCTGTCCCTGACATATGGCTTATGTTTGAGAGGCCTGGTTTTAAATCCCAGCACAGCTGGTGAAATTCTTTCTTTGTGCCATGTGCTTTTTTTGCCTCCATTCACAGTTTGTAAAAGGACAGTGGCAACAAACCTGTCACAGCATCCTTTTGTGCAGATGGAGGAATTAAAGGGCAGCTAAGCGATGTACGCACCTAGCCAGAACTCCCGGGTGAGGTTGCCAAAGCCGGTGGCGTATTCCTGCCAGTTGCGCCAGAAATTGGTCTCGCCGTTCATCCGACGTTGGAAGACCTAAAGAGAAGGAGGAAAAGTGAAATGGCACGGTGGGGTGGGTGTGTGAGAGAGAGTTTTGCGCGTCCAAATGAATTTCTGGTGTGTTTATGTCTGCTGTGGGTAAACAAATAAAATTTGCATCAAGGTGGCCCAATGTCAGCGCCAGCTACAGCTGGATTTATGGATAATGCAAATTAATGCCCCTCAATATGCTCCTGAACAGCACAACCGCATAAATGAAGAAACCCCACAGGGATGGGGGAATCTGTTTTGAGCTGACACCACCGTTGAATGTTTTTGCCCATAATTCCATTCCTCTGCTACCCTCCTTAATACTTACTATCCAGCCTCCTCCGTCAGTCTCCATGTCGCAGTACACCTGCAAGGGGCGGTCCTGGTTGCCCCCAAGATAAATCGTCCTCACTCTCGAGGGTCCCGGCCCATTCTGGCTCTCCTCTGCGCAATCCCGAGGGAAGGGGTATCTCAGGGGTCCTGCCGAGGAAAGAAAAGACCACTCTGCCAATGTCTATCCTATACAGTGGTACCTCAGGTTAAGAACTTAATTTGTTCTGGAGGTTCATTCTTAACCCGAAACTGTTCTTAATCTGAAGCACCACTTTAGCAAACACAGCACGATTTCTGTTCTCATCCTGAAGCAAAGTTCTTAACCTGAGGTACTATTTCTGGGTTAGCGGAGTCTGTAACCTGAAGCGTATGTAACCCGAGGTACCACTGTATACTAATTGCAAGCTCATTCTCTGTTTGCTGATCCTTATGTAGCTATCCATACAGATAGGCTCAGGGGAACCCCAAATATACAAAACTAAAACTGAAACATGGGGAAATAAGGTGCTCCAAACCATCCCAATCAAGATAAGATTGACAGAATGCTGGCTGACTGTTGAAAGGAGGGTGAGCAGAAAACCTTAGGGGCGGGGCATGCTGGAATGGAGTACCTGGAAGAGAGCATGGCCAGCTGGCTCAAATCCCAAAGAGGAGTATTTCATGCTGCAACATTTTGTCACAGTTCCCATTTCTGTATAAAGGAAGATAACCCCCATTTTCAGGAGCAGCTGTTGGGGACTGATTTCCATTATTGTGCCCTGTTTATGAGCTTCCCAAATGCACCTGCTACCAGACTAATGTTTGGGCAGCGGTGGGAGTGGGGGGAGGGAAAGAACTAGATCAGATGAATGACATAATTCAATATTAAGTGAGCCGAATTGTCTCAGAAACAGTGGAGGCTGGTCCATTGGGGAGAATGGGGCACTGCCCCACCAACCTCAGCCAGCCCCCTTCTGCTGTCCTTCTTATTTACAATCATTGCAGAAGGAGGCACTGACCGTCTCAATGTTGTCCTTGTAAAATTCAGCAGGGAGGAGGATGGGGACAAAAACGGGAATGAGCTGGCTCACCCTGTCCTTGTCTCTCTGGCTCCACCTACTGTTGGCCTCCTCTGTCTTCTGCCCTGCCAGTCCCAATGACTGTAAGTCACCATTGCTCAGAAGGGATTATTCTGAGAAAAACTTCCGGACACCACCGCCACTGGAATATTCAGGTTCCCCACCCCTAGTTTCACTGCCTACAAATGGCGCAGAGACTTTGCGGGGGGGGCCAATTTTCACTGAGCATTTAAATCTTCCTGTTTCATAGCATAAAGGGGTTGGGCGTGTGGTCCCAAGATGCAGAATCGCGAGAGGGCAGCCTCTTGTTCTAGAAAACAGCAGCAGTTCCCCCTCTTCCTCCTCGAGGAGCGTGTTCACACAAACAGAGATGAGTCTGGAGTTAATGACTTGCGAGCCTCATTCTTACATGCGAATGTCATCACTGCAGAATGAAAAACTGGGGGTGGGAGAGGCATGCATAACGCAAATGGGCATCCTCTCTCTGGTGCAGGTTTTGCGAAGCTGTCAAAGCCTCGTGTGCCTAAACACAAATGTGTTGACCCTCGGACGCCCCAGGCAGAGAAATTACCGGTGGTGAAGGACGTGGCGGTTGGGCTGTAGGAGTGCCTCTTCTCAGTGCCTGGACTTGAACCTGGTACCGACCGGAAGGAATCAGGTCTTGGTAGTTCATACGAGGTGACAGAAGCATCCACGGTGATCTCCTGTGGAGCAGACAATGAGGGGCAGTGAAAAGCCAAACCAATAACATGCTGTGGAGCTTACATGGTTAACCCCAAAACTCTTCCCCTATAGTAGAGTTCTCCCAGCCCTACTATCAGAAAGGTGAATCAGCCAATGAATCTGACACTTCATATATTCTCATGGAGGGATTGCTCAGGGCCTACATATCGGCTTTACATATTGGTAGGGTTGCCTGAATAAATAATGTTTCAGCCGGAACCAAAGACAGTATAGAGAAGACACCTGCCTAATGTCAATGGGCAGGGAGTTCCAGAGTCTTCACGATACAATTTCTCTCCTGGGGAATCTGATACAAGTTCAGTGGTTTTGTTGTCTGCTGCATAAAGGTAAAGTCACCCCTGACCGTTAGGTCCAGTCGCAGACGACTCTGGGGTTGCGGCGCTCATCTTGCTCTATAGGCTGAGGGAGCTGGCATTTGTCCGCAGACAGCTTCTGGGTCATGTGGCCAGCGAACCAGAGCAGCACACAGAAACGACGTTTACCTTCCCCCTGGAGTGGTACCTATTTATCTACTTGCACTTTGACGTGCTTTTGAACTGATAGGTGGGCAGGAGCAGGGATTTGAACCGCCGACCTTCTGATCAGCAAGTCCTAGGCTCTGTGGTTTAGACTGTTTAATCCCAATGGACTCTGCTTTGTAGGTTTCGACTTGAAAACAAACCATGCCCTGTAGTGCCATCCCTGGATATTCTCACTTCTCAGGGAACTGGGGAGTGCATAACCAGGACAATGCTAGACAGTTGGGTACCTTTGATTGTCCAGATGGGGTTTCATAGGTTAGCAGATATCCACCAGGAGGGGCACGGGGTGGCAGCCAAGTGAGACGAGCACTGCGGGATGAGATTTCACTGGCCTGCAGATCCCGGGGTCCATCTGCCCCTGGAAAATGGAGAGGAATAAAGCTTTAAGAAAAACCAAAGCGGTCAAGTTATCTACCTGGCACAGGGAAGATTCTGTCATTATCTCAGCTCACAGTCAGAGGTACCTGGCCTCCCCCGAGGCAGCTGAGTGAGATACTTGTGTACCTTCCGTCTGCTCTCCCGGCAGACTAGGTCGTAAATCCGGCGATTCTTCTCATTAGACGTGAGAAAGAACACACCCTCTGCTTCTCTCTTCCAGCTTTCTCCCCCAGGGAGGGGAAATGAGACAGACAGGAGTCCTATTTACATGTTTTATTCCTGTCATTCAGCAGCACATAGAAATGCGACTGCACCCTTCAGACTCCATTAGAAGAGTCACAACTCCACCCCTGTACTTCCAGTACAGGTCAGATGACACTCTGAGCTAACATCTGGTGCTCAGTACAGAGAATGGACTGCCCCTTTTCCCCAGCAGTACATTGACAGACAACAACATCCTGTTTTGCTTTCCAGCCACCTGCAGCTGGCTTTTGCATTGGTGCTTTTTCCTGACAGATTCCTGCCCCTCTCAATGCAACATGTACCCTCTCAGCAGCGTAAACCAGAGGGACCCAAGAAGGGAGTGAAGGGATAGCTCAGTTGGCAGAGCACGAGGCTCTTAATCTCAGGGTCATGTGTTTGAGCCCCATGTTGGGCGAAAGATTCCTACATTGCAGGGGGTTGGACTAGATGACCCTCAAGGTACCTCCCCACTTTGCAATTCTATGATTCTATGTGAACTTGACTAAGGAGGACAAAATGAGAGCCCTGCAGGATCCAGGCCAAAGGCCCATCTAGCTGTTCTCACAGCTGCCAGGCAGATGCTTATGGGAAGCCTGAAAACAGGACATTCCTCACTTGCGATTTTCAGCAACTAGTCTTCAGAGGCATATACTGCCTCTGACAGGGGAGGTAGAAGAGACTTAGGACATGGTTCCCTCCCAAATCTATTCCAGGCCCTAGAGTCTCCATTGACTGGCTTTCCTGCCCTTTGTGAGTCTCATAATGTCTCTATCTCTTCCCCGGCCCCATCTGCATACCGGTGGTGAACGTGGCGCTGGCGGGAGAACTGCGGTTTCCTCCTTTCTCCCCATACACGCTGGCCCGATATTCTGTGTCCAGGTGCAGCCCTGACAACTGCAACTCAGCCCGGTTCCCTGGCACTGACTCGGAGGCCCTTGCACCTGGGAGAGAAAGAGAAGAGACGGATTATTAAGAATGGGCCCTGCTGCAAGTAGAGATGGGTGGATCTGTCAGCTTCGGGTTTCTTCAGTTTGACCTTTTTTGCATTCACAGGTTCAGGTCTCCACGCTGCCACATCACCTGCAATCTTTATTTTTTGAAAGGGTAACATGCTCATGGAAATTCACCAGCATTTTAGTGTGAATTACACACGTCTGTAAGCAATTTTGCTCCTTAATTCTGGGCCACTTTCCACCACTGTCCCCGAGCCACTAGTTTGTGTCTGACTGCAGCTGTGGGACTTGGAAGTTCGACTAACAACAACAGTGCAGATTGCAGAAGTCCTACACACCTTTTCCTCTTGTCTTGTGGCCATGTCTACCTTTTGTGGCAACAAGTATAATGCAATGAATTACACTCTCAGTCTCCCCGCTGCCTCCCAAATGGAATAAGGGCCTTGACCACCTGCAAATCACCCCACCCCTGCCCAAATCCCCAACTCTCACCACCAGCAGGCCCGTAGGTGACAATGTAGTTGTTCATCTCAGCCACAGCAGGTTGCCACGTAAGCACAGCTGACGAATCGGTGACGTCGATGGCACGCAAGTTGGAAGGACCATCCGGAACTGTGAGGAGGAGAGAAGAGGATGCTGAAGGAGGTACAAGCCCCGGCAGAACTGGTTGAAAGGACCCTAGGAAGAAGGTATGGGAGAGAACCCCTTTCTCCCCCCAGACACACTGCTGTGCCCAGGTCGGATGCGCAAACGGTCCAAATTACAAGGTGGCTTCTTAAAAGTGGATTCCTGGTCTTGGAAGAGACCGGAAGTGGTTGAGAGTTGTTGCTGTTTCTATCATGCAATATTATATTTCAAATGGATCACTAAGTTGTTTATTTTTGTAGTCATGCTTTTCACTATGACTTATTTGCGTTGGATCTGATTGGTTGTCGGGTGTGTGATCTTTTCCGTATATTTTGTCATTCCTATGGCTTGTGAACTGCCTTGAGTATAGCAATGTGGAAAGGCGGTATACAAATTTAAAATGGAATTGCTGCAATGTGCTCTATGTGAAGCTTCCCTCAGGCTTCTCTGGAAGTACAGTCGTACCTTGGAAGTTGAATGGAATCCATTCTGGAAGTCCGTTTGACTTCCACAACGTTCAGAAACCAAAGTGCAGCTTCTGATTGGCTGCAGGAAGCTCCTGCAGCCAATCGGAAGCTGCAAAAGCCCCGTCAGACATTTGGCTTCCAAAAATAGTTCACAAACCGAAACAGCCACTTCTGGGTTTGTAGCATTCGGGAGCCAAAACGTTCAGGAACTAAGCTGTTTGAAAAACCAAGGTATGACTGCACTGCAATGTGCTTAATGTGAGGCTTCCCCTGGAAACTGCAGCTGTTGCAGAATGCAACAGCAAGGCTACTGACTAGGACATCCCATTGACGCCACAGAACACCTCTGCTGAGGGAGCAGCACTGGCTGCCAATATGCTACGGAGTGCAGTTCAAGGTTTTGCTTTTAGCACCTAAAGCCCTGAATGACTTGGAACCACCTCACCCCATATATCCCTGTCTGGCAACTGTGTGCCTGTGTTGGGCCCTGCTGGGAGGAGCTCCACATGCCCCAGAAGTGCACTTAGTTTGTATTGGGAACTGGGCTTTTAGTGTGGCCACTCCAGCACTCTGGAATCAGTTACAAGCTGAAATTAGACAGGCACATGGCATCTTGTCATTCAAGTGACTACTGGAGATGTTTTTGTTTAAGAAGGCTTTCCTAGAAATGTAACCAGATCTGCTTATGGAGTATTGCCAATGGTATAACTACAGAAATGGTTTTATCGCTTTTAGGTTGCTTTTAGAGATTGCATCTCTTGCATTTTATCATTTTGTTCTTTGTACGTTGCTTCAACAGTTCCTGGGTGTGAAGTGGCTTATAAATCTGTAAAAGGAGGAAACAAATAAAGTTATGGGGTGTTGCAGCTTTTCCCCACGGACGTACCTGTGGTGACATAACCCACCAAGGGCTCGCTTTCTTCGAACCCACGAACAGACATCACAGTGACCTCATAGCTGGCCCCGGGGGTCAGGCCCTCAATGGTTGTTCGGAGCTTGGATCCATCCACAGAGATGCTCCTTGGCTCTCCTGCAACAGAATTAGCAGGTCTCAAATCTCTGCAGAACTGCAGGACACCAGGATGTCAAAGGCTTGTCTTAGGAGGCGGCACATTGTTCTTCAACTGGCCAGGACTGTGGTGTCAAAGGCTGACTTAAGCTGCTGTCTGGACTCCAAGAATAGGATTGCTGCTAGGGATGGGAAGATCTGCCAGGTCAATCCTCTCAGTTTCTGACTCTTCCAAACCTTAATAGCTTAGTCTCCACATGTCAACATAGGTTTGCGGATGATTATTATTGAGCTCCCCATGAAAATCCATTGGTATTTTAGTAAAGTATATACACATTTTTGTGTGCAATGTTGTCTGAATTGCAACACAATTCCCCCTAATGTAATGCATTTTTGAGGATATTGAAGATATCTAGGAAGCTAGTAATGCCACCTAGTCTAAAGGTAAAGGTAAAAGTAAAGGACCCCTGGACGGTTTGGTCCAGTCAAAGGCGACTATGGGGTTGTGGTGCTCATCTCGCTTTCAGGCCAAGGGAGCCAGCGTTTGTCCACAGATAGCTTTCTGGGTCATGTGGCCAGCATTACTAAACAACTTCTGGCACAACGGGACACCGTGGCAGAAACCAGAGCACACAGAAATGCTGTTTACCTTCCCGCCACAGCGGTACCTATTTATCTACTTGCACTGGTGTGCTTTTGAACTGCTGGGTTGGTAGGAGCTGGGACAGAGCAACGGGAGCTCACTCCGTTGCAGGGATTCAAACCACCAACCTTCCAATCGGCAAGCCCAAGAGGCTCACTGGTTTAGACCACAGTGCCCCTCGTGTCCCTTTTGCCAACCCGTCTCCCCCACGGGCGACAGGATACAAGTCCTCACCTCCATCTGAGGGCTGGAAGGAAACTTTATAACCATCAACACGAGATGACGGTGACCTCCAGTTCGCCACCACGGAGGTCTCACGGATGTCATTGAAGAGCAGGTCCCGGGGGCTATCCAGCTCTGGAAGGGGAAAGAGAAAATGGAACAGATTGTTTTGTTGCATGCATGAGAGCTCAGAGCTGCATTGTTGGCACTCCTAATGTCATGTTCTTCCTTTAAAAAAAGTTTGGAGTGGGAGAGAGGAGATGGATTTGGATTTCTGCTGCTGCAGCAGCACCACAGGGGACACAGGGCTGGATCCGCAGCCCCTGCTCTCCCCATGGAGTGGCCCTGAGCCCAATAGCCTGCTTTTTTGGAGAATAAAATTACGTAGGGGGTTCCAGTTGCATGACTCCAACATAACGCATCGTTTGGCCCTCGGCATCCAAAACAATACCCACGCTTTGGCACCTGCCTCTCTGTTGCTCGCTCTCCCCCCCCCACTTGAAATCCTCCTCCCTTTCTCCTGGGATTAGCTGTGGCCAGTTTGGCTGACCGCAAAGGAAACAGAGAAACGCCAAAGATTAATTCCTCGGGTCTCACAAAGGAAACCACAGCTGGACGCCAGCCGAATCCTGCAAGCTAAGCCAGGGCTGCAGCTGTTGGGGCTGCTTCTCGCTGCCTCCTAAAAGATCAGCTTGGACCTTTCGAGATAACTGCTTCTGCGCTCCTCCCCTCATGGCCCTCTTAGCCTAGGTTAACTGGTACAGTTTGGTGGTTGCAGCTGGCTGTGTTGTGCTCAAGGGTGAAAGCGTGTGTGTGTGTGATGGAAATCCTTCCTTTTTTAAAATGCATTACTGAACAAAAGAAGTAAAAGTAATTCTACGTTTGCAGAGCAAATGAGGGATAAGTTGGTTTTCTAAAACGTCCCTCTCATTTTTGCTGCTTCATACGTGGGTAGAAGAATGAGGGCATTTAGCACTGCAAGAAAATGGGTTAAAATGAGGGGTGGAAGAGGGTTTAGCAGAGGTGATGCAAATGTTTCCTTGTAGCCACCATGCTCCCCCCCCCCCCCGTAGCCCTTGGGACAAATGCTACATCATCATGTAGAGTTGCTAACAGATTATTGGGGGAGGGCAGTGAATGGTGGCTGCTGGAAACAGCTTGCATTGCCACTTTTACCGGTGCCAACATGTCTCGCTTGCAAAACTGGCAGCAGCAGCAGTGAAGACAGCTTTCTTTCCCTCTCCTAACTTCATGCCAAAAGCTCTCAGCCTTTATCCTTTATTCTCCCGCAAAACCAATCTCATAGGCTCTCTGCCTCCTTCAGTCTTCCCCATTTCTTCATTCCATTTCATGCCCAGCAACACCAGGCCTCTTGTGGGTCCAGCAGGACATGGTGTGGGTTTCCCTCCCTCCCCCCACACTTAACTGGCCTGCTTTTCTCACATGAGCTGCATCAACAAATCTGTTCAGTAGCTAGAGACCGTTTCTTACAACAAGCATTCCATGACATCATGGAATCTCAGCCAATAGCTGTGGGGCAAGTCTCACAAGTAAATGGCAGCACAAGTAACATGGAATGGATTCGGATTTCCTTCCCAGCATTACCCATGCATGCAAGCGTAATTCAGCTGACAGACTTCAGGTGAATAAGACTTTTTCCTCCTGCTTTTCTGGGTAGCGAGGTAACACGTGTGGCCTTCTTACCTGTCCCACTTGTCGTTGCCACTGTGTTGATGCTGGCCGCTTCTGACCCGTCCTGGATGCCATAGACAGTAAGGCTGTACTCAGTGTTGGGCGAAAGACCCCGAAACACGACAGAGCGTTCATCTCCCGGTCACGTTGATTTTCTTGGTCGGTGTGGGACTCATTTCACTATCCGGAACAGAGATCTTGCGCTGGACCGAAAAGAAATCAAACTCTCCCTTGGGGGCTTCCCATGTGAGCTGCAGCGTAGTGGGTGTCACCTCAGAGACAACCAAATTTTCAAGGAAGGCCCGTTTGTTGGCCTCTGGGAAAGCTATGGGATAAAGAATAGAGATGAGTGAACAGGCAACAAAATGACAGATGAATTTCAGATTAAGTATACAGTGGTACCTCGGGTTAAGAACTTAATTCATTCCAGAGGTCCGTTCTTAACCTGAAACTCTTCTTAACCTGAGGTACCACTTTAGCTAATGGGGCCTCCCGCTGCCGCAGCGCGATTTCTGTTCTCATCCTGAAGCAAAGTTCTTAACCCGAGGTACTATTTCTGGGTTAGCGGAGTCTGTAACCTGAAGCGTATGTAACCTGAAGCATCTGTAACCCAAGGTACCACTGTACAGTGATGAACATCACTCCCCAAAATCATCACCATCACCATCATCCTAACTTCACAGAATTGAACTGAGGGTGACTAATCAGAAAAGAGATCTTGGGGTTGTAGTGGGCAGCTGAATGACTATATGATCTCAGGATGTGGCAAGACTGAAAATGGTGAATTCCATGGTGGGGCTTGTTAGGAAGGGGGCCAATTTGGTTGGAAAGACCCCTCACCCTCTGTGGCCATTTTCAGACTAGAACCAGAGCTGGATTAACAATTAAGCAAAATAAGCACATGCTTAGGGCATCAAGGGTAGGGGGGGCACCACAGTTATTTCCCATTGCTGGATTTTTAACATTAATGGTCACAAAATGTTCATTTTCTGGTGGTTCCCTCATTGCGAGAAGTGAGGTTTCAGGGAACCAGACAGAGGACCTTCTTGGTAGTGGCGCCCGCCCTGTGGAACGCCCTCCCTTCAGATGTGAAGGAAATAAGCAGCTATCCTATCTTTAAAAGACATCTGAAGGCAGCCCTGTTTAGGAAGTTTTTAATATTTAATTCTGTATTGTTTTTAACACTTGATTGGGAGCCGCCCAGAGTGGCTGGGGAAACTCAGCCAGATGCGCGGGGTATAAAATAAATAAATAAATAAATAAATAAATAAATAAATAAATAAATAATAATATTCTCAGCTGAAATATATTAAAAATCCCTGCAGAACAACTATGCAGCAAGGCATGCTGGGTGTCTTATCTCTGCTAAGTACAGAAGCAGATATCTTATGTAAGACTAGTTTTGAGGATCTGATCAAAGACCGCAATGAAAAAAATTAGGAGAACTTTTTTCAAATATAAAGTGGAAGTACTCAAAAATAAACATCGTTTTCCATCTTACTGTAGGTTTCATTTCGAAAACGGAAAAATTATTTCACGGTTTATTCTTGTCTGTATTTTGAATTTGATATACACGGGGCCACCAAATTCTTTTAAGTGCTTAGGGCCTCTAAAGGTCTGAATCCGGCCTCCAACTAGAACTCACTGGAACATCCAACAAAGCTGAACGTTGAAATATTAAGGAAAGAAAAGAAAGAAAGCACTTGCTGGAAGCCACGGGAGGGGAGAGACATCTTGTTCTCTGTTTGTGGGCTTCCCACAGGCATGTGGTGGCCACTGTGAGAACAGGGTGCTGGACTATCAGCCTGATAATCTGCGGAGATTCTTATCTTCTTATGTACTCTTCAGAACGCACACTTTTAGCTAGATGGGATAAGGGCAAGGTTCAAATTGCTGGTGCCACGTGTCTAAGTTGTTCCTCGGCCTTGCCTGTGACTGATCCTCCAGCTGTGCCTCTTACCCCCGGCTCCATCCATCTTCTCTGCAACAGGACCGGCCTTGACAAAGAGACGTCAGCGCCACAAGGCCCTTGCCTCATTTTTCAGACACGCTCGCATGCTGCACACGCCAGCACATTCCCCCTACCCTTTGCGTAAACACCGAACGTAGTGTCAGCCTCTGTCAGCTCATTAGTAAGTGGCCTGACTTGTACCATTAATCTCTCCACACATTTCTGCGTTTTGCGTGCGTCCTGCTCCTTTGATGAGCACGGGCTGTTGCTCCGAGCCAGTTCTCGTGTTTTTTTAAGCCAAGGACACGGAGCTGGATCTAAACTCGGATCTCCTCACTCTGCTGACTGAGCACACTTACAGCAAGGCTGGCTGGCCTAGAGGGGCAGGGAGTGGAAGAGGTCCCAGCAGGAAAATCTCTTCCCTCTCAGGGCTTGGAGAATTTTTGGGAAAGGCTCGTAAGGCAGTGGTAGAGCAGATGCTTGCATGTAGAAGGTGATTATTTGGGGGACAATTGCCTTGCCCCCTTTACGTTCAGGAGAGGCCTTCTAAGAGAAACTGTCGTTTTCAGTTTCACCCAGTTTCTCATTCTTCCAAAGTTTGGTTCCCCACAATTCCATATTGGGTTGAGATTTGTTTTTGTTTTTTTAAAAAATATTCTCCATTATAATCCATGAGCATTTTAGTGTGGATTTATCCTTACAGGCACATTTTTGCATGCAGTTTCACCTAAGATGCACAGTTTTACAAAGCAATTTCCACTAATACAACACATTTTTTGCATGTTATTTTCACCAATATATGCATTTTGCATGCTATTTTCACCAATATATCAGTTTTTATGCACACTTCACCCTAATATATGCATTTTTGAACACACTGCTTGGCTAGAGACGTTTGGCTGAGGGATGAGACTTGGAGTCCAATGACATCTGGAAAGCCCCAAGTTCGCTATCCCTAGCTTAATGGATCCTCCATGTTCAGAGGCACTATGCCTCTGAATACCAGTCACTGGGGAGAAAGAGCAAGATTGCCTTCACGTCCTGCTTGTGGACATCCCTGGGGCATCTGGTTTGCCACTGTGGGAAACAGAATGGTGCTTTAGTCTGATCCAACAGAGCACTTCTTTTGTTCTAAGAAGAAGTGGTGAAATGGGAAGGACAGAAGAAGAGATGCTATGGAGTAGAGGAAAAGGATACAAATATGAGAGTGACAGGAAGAAAGACCTATAGGTGGTTCTGGAAAGGAAGATCCAATGACAGAGCAGCAATTCAGACCATTGTCATGGACTGGTTGGACCCAAAGAAATAGTGGCAGCTGGGGAGCCCTCAAGAGAAGAAAGCTCAGAGTGGTGGTGGGACCAATGAGTGGTCAGAGGGAGAAAAGGGAGCAGATTGGGAGGAGGAAGTGTCAGAAGCTGAAGATGCAACAGGACTTAGTGAGCAGGGAGAGTCTGTGCCAGAGAGAAGTCCAGAATCAGAATCAGACCCAGAAGCAGGAGAGCAGGGAGGCCAAGAGGCAGAGATGAGTCAGGCTGGGGAAGAATCCAGGGGGTCTTCCCCTCCTGCTGCGGCAAGCTCCCTTCCCCACTGGTCTCCCAGGACCAGGTGAGACATGAAGCAGGAGGAGGAAAGGCAGACACAGTGGAGTCTCAGATTGCTTGGGAAGGATCTGGGCAAGGAGAAGATTTAGGCAGCTGTGGGAAGGCAGGGACCTTCAGACTCTGCAAGTACATCACAGGGGCAAGACCTACTGAAGAAGAATTGAAGAGTGCTCATTAGGTACTCCTAAACAGAACCTGTTTCTTTTAATAAGGAGTTCACTTTCTCTGTGTGGTTTATTGCTGGCTCACTTCTAACAACCATAACAAAAAAATTCCTTCCAGTAGCACCTTAAAGACCAACTTTAACAACCATGTTACCTGTGACAGCATCTATAGAGATGGGCCCGTGCCGCTTCCTGCCAGAGATGCCATAGAGGTTGAACTTGTATCTGTGGGAAGTGGTCAGGTCCTTGATGACGACTGTGCGGGAATCAGCATCGACGGGTACCGCCTGGAGCTTTCCTTCAGTGTCCTTGTACTGGATGAGGAAGGAGTCGAATTTCCCAGCAGAGATGGTCCAAGAGAGGCGGACAGTGTCCTGAGTAACCTCAGAAATGGAAAGATCGCCCAGTGTGGGCTGGACCTCTGTTTTCACCATTGGAGCTAGAACAAATAAGAAGAGCAGCAAAAATGAATGTAAATCTTCTTGTTCTGTTATGTAATGCGGACGCTAGCCCCCAATTTATTTATTTCACAACATTTATGTAATGCTTGATTGTACAGTCGTACCTTGGATCCCAAACTTGGACGTTTTGGCTCCTGAATGCCGCAAACCCGGAAGTGAGTGTTCCGTTTTGCGAACGTTCTTTGGAACCCGGATGTCCAACAGGGCTTCCGTGGCATCCGATTGGCTGCAGGAGCTTCCTGCAGCCAATCAGAAGCTGTACTTTGATTTCTGAATATTTTGGAAGTTGAATGGACTTCCAGAACGGATTCTGTTCAACTTCCAAGGTATGACTGTAATAAAACCACCACTAAGCGGTTTACAAAAAATAAATAAACTAAAACTTTAAGATTATCAATATAAGATAGTTTAAAATTCATTTAAAAACATTAAAAAGTAAATTATAATAAACAGTAGGCAAAATGATAAAAACACATGGCAGCATTCCATATGCTGGATAGGTATGCCTAAACAAAATGTTTACATGTTTCAGCCAAGAGCTGAAAAGAATGCAGCAAATGTGCCTGCCTGATGTCTAAAGGCAGGGAGTTCCAAAGTTTAGGTGCTGCCACAGTAAAAATCAATTTATTACAAGTATGGAATAAATGTTCTGCAGCTATGGAGTAAGGCAATGGCGCAAGTAGATTCAGGCCTAATATAGCCCTGGTTGTTCAAACAGGATAATAATAAAAATTGCAGGTAAGATGTGCAATTTAAGAACAACTTTGCAGATCTGCTCATCATCCATAACTGGTACAGAGGTGAGAACTGTAGAATACAAGATATACACAGTCAAGATAAAGCTATACTATATTTATATAGCTATACTGTAGATATGCATAGGAACTGGGAATGCAGGAGTGAAAGAGTCTCAGAGGAGGATAAAATCAAATGAATAAAACCAGGGGGGAGGAAAGAGGGGGTGTTATACCCTTCCCAGGAATTCTGGGTCCCTGACCTGTGACTGCTTCCGTGGAAATGGGTCCAAGACGCTTCCGTCCAGAGATGCCAAATAGGTTGAACTTATATTTACGGGAGGGCACCAAGCCGGAGACTATGACATCGCGGGAGTCTTTGTCCACAGGCAGTGCCTGAGGCTTGCCCTCTGCATCTCGGTACTGAATGATGAAAGAGTCAAAATCCCCGGACTGGACATTCCAAGACAGACGAACAGTTGTGCTGGTGATGTCAGAGGCTGAGAGCTCCCCCAGACTGGGCTTGGGAGGGGCTGGCTGTTCTGAAGCGGCTGGGGATAGGAAAGAGAGAGGCAGAAGCTTGAACCAACGAGGCTTTGATAAAAGCCTTTATTTCACCTCCACGTTATCTTTTATCTAAAAAGGAACAGCCATGTTAATCTGAAGTGGCAAAAATTCCAGGCACTCGTGCCTGGTCCATTGGGAAAACTCCAGAAGAAACAGTAGCATAAATATATTTTTCAGGTCACAATCCACACCATATATTTAAAATGCATCTAAGGTCTCCCCAGCCCCACAAAATCCTGGGTTAAATTGTGTCATTAACCAGCAGAACCACTACTCATTTTCCTTTAAAATCAATGCAGGAACATTGCAAAGTTAATTTATACATCAGGCACCAGGGGGAGTAGTGTCCTTGTTGTGCAGAAGTGTATATAAGGTAATGAAGCAGTGATCCTGGAGCTTAGAATACAACAGGTATAGTAGGGCTGCCATACATCCAGAATTTCTCGGACATAGCCTAACTTTTATGTCTGGATTTTTCACTTTTTGAAATATCGCAACCCTAAGATATAGTATAAAAGGGACGCGGGTGGTGCTGTGGGTTAAACCACAGAGCCTAGGGCTTGCCGATCAGAAGGTCGGCAGTTTGAATCCCTGCAACGGGGTGAGCTCCCGTTGCTCGGTCCCTGCTCCTGCCAACCTAGCAGTTTGAAAGCACATAAAAGTGCAAGTAGATAAATAGGTACCGCTCCAGCGGGAAGGTAAACGGCGTTTCCGTGCGCTGCTCTGGTCTGCCAGAAGGGGGTTAGTCATGCTGGCCACATGACCCGGAAGCTGTACGCCGGCTCCCTTGGCCAATAAAGCGAGATGAGTGCTGCAACCCCAGTCGTCCACAACTGGACCGAACGGTCAGGAGTCCCTTTACCTTTTTAAGGTATAGTATATGTGAAATGCTGAATAAACATTCTGCAAAGGACCGGAGCTCATTGCTAGAGAAGCTACCATGCATGCAGGTCAGGTTCAGTCCGCCACATCTACCTATTTATCTACTTGCACTGGCATGCTTTCAAACTGCTAAGTTGGCAGGAGCTCACCCTGTCACGGGGATTCAGACCGCTGACCTTCTGATCAGCAAGCCCAAGAGGTTCAGTGGTTTATACCACAGCGCCACCCGCATCCCTTTGCATGGAAGAGAGTTCAGCTAGGATAAGTGGGGGTGGACAGCCTAGGGAAGAACCTCTCCCCGACCCAGAAGGCACATTGCATGACTTCTCTTAAAACCTTGTGCCTCAGTTTACCCTTTGTCTAAGCATCCTAACACATAAAGGTAAGGCAGTTTAGTTAGGTCATTTAAAAAAAATAAATCCTCCAACATTTCAAAGATAAAAATGATGTATTTGTAAACACATGCACACCCGTTTTCATATGAGAATATGCGAAATGGGGGGGAAGGGGAAAGGAAAATCAAAGATGTCGTTTTTATATGTGAAATGTAAAAGGATTTTTTTTTAATATAAAAAAATGACTGTTTGGCCAGGAAGTGAGGAGTGGGCAGCTGAATTTCTGGAGGTCAGGGAACAGAGAGCTGTGGGAATGGCAGAAATAAAAATTTAAAACATGGACTGAGAAAGTAACGGCAATGGTATAGGGTTAAATCAAGGGGGTACTTTTCTGTGAGCGCATGCTGAGGAAAGGCATGATGCCTGCTGGGAAATGCAACAGCAGGAGTTAATTTTGTTAGGGTTGAAGTCAACTAGCCAAGAGGGTCATGTGGGGAGGTGTTGCTTAGCAACCAAGCACAGTGGCATGATCCTCACTGAGGTAGCACATGCTCTTACTGCTGTGTATTTCTGAGGGAGTTTTATTCTGTATGCTTGGTTGAATGTCTCTGTGTTGTGTGCAAGGCTAGAACTACATAAGAAAAACAAAACTTTGCTGTTCTTTTCTCATCAAATGACACACTCTTTTCATTCTTTTTTGTCAGTAAAGCGTTATCAAGACTTTTCTCTCTGGGCTCCGACTGCGTTATTTAAGTAACTTTGCCAACAATGCCATAGTAGATGGGTCTACTGTTATTCTGTGTTTCCCAGTGGCAAGCTGAAATCCAAAACAGAAAAGCATCAGCAAAGCCCACAGCTCTCAAGACGTGCTACTGGGGAGAGGGGAGAGCGATTTGTGTGTGAGAGAGACCTAGAATGAAAAGAGAAATGAGAGAAATGGTTGCTAGGTGGCCACTGAACCACCAGGGCTGACCTGTGGTGGCCTCTGTAGAGATGGGCCCGAGACGTTTGCGGCCCGAGACGCCGTAGAGGTTGAACCTGTATTTGTGGGAGGGGACCAGATCATGAAGCCGCAGCGAGCGCAGGCCACCATCCACGGGCAAAGCGTGGGGATTGCCATCCGCATCCCGGTACTGGATGATAAAAGAGTCGAAATTCCCAGTCTCCACGGTCCAGGAGAGGAGGACTGATTCTGGGGTGATGTCATGGGCTGACAATTCTCCAAACTTCAGCTGAGTGAGGGCCCCAGGCTGGGTGCCTGGAACAGAGACATGAGATAGGAGATGCCGGTTTAAAAATATTTTAACAGTGAAACTGCAGAGAGCAGCTACTGGCACATTTTGTCATTTAACACAGATATAAAGAACAAAGAAACAGCTAAAAGAAACTGAAAAGAGAGGTTACAGTTATTATATAGCACAGCAGCCTTCAATCTTTTCAGACCTGGAACTCACTTTTAAGACACACATGCACTTGGGGACCATTTCTTAATATTCTTTTGCTACATGGCAGTAGTGCTGCTATTGCAACCTACTTTGGATTAGGCTTCAGCCTGAAAGTGGGCCCGTTGAAGGCCAGTGACAAAGCACATCTGTTTGTCAATGTTTGTTTTTTACCCAAAAAACAAAGCCACATGTTTCAACTGACTTCAGCTTGGTAACAGCGTAATGGTAATGAAGTCCATCCGAAACATTGCTGCTGGCATGACTCACCTTAGGGTGGACTGTGACCCAGCTGTGAGACCCAAATTGTTACTTTGCCATTATGAGCGTTTTTCTTTTTTTTAAAAGAAGGCTATTGGGTGCCTGTGCGTGATTTGGTTGAAACTTGAAGAAGGCCAGAGGTCTTTAAAGCCCTCTGCAATTCTCCTCGTAATTTGAGCAGCGGCAGTTATTGTTCAAACAAGGAGATATTCCCACATTGGTAGTTGGCCTCCAATACTCACTGCCATGAATTGGGACATACTGGGAAGTGATGGAACAGGCCCAAATATGGTAACATGAACAGGGAAAGCAGTTCAGAGATTCGTATTTCTTTATAGAGAAGCCTTGGAGGGTTAACATCCCCTCAAGCGCCATCAGGGCCTCTCAGGAGGACAACACTCTGATGAGTTAAGACTTTCTCAGAGTGCCCCCCACCCAGCCCTAGGGGCTGAGGCGCTTGACCAAGGAGGGAGGGAAAACAGGAGATTGGGGGATCAAGCTGTGGCCAGTCCCCAAAAGTCAAGCAAGACGGGCAGGAGAAAGGAGCAGGAACATTTTCTCTCAGTAATGCTAACAAACCAGGGAAAAGAACCTGCAGAGCTGGGAAGAGCTGGGAGCCAATCCAGGGCATCTGCAGGAATGTTTCTAGTGGCAGGAGGGTGGGGAAAGTTAGGAGGGGAGCAGGCTCGCTTCTCACACACAAAATGAGAAAACTAGGATTTTGCCTCATGTCTCAAATGCTTGTAGAACTCTCTCTCTCTTTAATGAAATGTGGGAATCTGGGGATTATGGTCTATTAGCGTCTAAGAGCACAGTGAGGACCCGAGGAGCCTGCATGTGGGAGATTCTTTGTAGCACAGACCGAGGCCTAATTGCCTCTGAGGTAATGGGCGCTATACAGACGACCAGTGCTTTTTTCTGGGGGGGATGCAGGGGGATGCATACCCCTGAACATTTTGTGAATCTAAGTTTGGTCTCAATGAGTGGCAGTATTTCAATATGAGTAGGAAAATGAGAGTACCCCTAAACATTTTTTTAAAGAAAAAAAGCACTGCAGATGACTCTCCATTTACATGAGGGTTACGTTCTGGGGATAGCGCATAAAGCCAAAATTGCATATAGTCAAAGTGCATGGGCAGGTGAGATTGCCAAAGTACCCCCCCCCCCCCGACGCCTTAAATTTTTTTTTTTTTTTTTTTGCCAAGCACATAAAGCTGAATGTGTACAAGTAAAATGTGTGCACATTGCGAGTTACTCAGGCCGTGGGGGCAAGGCAGGGCTCATGCGACTGAAAATAAATTATCTCTACACTGCAAACCGGCACATGCCAGGGACAAGGGTTTGGGCCTAGCTCACGTATTAGTTTTCTACATGGAGGAATCGAATCTTGAGGGAGCTTTCCATCCTGCGAGTCTCCCACTCATATACCCCATTGCGGACTCAGGTGGGGCAGCTGGAGCAAAGCCAAGGCCTTTGGTCTAAACGGGCGTTTGTTGCTGTGCCCCCTGAGAGAGCGTGCCTAGCCGGTTCCTGACAGGCTGGTGCTTGGAGTGCACCTCGTGGCAAATGGCAATGACAAGAACAGGCAGTATTTCCTCTTCCCTCTTCACTTTAAACAGCTCTCTGAGTGAACGGGGTCTGAAAAAGAGACTGAGCGAGTGCAGATAGGACTGCCAGGCCGTGGAGCAAGGAGAACCCAGTTCAGGTCCCTGATCCCTTATCTTTCAGCCTAGCCCAACCTGGAAGGATAAAGCAAGGAAGGAGGAACTGTGCAGACCGTCTAGAGCTGCTTGGAGGAAGGCTGGGATATAAACACAGTTAATAGTACAGTACAGGGATTTAGCAGGAAAGAACAGTTTGTTGAGCTGAAGTCACAATTCATGTGAGAGGCAGATTTCTTTCTTTTTTGAATTACGTTTCTCATAATGCAGCTGCCGCAATTCCGCTAAGGAAAGAAAGTGTGTGTGGGGGGAGAGCCATAGCTTCCAAACCAAGGACCCCTGCCCCCCCCCCCCAGCGAAGGTGCCATCTGACCTGTGACAGCATCTGTGGAAATGGGACCGAGACGCTTGTGTCCGTAAATGCCATAAAGGTTTAACTTATATCGGTGAGAAGGAGCCAGGTTGGGAACAGTGACGTCACGGGAATCACCGTTTAGGGGCAGCACCTGGGGCTTGCCCTCTCTGTCTTTGTACTGGACAAGGAAAGAGTCGAAGTTGCCCGCAGGGACGCTCCAAGAGAGGCTGACGGAGTCGCTGGTGGTCTTGGACACAGAGAGATCTCCGAGCCTGGGCTGAGTTTCCGCGCTTGGCGCTGGTTCTGGAGCTAGAGGGAGAAAGAAGGGTGCGGAGCAGAAAACGAAGAGGTTCTTGTCACAAGCTGAAAGCCTAAAGTGCCGTTAATTATTATTTTTTTAAAAAAAGAATTGTCAAGATAGCTCAACAGGGAGAAACACAATGGAGAATGTCAACCTGCTGGACTGAAATCAGGAGAGGAAGCTGGTGAGTGGAGACGGATTTGAACCATAATTTGGGGGGTGGGTGTAGGGTGATTGGTGCCCCTTTTAATAACTGTGCATTGGGCCAAATATTGTATTTTTCCATGTATAAGACTATATTTCTCCCAGTTTTTTCAAGTTTAAAATTGGGGGTCGTGTTATACACGGGGGCATGTTATACACGGAAAAATACGGTAATTTTAAAGGTATGCTTGGGTTCCATAGAAACTTATCAGTGGTTCTTTGGTTTGGGCCCCATCCAGACACCCCTTTTTATTGCACATTTGCGATTTGCTCTCTTGATGTGGATGTGAGCAATCAGAGCTTTCAACACTTCTTGTGCCTGCAAAAGTTTTTGGAGATACCACACTGACTCATTTCTGATCAGTGCATATCCTGCTAAATATCCTAGCTTTTAAATTTTCTGGTTTATTTTTCAAAATCTCCTTGAGAGTTCCAACAATAGAGCATGTCAATGCTCCACCTGCTGCAAAATGTTGCACCTAGAAAGTTGATGGGCAAATAACTTTGGTACTCAAGAGCTTCCACTGGCTGCACATATGCCACCAAGCCAGATTCAATGTTCTTGCATTAATTTACAATTCCCTTAACATCTTTGTTCCAGGAAACCTCAGGGACCACTTAATCCCCTATATTCCTGCCCAATCCCTGAGACCTTTGGGTGAGTTACCGTTAGAGGTCCCCTGCAGCCCGGATGCAAGGCTCATATCTACCGGGAGCTGTGCATTCTGTATTATGGGCTCAAAATCAGTGGAACCCCCTTCCACTTGATGTCAAGCAAGCCCTCTTGAACTTCCAGTTCCTGCTGAAGGGTTTTTTTAATGGACCTCTCATTTTGTAGTTTTAACTCATTCTTATTGAGTGCCGAGGGCCTTCTGGCGGTTCCCTCACTGCGAGAAACCAAGTTACAGGGAACCAGGCAGAGGGCCTTCTCGGTAGTGGCACCCGCCCTATGGAACGCCCTCCCACCAGATGTCAAAGAGAAGAACAACTACCAGACTTTTAGAAGACATCTGAATGCAGCCCTGTTTAGGGAAGCTTTTAATATTTAACAGACCACTGTATTTTAATACTTTGTTGGAAGCCGCCCAGAGTGGCTGGGGAAACCCAGCCAGATGGGTGCGGTTATAAATAGTAAATTGTTGTTGTTGTTGTTGTTGTTGTTGCAGCAAATTTATTGTATAGTTAATTATAATTTAGCGGTATATAAATTGTTTGCATGAATGAATGAATGAATGAATGAATGAATGAATGTGGAAACCCTGGAGACCCTTCTCTGAAGACTGTTGTTTTGAAAACCAAGGTGCTCTTCTGCCCTCTTTGCTCTATTTCAAACCTGGGGAAAAAGTTTCCCTTTCACATTCCTTCCCTGCACCTGTTAAGGATGCAGGAGCTCTGTCATTTAAAACACCAACAACTCATAGAGGGGGAGCCTTTGTGATTGCAGTGTCAATGTGGCCAAAGTCAAAGGCATCCAGGGAGCTACGAAGAAGCCTCTGCTGACCTGTGACAGCATCAGTCGAGACAGGCCCAAGGCGCTTAGAGCCAGAGACTCCGAAGATGCTGAATTTGTATCTCTGCGACGGCATGAGGTTGTAGAGGTGGAGGGAGCGCATGGTGCCGTCCACAGGTAACACCTGGAGCTTCCCTGCAGCATCCTTGTACTGGATGAGGAAAGAGTCAAAGCTACCTTCCTGGATGTTCCAGGAGAGGAGAAGAGAGTCTGGGGTGACCTCAGAGACTGTGGCGTCTCCAAGGCTGGGCTGAACTCTTTGGCCTGCGGCTTCTTCGGGCCTCTTCTCCTCCTCACCTGGTGGAGTTGTTTCTGGAGCTATAAGAAGATAGAGGAAGACAGTGGAGGAAGTTGGGATACAGCTTCTAGGAAGGAAAACGACCTTGAGGTCAGGGTGGTTTTTTGGTGGAGGCCTCTACCTTTAGCTCCCTTCATGCTTGAGACACAAAGAGCAGAGAGGAGAAATTTCCACATGCACAATTCATGCAAATCGTGCCTACTGTATGCATCTGTTTTTATATGAGGTCACCCGTGTTTTTTCCTGTGCGATATCCCACTGGGAGTGACAGAACATTATCAAGTGTCATTGCTCCCAAGCAGCAATGGACCAATCTATCAATTTCAGGTTCTCATTTTTTCAATCTTCAGTTCAGTTCTCCATGTTTCTGTGTCCCTTCGCTTTTTTAAAAAAAAACTCCTCATGAAAATTCATCAGCATATTAGTGCAATTGTCTCCTAAAATGCACATTTTTCTTTTTTAACTTTAAAAAATATTTGTCTGTATAGTTATATTATGTTAAAGTGTTTGCCTGAGCTTTAAAAACATAAAAATACACATTTTTCTATGCAATTTCACCTAATCAATGTATTTTTGCAAAGTGTTTCCCCCCTGATATTTGTATTTCCTGTTAACGCACATTTTTATGTCATTTTCACTAATATATGCATTTATAATGCACACTTATGCGTTTTTGAATGCATTGCTTGGCTGGAGAACTGCTTCGCAAAATTTGGAGAAGTGCCAGTTTCAAAGGATGGCTGCTTTTCTGTTTGCTTCTTGCTTCAGAAGGTGGGAATTGGGTAGGTTCAGAGTAAGGTGAGAACTGAACCCAATTTCTTCCCCAGCTCTTGCTTCTAGGGGACTTGCTGCATTGCATCCAAAGAATGTGGCAGCAAGGAGCCTTGTGGGTGGCTTAATTACCCTTTAAAAAGAAATAAATACATTTCAGAGGGACAGAGGCTGCCTCAGAACAAGTACTTTTAAATTTCTGTACTTTTCTGGGACTTTAAAAGATTTTTGCTTTAAAATCCATACAGGAATGGGGTGGGGTGGGCTCAGTCCTGCTCCCATTCAGAACTGGGCTGGACCAGACTTTAATGGGCCCATCCATCTCCAATGAGACTGCTGGCCCTCTTGTGATTAGAATGGTATGGTTATAGCTGTAATGTGCTGCATCTTGTTTGCTTGGGCATGGTATTGATTCAATTGTTTTGTTTTAAATTGTGTTTTTAATTTGTTCATCGCCCACAGAAAGGATGCTGTGGCATGGGACCGTAAATTAGGATTTCATGCCACAGTATACTTTTTGTGGTCAACGAACAAATTAAAAACACCATTTAAAACAAAACAATTGAAGCAATGCTAAATCCAAGCAAACAACCACACTCAGTGTAGAAACAGTCAGGTCCCAGAAGTTCCAGCAAATAAGGGCACAAGTTCAGGTTGAGGGGAAGTTAGTTCCTCAATAGAGAGGGGCTCCCTTTCTGACGTTGCCAATTGCAAAATTTGGATGCATTCAGTAAGCTTCTATATTAAACCACAAGGTCAAGAATCTCTCTCTCTCTCTCTCTCTCTCTCTCTCTCTCTCTCTCTCTCTCTCTCTCTGTGTGTGTGTGACACAGATGCTGTGAATCAGAGGACGCTGACTTCTGTGCCCATCCAAAACCACATTATGAAATTTTCATGCATTCTGTGGATCTGAACCCTATCAGGAGAGGGGAATGAGCAGATGATGAGGAAAGAAGGAAAGACGTGCAGTGATCCGCCCACAGATGGTTTCAGAAACTAGCAGCTGACCTAGAACCTATTAAAGAGGAAAAGTTGAGTTAAGGAATAGGGAGGGTGAAATCATTAGTACTCCCCAGCACCCCAATTTCTCCAGGAGTTGCTGCTGACCTGCTGTCACAGCATTGGCAGAGTTGGGTCCAAAACGCTGGTTTCCATAGACGCCATAGAGATTGAACCTGTATTTGTGAGAGGGGACCAGGTTGGAGACAATGACCTCACGAGAACCCCCTCCTACAGGAAGTGCCTGGGGTCTTCCCTCTGCGTCCTTGTACTGGACAGAGAAAGAATCAAAGCTTCCTTCGGGGACGCTCCATGAGAGACGGGCAGCGTTGCTGGTGACCTCCGAGACCGAGAGCTGTCCCAGGCGAGGTTCCACCTTTCCTTCCACCGCTTGCACGTCAGGATCTGTGGCTAGAGTTAAAACGAAGATGGTGAGGGAGAGAATGCTGCTGGGGTATCTTCGCTAGGATGTTTCTTGCCTTCTACAGGTCTCTCCAGCTTTAGGAAGAGGAGAGGCGGGAAAGCATGCTAGCACAATAGGTAGGGAAATTTGGGAAACTGTGACATGCAGTTGGAAACTTCCCACATCTACATGCAAGCTGCCAGGAATTTCTAGGGCTAGATATGGCGTGTCTGTATGCTGCACAGTGAAGAAGAAGAGTTTGGATTTGATATCCTGCTTTATCACTACCCGAAGGAGTCTCAAAGCGGCCAACATTCTCCTTTCCCTTCCTCCCCCACAACAAACACTCTGTGAGGTGAGTGGGGCTGAGAGACTTCAGAGAAGTGTGACTAGCCCAAGGTCACCCAGCAGATGCATGTGGAGGAGCAGAGACGCAAACCCGGTTCACCAGATTACGAGTCTACCGCTCTTAATCACTACACCACAATGGCTCTTGATAGTGATCTATCAAGGCTTCATGCTAGTGTGTTCCTTGCAAAATGAAGCTGTCAAGGCTTGACCAACTGCACCAGAGTGGGGTGAGAGAGGAGCCAGACATCAGAGGGGCAAGCCAGAAATGGTGGTGTCTGGTATCTGTTGGGTTTGGTGGTGCGTAAGGCAGGAGGCCAACAGTAGGTGGAGCCAGAGGCAATGACAAGCAGAGCCAACGAATTCTAGATTTGTTCCGATCCTTCTTCCTGCCCTGTGAGACAAGAGCAATGCAAAAGCTAAGGAGGAGGAGAAAGCTGACAGCTTGTGCCACCGTGTGGGGTGGTTGTAAGAAGGCAGACAGGTGGGGGTAGCTGAGGACAGGCGGAGTCCAGTGGGGCAGTGGCTTGTTTGCCCTATAAGGGGAGGAACGAGCAGGAAAGAAAGAAAGACAGCAGGACAGGCACTGATCCTCCCCGAGGGTTTTAGGGACCTAATAAAATGTAATAATGTGTAAAAGATCAGTTAGAGTGAGGAGGTGAAATCATTAGTACACAGCCCCCTCAATTTCTCCCGGAGGTGCTGCTGACCTGTCATCTCAGCAGTGGCAGATATGGGTCCCAAACGCTGGTTTCCAGAGATACCATAGAGATTGAACTTGTATTTGTGAGAGGGGACCAGGTTGGAGACAATGACCTCACGGGAGCCCCCTCCTACAGGAAGCGCCTGTGGCTTTCCCTCTGCGTCTCTGTACTGGACAGAGAAAGAATCAAAGCTTCCTTCTGGGACGCTCCATGAGAGACGGGCAGCGTTCCTGGTGACCTCCGAGACTGAGAGCTGGCCCAAGCGGGGTTCCCTTCCGGTAGAGTCCTCTGCATCCACCTCGTCTCTCTTTAGCTGTGTTGCTGTAAGAATTAAAACAGAAATGGCAAGTGAGGGACCGATGCTGGGATAACATTGTAGTGGGCATTGGCCTTCAGATATTCTACCAGAGGAAGAGTGTATACTACACATAGTAAAGGTAAAGGGACCCCTGACCATTAGGTCCAGTGGTGGCCGACTCTGGGGTTGCAGCGCTCATCTCGCTTTATTGGCCGAGGGAGCTGGCATTTGTCGTCAGACAGCTTCCGGGTCATGTGGCCAGCATGACAAAGCCGCTTCTGGCGAAACCAGAACAGCGCACAGAAACGCCGTTTACCTTCCCGCCGGAGCAGTACCTATTTATCTACTTGCAGTTTGACGTGCTTTCGAACTGCTAGGTTGGCATGAGCAGGGACCGAGCAACGGGAGCTCACCCTGTTGCGGGGATTCGAACCGCCGACCTTCTGATTGGCAAGCCCTAGGCTCTGTGGTTTAACCCACAGCGCCACCCGCGTCCCTTTACCCTTTATAAAGAAATAAATACATTTCAGAGGGACAGAGGCTGCCTCAGAACAAGTACTTTTAAATTTCTGTACTTTTCTGAGATTTTAAAAGATTTTTGCTTTAAAATCCATACAGGAATGGGGTGGGATGTACTCAATCCTGCTCCCATTCAGAAGTGTGATGGACCAGACTTTAATGGGCCCATCCATCCCCAATGAGACTGCTGGCCCTCTTGTGATTAGAATGGTATAATTATAGCTGTAATGTGCTGCATCTTGTATGCTTGGATATGGTATTGATTCAATTGTTTTGTTTTAAAGTGTGTTTTTAATTTGTTCATCGCCCACAGAAAGAATGCTGCGGCATGGGACCATAAATTAGGATTTCATGCCACAGTATACTTTCTGTGCTCAATGAACAAATTTAAAACACAATTTATACTTTAAAACACACAGTATACTTTCTTTGTCACCATCTTGCCAGACAGAAGGCCTGATGCAAGGAAAGATGGACTTTCCTGCCGGTTCGTTTTCTGAAAAAGAGATCTGCAACCAAAGCAGTAAGAAAGGGAAAGCGGAGGGAGGAAACAGAGGACTGGAGTAAACAGCTGTCTTGAAATTACAGAGAGAATGGCATCCATTTTTAGATCCTCTGCTGACCTGTGACAACAATGACTGAGATTGGGCCAAAGCGCCTCCGTCCAGACAAGCCAAAGAGGTTGAACTTATATCTGTAGGAAGGCACCAAGTAGTAAATCACAACAGAGTTGGTCTCCTTATCTACAGGCAGTGCCTGTGGTTTATTGTCAGCATCCTTGTACTGGACCAGGAAGGAGTCAAAGATCCCAGAGGGGACATCCCAAGAGAGGCGTACAGAGTCGCTGGTGACGTCAGAAGCAGAGAGCTGCCCAAAGTCAGACCCTGGAGGTGGCGTTCCTCTTTCCCCCCTCTCCGTCACCGGTGTCAACGGAGCTGTAAAAAAAAAAAAAGTCAACAGTAGATGTTGGTGGAGCACCCTTTCCATGATCAACAAACTTCTGGCTGTGAGGTGTGCAAAATTGTACAGTAGATTGCACTTCTGGAAGAGGAAAATACTTAGACAGGCATAGTTTTATTGATCCTGGTTGCAGGGTTTTTAAATAACTTGGAATACTATGTGAGGCTCTGGTCACCTCAAAAAGAGCATTGTAAAGCGGGGGATGGAGCGAATTCATTTCTTTAAAAAGTGTATAACATCCTCATGAAAATTCATTGCATCTTACTGCAAAATTCTCTTCATATACACATTTTTGCAAGTGCAATTTCCCCTAACACAATGCAATTATTGTGTGGTATTTTCACCACACAATATGTGAAATTTTATCCACACTTTACTCCTGTATATGCATTATTGTACACACTGCTTGGCTTTAAAATCCATAGGTAAAGGTAAAGGGACCCTGACCATTAGGTCCAGTCGTGACCGACTCTGGGGTTGCGGCGCTCATCTCGCTTTATTGGCCGAGGGAGCTGGCGTACAGCTTCCGGGTCATGTGGCCAGCATGACTAAGCCGCTTCTGGTGAACCAGAGCAGTGCAGGGAAACGCCGTTTACCTTCCCGCCGGAGCGGTACCTATTTATCTACTTGCACTTTGACATGCTTTAGAACTTCTAGGTTGGCAGGAGCAGGGACCGAGCAACAGGAGCTCACCCCGTCGTCGGGATTCGAACCGCCGACCTTCTGATCGGCAAGTCCTAGGCTCTGTGGTTTAACCCACAGCGCCACCCGCGTCCCTCTTTAAAATCCATAGAAGTGTGAATTTTGAGGGTTGGCTATGTTTTGGCTTGCATGTTGTTTTGGGAAATGTGATTTTGGTAGTTTCACTTCAGAATGCAAACTGAATGGACTTTCTCCCCGATCCCATATCTAATGGAAAACAGTGTAAATCCTCCAGCAGAGGAGTGAACAGCCAATTCACTTTGGTCACATCCACGGCATACATTTAAAGCACTTACTAGACCACTTTAGCAGTCATGGAGAATCCTGCGGACTTTGTTTGTTAAGAGTGCTGACCTCGCAGAGCTAGAGTCCCCAGCACCCTTAAACTACAGTTCCCAGGGTAATAGTGCTTGAAGTGTATGCTGTGGATGTGTCTTTTCTCTCTAGGAGTTGGGCATGGGCCTTGTGTGTGCACTGCTGACCTGTGGAGGCATCAGTGGATACGGGGCCAAGCCGCTCGCCACCAGAGATTCCATAAAGGTCAAATCGGTATCGCTGGGAAGGAGACAGGTCAGAGACTGTGACCTCACGGGAACCACCATCCACAGGCATGGTCTGCAGCTCGTCCTCTCCATCTTCATACTGAACAAGGAAGGAGTCAAAATTCCCAGTTGGGACACTCCAGGAAAGACGGATTGAATTGCTGTTAGCTTCTGAGACTGAGAGCTGCCCCAAGCTAGGCTCACTCTCTCCATCATCTTCGTCATCTTCTCCCTCCTTGTTGTCCTCCTCGGCTTCAGCTAGAACAAAAAATGGGGAGTAGGAACAGAGGTAAAGGTCCTGCCGTTGTGAGAAATGAACCACCAGGATCATTTTGCTATCAAGTACAGGGAGGAAAGCATGAACAGACTAACACATCCTGATGGGAGAAAATTCCTGCAAGATAACAGAAAGGCAAATAGGGCAGCGAATGTGCATTTGTGGCAGAGTTCCTTCAACACAGCTGCTTATAACGCCGTCCATTATAGGAGGGAGGAAATGGGAAATTAGGGAATAAGAAAAAGGAGAGAACGAGTTTCAGGCTGTGTGCACACTCCAATTTACTCTGGACCTAGAGCGCTCCTGCCACTGGTTTGGGTAGAGGGATACACATGATGTGAGCCTTGATCCATATCTATCCTATATCTTTCATGTCATTGCTTAGGAAATACAGGTACTGCATTTCCCCCCAAGCCAGCTTTGATCCATAGTGAGAAAAAGAACAGCACAGCCTCATTGTAAATCAATTGTGTGCACAACCATAGTCCAATAGTTTGCCTGTATATGCTCCCCCTTCGTATTTTAAAATAAACCCTTTTTTGGCAAAACGCCCTACCCCCATAAATCAGAAAGCATTGCCTCCTCACAATGAAAGACTCTTTAAGAGACGTCCATGAAACTTCTGTGGATCAGGAATTGGTTAAGTAAAGGTAAAGGGATCCCTGCCCATTAGGTCCAGTTGTGACAGACTCTGGGGTTGCAGCGCTCGTTTCACTTTATTGGCCGAGGGAGCCGCCGTTTGTCCGCAGACAGCTTCTGGGTCATGTGGCCAGCATGACTAAGCTGCTTCTGGTGAACCAGAGCAGTGCACGGAAACGCCGTTTACCTTCCCGCCGGAGCGGTACCTATTTATCTACTTGCACTTTGAGGTGCTTTCGAACTGCTAGGTTGGCAGGAGCAGGGACCGAGCAACGGGAGCTCACCCCGTCGCCGGGATTCGAACCGCCAACCTTCTGATCGGCAAGTCCTAGGCTCTGTGGTTTAACCCACAGCGCCACCCGTGTCCCCTGGAATTGTTCAGAGAGCTTCAAACAAAAAGATTGGGAAGAGCTCCAAAAGGACCTCTCCAAACTGAATGAACAGGCAGTAAAGTGGCAAGAACGTAAGCCAGTATAAAGTACTGGATGTCAGGGCAAAAAAATAAATAAATCTTGATTTCACATATACACTCGTGAGGACTGAGCTGGCATTGACAGGCCAGGAACGAGACCTTGGGGACATAGTGGATAGCTTGATGAAGATGTCAATCCCATGTGTGGTAGCTGTGGGAAAAGACAAAATGTAAATGGAAGTGGGATGATGCAGACACAGCTTAGAAGGCGAGAGGATGTCACTGAGAGAATTTGCTTCCTCCTTTCTGCCCCTAAAACAGAAAATGAAGAGAGAAGACTTCTGCTGACCTGTGGTGGCTTCAGAGGAAATAGGGCCCAGGCGCCTGCGGCCAACGACCCCGTAGAGATTGAACTTGTATCTGTGGGAAGGAACCAGGTTGGGGACAGTGACCTCGCGAGCAACTCCCTCCACGGTCAGCGCCTGGGGTTTGCCCTCTGCATCCTTGTACTGGATCAGGAAGGAGTTGAAGTCCCCAGTGGGGACAGTCCAGGAGAGAAGAGCGGAATTGCTGGTGATCTCTGAGACAGAGAGCTCTTCTAGGCTGGCCTTCGCTGGGCCTTCGCCAGACACTGCAGCTGCTGAGGCCAAGAGATTAAAAACAAACAGGAATTAAATCTGTGTTCAGCTAGTACAGTGGTACCTCGGGTTAAGAGCTTAATTCTTTCTGGAGGTCCGTTCTTAACCTGAAACTGTTCTTAACCTGAAGCACCACTTTAGCTAATGGGACCTCCCGCTGCCACCACGTGATTTCTGTTCTCATCCTGAAACAAAGTTCTTAACTTGAGGTACTATTTCTGAGTTAGTGGAGTCTGTAACCTGAAGTGTCTGTAACCTGAAGCGTCTGTAACCTGAAGGGTCTGTAACCCGAGGTACCACTGTACGCTGGGTTCAGAGGCAAATAAATTAGGCTCGAAGCTAAGAGTGCCGAGTTCAAATTCCATCACCGCCAGGGATTTTCATAATTGACATGTAAGCAACACAGCTGAGTCTGCAAGTCTGAGACAGGGCAGGGCCTTAAACTGCTTTAGGAGTCACTCCCTCCTCTTGAGGAACTTAGCTTCACAAATTCGCCTCCACAGGAGGAAAAACAGTTAACATCCCCTTGTTAACTTCCTGCTCAAAATCTCACACATAGAATGAAACTCCACCCAAACTGCTTCTTCAGGGCCAGCACCAGGAGTCAGGGCAAACTCCATCGGCTGACACCCCTACCCCCTCCATCAGCAGCACTGGTCTGCTTTGCCCCCTCCTTTCCCCAGTGATGCCAAGCTCATCTAGCAGCAGGTAGGCCAGGGTTGCCCAGTAGTAGTGGGGCCAGCCAAAGAAGGGTGAGGCCTGGTTGACCGGACTCACCGGCAGAGGGACCACTGGAATTTTCCCACAATGCAATGATAATGCATTGCAGGCATGCCTTGAGGGAAATTTAAATGGCAGCGGTGCTGGTGAGTGTAGTTCAACACCAGGTAAAAATACAAATGAAATCAAAGGGCCCTTCTAAGTGACCCAGTTTCTGCTACCTTGGCAGAACCCCCTAGGCTTCCAATATTTACCTCATTATTGCCTGTATTAGCACCAGGCCTGGTAAATGTTCATTTTGAAAAGAGATCATTGAGTCTTTTTTATATGGATCTGCATATACATTTTTGTCTGAAATATGCGAAATAGCTTAATATAGCCAGACACATGCCGAGGGAGGGACAGACTTGATACTTTCAGTTTCTCTGTTTCCCATTTCCCCATATCTTTGTTTTTCCGAATTTCTGCATCAGTTTCTAATGATTTTTTTTTAAGCCTGTGTGAGAATTTGCCTGCATTTTAGTGTGCCAAATGGTTGTTGCCGGTATTAAATTTGTATGAAATTTTGCCTAATATACACATTTTAATGTATATTTCAGCCAACATAACTACATTTCCGTACGTTATTTTCTTGAGCATAGACATTTTTATTCCCACTTCCCCCAAATCTGCACATGTTTGTGTGCACATTATTTTGTTGTTTTGGTATCATACACACTGCAACATTTGGAAGAGTGCAGATTTTGAAGATCAGTTGTGTTTGTGTGTCATTTTGGGAAGGGCAAATTAAGTAGCTTTTCATGTGAACTGAACCAAATTTACACCACCACTCCCAATGCCCTATTCATGCCAAAGAGCCATGTGCTGACCTGTGACTGTGTCGGCAGAGACAGGGCCAAGGCGTTTGCGCCCTACAATCCCGTAGAGGTTGAACTTGTATCGCCGGGCAGGAGACAGGCCAGAGATGGTAGTCTCATAGGTGCCTCCATCCAAGGGCAGCTGCTGGGGTTTGCCTTCAGCATCCTTGTACTGGACTAAGAAGGAGTCAAATCTCCCGGATAGAACAGTCCAGGAGAGGCGGGCAGACTCACTGGTGACATCAGAGACAGAGAGTTCTCCTAAGGTTGGTGCAGCCAGCAATTCTGCAACTGGAGTAGAAAACAAGGAAAGAAAGAACAAAAATGAATAATTTGTAAGCACCAACTTGGCTCCTGTGATCAACTTATTTATCATTCAGTAGGTGGTTCTTCAGGCAGTGGCATGTAAGATGGGCAGGAATCAAAAGAATGGAAGAAGATCCCTGCTGGATCCGGCCAGTGGCCCATTCTAGCCCAGAATCCTGTTCCTACAGTGGTCAACCAGATGTCTATGGGAAACAGAAAGCACGAGTGCTCTCGCCACCAGCAATTTCCACCCAATGGTATTCAGGGGCATATACTGCCTTCAACAGTGAAGAGAGAACATAGACATCAGGGTTAGTGCATTGTCTAAAACAATACAGTAGTACCTCGGATTACATACACTTAAGGTTACAGACTCCGCTAACCCAGAAATAGTATCTTGGGTTAAGAACTTTGCTTCAGGATGAGAACAGAAACCGTGGCGCGGCGGCGCGGCAGCAGCGGGAGACCCCATTAGCTAAAGGGGTGCTTCAGGTTAAGAACAGTTTCAGGTTAAGAACAGACCTCCGGAACGAATTAAATACGTAACTAGAGGTACCACTGTACTGTACAGTGATAGTGCCGACTTAATGTCAATAGTTCCAAAGCATGGGAGCTGCCACACCGAAAGGCTGACTCCCTGCAAATGCAGAATGAACATTATTATTATTTATTAAATTTGTATACTACCCCTCATCTGAAGATCACAACAGAAAAAGTACAAAATGGGAACATAAAATACATAATGAAACAAACCAATAATTTCCCCTCCCACAAACACATTTAAAAAGCCATACAAAGTTAATCAGACGAATGCCTTGTTGAAGAGGAACATTTTCACCAGTGGTGCCTCGCAAGACGAAAAGAATTCTTTTCGTCTTGCGATGTTTTTCTTTTCGTCTTTTCGTCTTGCGATGTTTTTCATCTTGCGAAGCACGGTCCGTCACAACTGCGCCTCTTCAAGCGGCTTTTTAAAAAAAAGCGCAAGACGTTTTCGTCTTGCGAAGCAAGCCCATAGGGAAATTCGTCTAGCGAAGCAACGCAAAAACAGAAAACCCTTTCGTCTAGCGAGTTTTTTGTCTTGCGAGGCATTCGTCTTGCGGGGCACCACTGTAGTACCTAAAGATATGTAATGATGGCGCCAGGGAAGCCTCCCTGGGGAGAGCATTCCACAAACGGGGAGCCTCCAAAGTAGTAGTAGTAGTAGTAATAATAATAATAATAATAATAATAATAATAATAATTTATTATTTATACCCCGCCCATCTGGCTGGGTCTCCCCAGCCACCCTGGGCGGCTTCCAACAAAGTATTAAAATACACTGGTCTGTTAAACATTAAAAGCTTCCCTAAACAGGGCTGTTTTCAGATGTCTTCTAAAAGTCTGGTAGTTCTTCTTCTCTTTGACATCTGGTGGGGATGTCAAAGAGAAGAACAACTACCAGTAAGGACCCGTACTTGTGTTGCCACCCTCTGGACTCCTCGTGTAGGAGGCACACAAAGAAGGGATGATGGTCACAGGGTCCAGGTTGGTTTGGACAGTCCCACGTGGGCTCAGCCACTATATTTGCGTGAATTGACACAGAAAATAAATCCTGGGAAAGGGCCCCAGCTCATCAAGTGAAGCTGACCTGTGGTGGCATCTGTGGAGATGGGGCCGTGGCGCTTGCGGCCAGTGAGTCCGTAAAGGTTGAACTTGTATCTGCGGGAAGGAACCAGATTGGGGACGATGGTCTCGTGGAAGGCTCCCTCCACTGGGATTGCCTGAGGTTTGCCCTCAGCGTCCTTGTACTGGATCAGGAAAGAGTCGAAGCTCCCAGTGGGGACAGTCCAGGAGAGACGGATGGAATCGGTGGTGGCATCAGAAGCAGAGAGCTCTCCCAAGCTGGGCTGAGGAGCTGGCGTTGTTGGTAGTACAGCTGAAAAATGGAGAAATAGAGAATGGGCATCTTAAGGGATAGGGGAAACAAGAGGTAAGAGGTAAGAGAAGCAGAAGGCTCTCAGGAGCAGGGAGCTCCCCAGGCTGGGAGCAATTGAGGGCTCCTTTGGAGGTGACATTGAGGAAACAGACAGTAGCAGAGAAAATTTTCAACTGTCCTGAGTTGGTTCTCAGGAATAAAGGAATCTGCCTTGTATACTGAGTCAAGTCATAGAGAAAAAAATCATTTGACCTACCAGGGTGGTTCTCAGGAAAATAAGAAGCTACCTTATGCTGAGTTGGACCATTGGTCCATCTAGCTCAGTAGTATCCAGACTGACTGCTAGCAGCTCTCCAGGGTATCAGGCAAGAAATCTCTACTAGCCCTATCTGGAGATGTTTGGGACTGAATCTGGGACCTTCTTCATACAGAGCAGCAGATATACCTCTAAGCTATACCCATGACCATGTATTATTACTGGCAAAAGGTCTTTAGAACCTCCCCTTGCTGACCTGTGACTGTGTCAGTAGAAACTGGACCCAGACGCTTGCGACCAGAGAGTCCATAAAGGTTAAACTTGTATCTTCGGGAAGGCACAAGGCTGGAGACTGTGACCTCGCGGGAACCTCCGTCCACTGGGAGGGCCTGAGGCTTCCCCTCCGCATCCTTGTACTGGACCAGGAAGGAGTCAAAGCTCCCAGTGGGCACAGTCCAGGAGAGACGGACAGAGTCGGTGGTGACGTCTGAGACTGAGAGCTCTCCCAAGCTGGGCTGAGGAGCAGGTGTTGTTGGTAGTGGGGCTGCGAAACAGAGGAGGAAGAGATGAGAATGTACATCTTAACTGATGTGGGAAAGAAGAGATGAGACAGAGGTAGAAGGTTCTTTTAAGAAGAAGAAGAAGAAGAAGAAGAAGAAGAAGAAGAAGAAGAAGAAGAAGAAGAAGAAGAAGAAGAGTTTGGATTTGATATCTCGCTTTATCACTACTTGAAGGAGTCTCAAAGCGGCTAACATTCGCCTTTCCCTTCCTCCCCCACAACAAACACTCTGTGAGGTGAGTGGGGCTGAGAGACTTAAAAGAAGTGTGACTAGCCCAAGGTCACCCAGCAGCTGCATATGGAGGAGCGGGGAATCAAACCCAGTTCACCAGATTATGAGTCCATCGCTCTTAACCACTACACCATACTGGTTAATGAACTCTGTGATATCTGGCTGGCCTTGAGATGGGTGCTTCACCTCCAGGCCTGATGCTTTTACTTTAAGCAAGCAAGCAAACAAAACTCCATGTGACACTTTCCAATTTGCGGCAAGCGTTTTCTCCTAAAGCTGATCCCAAAGTGCCCCCTGCTTTTGGAACATGGGAAGGTAGCTGATACTGAGCCAGGCCATTGCTCCATCTAGCATTGTCTAATCCAGGGTTTCCCAAACTTGGGTCTCCAACTGTTGTTGGACTACAGCTCCAGTGTTGGACTACAGAGCCAGTGTGGTGTAGTGGTTAAGAGCGGTAGTCTCCTAATCTGGGGAACCGGGTTCGCGTCTCCGCTCCTCCACATGCAGCTGCTGGGTGACCTTGGGCCAGTCACACTTCTCTGAAGTCTCTCAGCCCCACTCACCTCACAGAGTGTTTGTTGTGGGGGAGGAAGGGAAAGGAGAATGTTAGCCACTTTGAGACTCCTGAAGGGGAGTGAAAGGCGGGATATCAAATCCAAACTCTTCTTCTTCTTCTTCTTCTTCTTCTTCTTCTTCTTCTTCTTCTTCTTCTTCTTCTTCATCCCTATCTTGCAGGACCAGTGGTCAGGGATGATGGGAATTATACTCCAAAAAAGAGCTGGAAACCCTGATCTACAGTGACTTGGCAGCAGCTGCTCTTCCATTGAGCTAGGTCCCTTTCCATACTATCCTCTTCTGAAAGGGACATCAGTTCTGGAGGCTTTGGGCAAACTAAATTCTAAAATACATTGAAATGAAGTGGGGGCTTGCCAAAATAGGAATTAGCACATGGCTGCGCTATTAATTCTTTTCAAAATCGTTAAAAGCTTTGCCAACATTTTTAACCCTGTGGTGTATCTTTTTGCCCCATTCTGCTCTGGTTCATCAGAAGCGGCTTAGTCATGCTGGCCACATGACCCGGAAGCTGTACGCCGGCTCCCTCGGCCAGTAAAGCGAGATGAGAGCCGCAACCCCAGAGTTGTCCGTGACTGGACCTAGCGGTCAGGGGTCCCTTTACCTTTACTTAGAGTAGACCCACTGATATTAACAGAACAAAGTTAGTTGTGCCCATTAAAGCTCCTGGGTTTACTCTTAGTAGAAAGTAACTGGGTACAATCACATGAAGATACAGAAGCGGTATGGAAGTTTATTGCATCTGAATATCCAGTTCCTCGAGCCAAGATGGAAATGTGAGCCTGGAGAGAATGCTGCCATGTTTGTCTAGGACAAATGCCTCCCCAAACCTGGTGGCCTCCAGATTGGGGGGAGGCTGTCTTAAAGAAGGATGGTTGCTGACCTGTCTCTGCTTCGGTGGAGATGGGGCCCAGACGCTTTCGGCCCAAGACACCATAGAGGTTGATCTGGTATCTGTGGGACGGGGCCAAGTCGTGGAGGTGAAGAGAGCGGAGGCGCCCGTCAACAGGGAGAACCTGGGGTTTGCCCTGAGCGTCTTGGTATTGGATGATGAAAGAGTCAAAGTCCCCAGCCTCCACAGTCCAGGAGACGTCAAGGGAATTTGGCATGGCATTACCAGCTGTTAGCTCTCCGAGCTTGAGTGCTGGAGTGGGCTTCACCATCAGTTGATCTGGAACAGAGAGAAGAATAAGGAGTCAATGGCCGCCATGAGAGAGAGAGAGAGAGAGAGAGGCTTCTTCCAACTTATCACCTATGCCAGAGGGTGTCGTGTTCTGCCCAGCGCTGGCATCACCACCTGGCATCATTGCCAGGGCCCTTACAGGCTCAGCTGCTGACCGGACACCCTTAATTTTCACCCCCTTTCCTCCCGGCACTCTCTTTTTCTAAAAAAAACCCCATAATTTTTATTGAGTTTTCCAAAATTAAATTTCGCATAAATTACCTAAACTTCCTAACTACCACGTTACTCAAAGTGAGTATCGACTTCCTTCCCTCCCTCTTTCTGACTTCCCCATTTTTTTTTTGTCAGATCATTCGCATTTCTACAACCACTTCTTTACTAAATATTATCTTTATCATTCACCCTCTTATATGTAAATTAGCTCCTTAATTTCACATTACATAACATTTCATGTTAAAGCTGCAAACGTTTTCAAATATTTACAATTTTCTTTCAAATAAATTATAAATTTGCTCCAGTCCTTAAGAAACAATTCATCGTGCCGGTTTCTTATCTTTCCCGTTAACTTTGCCAATTCGATATATTCTACCATCTTTATCTGCCAGACTGCGAGGGAGAGGAGTTTTAGCTGCTTCCATCTTTGGGCCATCAACATTCTTGCAGCCATTGTGGCATACATAAGCAAATTTACATCGGTTTTTTGAATTTCCTCATCAATTAACCCCAATACGAAGGCCTCTGGTTTTTTACCAGAATTATAACCTCCTGGCACTCTCAACACTGCCTGGCAAATGTATCTAGCCACTATTTTAATCTCCCACAAGGCCCTCAAGCAAGCATTGCTTTGGGGTTTCGTGGAAAACGTCAGTGGTGGCTAAAGTTGCATATTTCTGCAGTGCAGGACTACGTGATCCTAAGAGTCCCTTCCAACACGATGATTCCATGATTCTATATGACAATTGAAATGAATAATTTGCTCTGACATGGGGAAATCACACTTCTGGGGCACACTGGCTACTTCGTTTGTATATATTTGCATGCACCCTTGCTCTGCATTACAGATGGAGACGCGGCGACGCCCCTGCTCCTGAGACAGAACGGAAATAAACTGCTTCCCCTGTAAAAGAATTATGGTTGCTGTGACCTCAGCTGACCTGTGACCGCACTAGTGGAAATGGGGCCAATCCGCTTGCGACCAGAGATCCCATAGAGATTGAACTTGTATCTACGGGAAGGCAGGAGGCTAGAAATGGTGACCTCGCGAGAACCTCCGTCCACTGGAAGGGCCTGAGGCCTCCCCTCCGCATCCTTGTATTGGACCAGGAAGGAGTCAAAGTTCCCAGTGGGGACTGTCCAGGAGAGGCGGAGAGAATCACTAGAAACATCAACGGCTGTGAGTTCCCCTAGGGTGGGTTGTGGTGGCAGCGTCACTGCCAAGGCTAAAACAGAGAGGAAGAGAAAAAGGGGGTGAAGAGTGAAGTACAGTCGGAAACTCTTCTGCTCCTGTAAAAATTAAGTCATGATTAGAAGAATGCAAAAGGTCTCCCAGTATGCTCCCCCTAAGCCTTAGGGCCTAAGGCATAGAACAGACTGAAGAGCTGTACCAAAAGGTAAGATGAGATTAACTCGCCCATTGTTTTTCCCAAACAGCAAGGCTAAAAAGCAGGCACTCATAATTAGGGATGCTGGAGAATGCCAACTGGATCAGAAACAGGTGCAGAAATCACCTGTTTGCAGATTCACTAGTTGCCAGGACCGGATTAAGATACCGCAAATGCAAGTGGGCAGTTCTTGACAGCGTATTTCAAAGCTGCAAATAACTATCACCACTGGTGACTGACGCCCAAATGATGCATAAAAGCTATGGCTGTGGTGATCTGTATGCACTGGTAACCTCAAGTCGAAACAAAATTTAAAAATTCCTTCCAGTAGCACCTTAAAAAGAGACCCCTGACCATTAGGTCCAGTTGTGACCCACTCTGGGGTTGCGGTGCTCATCTCGCTTTATTGGCCAAGGGAGCCGGCGTACAGCTTCCGGGTCATGTGGCCAGCATGACTAAGCCGCTTCTAGGGAACCAGAGCAGCGCATGGAAACACCGTTTACCTTCCCACCGGAGTTGTACCTATTTATCTACTTGCACTTTGAGGTGCTTTCGAACTGCTAGGTTGGCAGGAGCAGGGACTGAGCAACGGGAGCTCACCCCCTTGCGGGGATTCGAACCACCGACCATCTGATCGGCAAGTCCTAGGCTCTGTGGTTTAACCCACAGTGCCACCCACCTTAGAGAGCAACTAAGTTTGTTATTGGGCTATCTACCTGTAACCTGTAACCTCAAGATTAGACTTTTGCAATGCGCTCTGTGTGGGGCTACCCTGGTGCCTGGTCCGGTGCAAAAAGCTGTGGCTACACTGTTGGCGGGGACAGACTGTTGCCATTGCATAAATCTAGTGCTTAAAAGCTTGCATGGGCTGCCCATATGTTAGAGATCCAAGTTCAGGGGTCATGTATTAGTTCACAAGGTCATTAACAACTTCGGTCCAGGATTGTTGAAGGACCGACTGGTCCCTTATATCCCTGTCTGACCACCGAGATCATATTTAATAAAGCAAGAAAAACTGACACCAATTTTCCATGCGAGTCCCCTTGCTACCTCAAATCTTCTACATTCTATCTCCCCACCCATTTAAATTGCCATAAATGTAGTGCAAACGGGGCTGGGAAAGTAGTTCACGAGGGAGAGGGAAAAGGAACTTTCACCTCAATGTTAAAATAAATGTAAAAAGTAAGTATCTGCTTGTGGCCAGGCTATCACTCGAGCAGAGAGGTTTTTCTTTCCTCCCGCCACCCAAGAAAGGCCCTTCAGGTGTAGAGCTCAAAAGGTCTGCCTGAAAGAGAACAGAAATTCATAGGCTGGGATGCATCTTCTTCCATTGCTGCAGATGTGCCCTGAGGAAGAAAGGAGAAAAGCGTGTCCGGGGTGGGGGGAGGGGAAAGACCACAGCCCAGTTGGCCAGTTCATCCACTGCTGACCTGTGACAGCCTCCACTGGCAGGGGGCCATAGCGCTTGCCGCGGTAAAGTCCGTAGAGGTTAAAGGTGTATCTGTGGGAGGGCTCCAGGTTAGGGACAGTGAGTGTGCGGGAAGCCCCATCCACGGGCAACGCCTGTGGCCTGCCATCTGCATCTTCGTATTCCACTAGAAAGGAGTCAAAATTCCCAGTTGGGACGGTCCAGGAGAGACGGGCCGAGTCACTGGTGATGTCAGAAACGGACAGCTGGTCTAGGCTGAGCTGAACGACGGTGACCTTTTCTGTGGTGGCCCCTGGTGGCGTTCCTACAGCAGCTAAAACAGAGAGAAAGTGTAACCCCATAGCGGTGGGACAAGATGTAGGGCAGCGGTGGGGGACTCTGTTACCAGCCTGAGGGATGCATTCCCTTCTGGTTCACCTCTGACAGTCCCCAGGCCAATGGTGGGTGTGGTCAGAGGTAAAAGAGGGTGGAGCCATGAATGTCAATGTTTCTTTTGCAAATTGGTTTCTCCCAATTTCTCCTTTTTCTAGTTTTGGGTTCAGCTTCATGGGCAAAGCCAGGATTTTTGTTGGGGGGTGGCAGGACTTTATTAGGGGGGCAGAACTAATGTGATTGGTCAGTATTTCTATTGTTTTACTTGATCGGCGGGGCAGGGCAGCAGCTGCCCCCTCTGGCTATGCCCATGTTCAGCTTGTTGCATTTCTGCAGCAATTTTAAATTTATTTTTGGGGTTTTTTGGGATTTTTAAGGATAAGGCACTATGAAAATTCAGCTGCAGGTATCTTATACCGTGGGAGACTGAGGCCCTTTAAGAGTCATGTTTTCCCTGCTAAAAGAAACATGGGATTTCTGGTTTGTTAAAGGAGATGAGAATTGTTAGGAGACTTTTAGCAAACTAGAGTATATGTTGGTCCCATTGCAATCTCAAATTACCTGCAATCCTTTTACCTGGGCCCATTTAAACTTGCCATAAATGGAGAGCAAATGGGCTGAGTCACTGGTGATGTCAAACAGAGCTGTGAAAGTGGTTCGCGACGGAGAGGGAGAAGGAACTTTCAGCTCAATGTTAAGATAGATGTAAAATGTATGTACATTGATACCTTGGAAGTTGAACAGAATCCATTCCGGAAGTCAGTTCGACTTCCGAAATGTTTGACTTCCAAAATGCAGCTTCTGATTGGCTGCAGAAAGCTCCTGCAGCCAATCAGAAGCCTCAGAAGCCTCACCAGACGTTCAGCTTCCAAAAGAATGTTCAAAAACCAGAACACTGACTTCCAGTTTTCATTCGTTTGGGAGCTGGAACGTTCGACTCCCAAGGCGTTCGGGAACTGAGATATAGACTGTATCTGCCTGTGGACTGGGCTATCACTTGAGCAGAAAGGTTTTTCTCTCCTCCCCCCACCCAAGAAAGGGCCCTTCAGGTGTAGAGCTCAAAAGGTATGCCTGAAAGAGAACAGAAATTCATAGGCTGGGGTGCATCTTCTTCCGATGCTTCCGATGTACCCTTAGGAAGAAAGGAGAAAAGCATGTCCGGGGTGGGGGGAGGGGAAAGACCACAGCCCAGTCGACCACTTCATCCGTTGCTGACCTGTGACAGCCTCCACTGGCAGGGGGCCATAGCGCTTGCCGCGGTAAAGTCCGTAGAGGTTAAAGGTGTATCTGTGGGAGGGCTCCAGGTTGGGGACAGTGAGCGTGCGGGAAGCCCCATCCACGGGCAACGCCTGTGGCCTCCCATCTGCATCTTCGTACTCCACTAGAAAGGAGTCAAAATTCCCAGTTGGGACGGTCCAGGAGAGACGGGCCGAGTCACTGGTGATGTCAGAAACGGACAGCTGGTCTAGGTTGAGCTGAACGACGGTGACCTTTTCTGTGGTGGCCTTTGGTGGCATTCCTACAGCAGCTAAAACAGAGAGAAAGTATAACCCTATAGCGGTGGGACAAGATGTAGGGCAGGGGTGGGGGACTCTGTTAACAGCCTGAGGGATGCATTCCCTTCAGGTCAACCTCTGAAAGTCCCCAGGCCAATGGTGGGTGTGGCTAGAGGCAAAAGGGGGTGGAGCAATGGATGTCAATGTTGCCTTTGTAAAGTAGGCTATTTTCTGCATACAGTCAGATATGTCTCTTTATCCCCCACCCAAGCAAGCAAGAGCAATATCAGAGTCCAAGGACACATTCCAAGTCAGGCCAAAAGACTTGGGTGCAAAGCAAGGCTTGTGAGGGGTGTGTTCAGTGGATCATTCCAAGGGCCAGACTGAGATGCCTGGAAGGCTACTTATGGCTCCCAGGCCAAATGAGGTTCCCTAACCCATAGAGAGCTAAACTATATGTGAAAGGGGCATTGCATGCTAGTAGGCACAGACAAAGCAGTCAGCTTTGGTTTCTCACAATTTCTCCGTTTTCTAGTTTTGGGTTCACATTCATGCCCATAGCCAGGATGTTTTATTAGGGGGGCAGAAGCGATGGTCAATAATTCTATTGTTTTACTTGATCTGGGGGGCAGCTGCCCCGCCTTGTCTACACCTATGTTCAGCTTGTTGCATTTCTGCAGCAGTTTTAAATTGATTTGGGGTTTTTTCGGATTTTTAAAAATAAGAGACTATGAAAATTTAGCTGCAGATATCTTACACCATGGGAGACAGAGGCCCTTTAAGAGCCATGGCTTCCCTGCTAAGAAAATCCTAGGATTTCTGGTTCGTTAAGGGAGATGAGAGTTGTAAGGAGACCCTTAGCAAACCAGACTTTGAAACCTAGAAAGTCTCATAGCCATCTCAAATTTCTACAATCCTTTTACGTAGGCCCCTTCAAACTTGCCATAAGCGGAGGGCAAATGGGCTGAGTCACTGGTGATGTCAAACAGGGCTGTGAAAGTGGTTTGCGATGGAGAGAGAGAAGGAACTTTCAGCTCAATGTTAAGATAAATGTAAAAAGTAAGTATCTGCTTGTGGCCAGGCTATCACTCGAGCAGGGAGGTTTCTCTCTACTCCCGCCACCCGAGAAAGGCCCTTTAGGTGTACAGCTCAAAAGATATGCCTGAAAGAGAACAGAGATTCATAGGCTGGGATGCATCTATTTCCAATGCTGCAGATGCGCCCTGAGGAAGAAAGGACAAAAGTTTGCCCGGGGGGAGGTGAAAGACCACAGCCCAGTCGGCCAGTTCATCCGCTGCTGACCTGTGACAGCCTCCACTGGCAGGGGGCCATAGCGCTTGCCACGGTAAAGTCCGTAGAGGTTAAAGGTGTATCTGTGGGAGGGCTCCAGGTTGGGGACAGTGAGCGTGCGGGAAGCCCCATCCACGGGCAACGCCAGCGGCCTCCCATCTGCATCTTCGTACTCCACTAGAAAGGAGTCAAAATTCCCAGTTGGGACGGTCCAGGAGAGACGGGCCGAGTCACTGGTGATGTCAGAAACGGACAGCTGGTCCAGGCTGAGCTGAACGACGGTGACCTTTTCTGTGGTGGCCTTTGGTGGTGTTCCTACAGCAGCTAAAACAGAGAGAAAGTGTAACCCCACTGGGACGAGACGTAGGGCAGGGGTGGGCGGCTCTGTTACCAGCCTGAGGGATGCATTCCCTTCAGGTCAACCTCCGAAAGTCCCCAGGCCAATGGTGGGTGTGGCTAGAGGCAAAAGCGGGTGGAGCCATGAATGTCAATGTTGCCTTTGTAAAGTAGGTTGTTTTCTGCATGCACTCAGACATGTCTATCACCCAAGCCAGCAAGCAAGTGCAGTATCAGAGTCCAAGGACACAATCCAAGTCAGGCCAAAAGACTAAAGCAAGACTTGTGAGGGGTGTGTCCAGCGGATAGTTCCAAGGGGCAAGATTAAGATGCCTGGAGGGCCGCATATGGCTCCCAGCCAAATGAGGTTTCCTAACCCATAGAAAGCTAAATTATGTGCGAAAGGGGCAATGCATGCTGGTAGGCATGGACAAAGCAGTCATTTCTGGTTCTTCCCGGTTTCTCCTTTTTCTAGTTTCGGGTTTAGCTTGTTGCATTTCTGCCACAGTTTAAACTTTACCTTATTTTTAAAAAGAAAATAAGGCACAATGAAAATTCAGCTACAAATACGTTACACCGCTGGCGACTGAGGCCCAGTGTCAGAGTCATGGCTTCCCTGCTAAAGGAATCCTGGGATTTGTAGTTTGTTAACGGAGTTTAGAGTTGCTAGGAGAAGTTTAACAAGCTAGATTTTCCTGGTCCACAGTTCTCCAGCAATTGTGGCCGGGATGAAGAACCCAATGCCTTCCAGTTGTTGTTGGACTACAACTCGTATCATCCCAGGCCATCAACCATGCTGGCTGGGCCTGATGGGACCTGGGGTCCAAAAACATCTGGAGGGTTATAGGATCTCCATCACTAGTCAGACAAAATCTCTGATCACCTGCTCCATCTTCCTTTTTTATACGGCGTGGAGGTGTCCAATATTAAACCTGGGACCGTTTACATGCAAAATTGTGGAGCGACATGGTGCAAAATTGTGGAGCGACATGGTGCTTATATTTAAGGAAGCAAGACTATGCAAGTCCCCATGCCACCTCAAATTTTCTACAATCTGTCTCCACAGGCCCCTTCAAACCTGCCATAAATGTAGTGCAAATGGGGCTGGGGAAATGGTTTGCGACGGAAGGGGAGAAGGAACTTTCAGCTCAATGTTACGATGAATGTAAAAAGTAAGTATCTGCTTGTGGCCAGGCTATCACTCGAGCAGAGAAGTTTTTCTCTCCTCCCGTCACCCGAGAAAAGCCCTTCAGGTGCAGAGCTCAAAAGGTATGCCTGAAAGAGAACAGGAATTCATAGGCTGGGGTGCATCTTCTTCCAATGCTGCAGATGTGCCCTGAGGAAGAAAGGACAAAAGCCTGTCCACGGCAGGGGGAGGGGAGAGACCACAGCCCAGTCGACCACTTCATCCGTTGCTGACCTGTCACAGCCTCCACTGGCAGAGGGCCATAGCGCTTGCCGCGGTAAAGTCCGTAGAGGTTAAACGTGTATCTGTGGGAGGGCTCCAGGTTGGGGACAGTGAGTGTGCGGGAAGCCCCATCCACGGGCAACGCCTGCGGCCTCCCATCTGCATCTTCGTACTCCACTAGAAAGGAGTCAAAATTCCCAGTTGGGACGATCCAGGAGAGACGGGCCGAGTTACTGGTGATGTCAGAAACAGACAGCTGGTCCAGGCTGAGCTGAACGACGGTGACCTTTTCTGTGGTGGCCCCTGGTGGCGTTCCTACAGCAGCTAAAACAGAGAGAAAGTGTAACCCCATAGCGGTGGGACGAGACATAGGGCAGGGGTGGGGGACTCTGTTACCAACCTGAGGGAAGCATTCCCTTCAGGTCAACCTCTGAAAGTACCCAGGCTGGTGGGTGTGGTTAGAGGCAAATGGAGGTGGAGCCATGAATGTCAATGTTGCCTTTGTAAAGTAGGCCATTTTCTGCATACAGTCAGACACGTCTCTCTATCCCCCACTGAAGCAAGCAAGAGCAATATCAGAGTCCAAGGACACATTCCAAGTCAGGCCAAAAGACTTAGCTGCAAAGCAAGGCTTGTGAGAGGTGTGTCCTGAAGGGAGGGTGTGTGTCCAAGGGCCAGACTGAGATGCCTGGAGGGCCACTTATGGCTCCCAGACCAAATGAGATTCCCCAACCCTGAGTGAGAGCTAAACTACTACTACTATTAAAATTTGTATACTGCACTTCACCCATAGATCTCAGGGCAGTTCACAACATAAAAAATACAACGTTCCCCCAGCAGACACATTTTTGGATGTATTGCTTGGCTGGAGAATTGCATTGTGAACCCTGGAGAAGTACAAATCTCGAAGAATGGTTGTGTTTGGGTCTGCTTGTTGCTTTGGAGAGTGTGAATTGGGGAGATTTACTGAGAAGTGCAAAATGATTCAATTTGGTCCCCCATCAATTTGGGTGCTTCTCCTCTCTGCTACACTGACTATGTAACTGTATCTTTGAGGGATGTGCAGAAAGGTACAGATGGATCAACAGCAGTGGGAAAGAGAAGAGTAAAAGACAAATAGGAAAGAGAAGAACAGATACAATGTCTGGAAGAGGTTCGTGTCAACACAGCTACTGTAAAATCAGAGAGAAAGCAATAGCTTAGAATGTTAGGTGGCCACTTCTGACACCGCTGCTGCTTCCTGAGGAAAGAAGGAAATTAATAAGGAGGGTGGGAATTCTGAAACACCTCCAGGCAAGGAGGCACATGAAGAAGGGCCTCAGATGATGGTCACAGGATCCAGGGTGGTTTGGACAGTCCCACGTGGACTCAGCTACCATCTTTGCATGAAATGACACAGAAAGTAGATCCCAGAAAAGGGCCCCAGCTCATCAAGTGAAGCTGACCTGTGGTGGCATCTGTGGAGATGGGGCCGTGGCGCTTGCGGCCAGTGAGTCCGTAAAGGTTGAACTTGTATCTGCGGGAAGGAACCAGATTAGGGACGATGGTCTCGCGGAAGGGTCCCTCCACTGGGATTGCCTGAGGTTTGCCCTCAGCGTCCTTGTACTGGATCAGGAAAGAGTCAAAGTTCCCCGTGGGGACAGTCCAGGAGAGCCGGATGGAATCGCTGGTGGCATCAGACGCAGAGAGCTCTCCCAGGCTGGGAGGAGTTGGGTGTTCCTGTGATGAAGCTGGAGGAACAGAAAGAAGTAGATGCTGCTGAACAAATGCTCTCCTGGGTGGGCAGTTTAGAAGATAAACGAACTGAGGAGGGCACATATTATAGAAGTTTATAAGAATGTGGAGGAAGTGGTTAGATAACTTTTTCTCATTGTCGCAACGGGATAGTCAAATCTGTCATGCTCTGTATTTTGTATATTTGCATTTTGATGTTTTGAGTGTTTATTGTAAACTGCTTTTGGCACAGCTCATTGTGGGAAAGCATTATATACTATAAGTAAACTTAAGCAAGCAATCACTAAATCAATCAGCCTCGCATTACTCAAACTTCTAGTGTTGTTTTAAGTCACATTTCTCTTGTCAATGTTTCTTCATTCTGACTTCCATGCTGTGGCCACTGGTGCTGTGCAACCTGCCTTCTGTTCCCTTAACTTCCCTGCCCTGACTTAATGAAAATCCAGGATTGTGATGAGGGTCTATCTATTCTCCAATGGGGGCTTCGCTCTGATTTCATGTGAATCTAGAATTTTGATGTGGCTCTATAAATCCCACAAAGGGAGCTGTGAAATGATAGCCTGGCATCTTTATCTATACAGGAAGATGTAATATATGCATTTATATGCAATCTTTAGTATATTCATTTTTGTACACATTACTCACCTGGAGAACTGTATTACAGTGGTACCTCGGGTTAAGTACTTAATTCGTTCCGGAGGTCCGTTCTTAACTTGAAACTGTTCTTAACCTGAAGCACCACTTTAGCTAGTGGGGCCCCCCGTTGCCGCTGCACAATTTCTGTTCTCATCCTGAGGTAAAGTTCTTAACCCAAGGTACTATTTCTGGGTTAGCGGAATCTGTAACCTGAAGCGTCTGTAACCTGAAGCGTATGTAACCTGAAGTACCACTGTACAAGATTTAGGAGAAACACAAATTTCAAAAGACGTGTTTCAGTTTGTGTATAGGTTTGGAAAAAGTGAATTGGGTGGATTTACCAATAAATGCAAAATGTTTCAGTTTTCTCCCCAATCCCTACTCAGAACATACAAGGATGGCGCCTCTCACCCACTACCACACTGATTGAGTAACTGTATCCTGAGAGGAGTCCCTTGGAACCAAGGACTATGAAATCAATGGGAAAGCAATAAATGTGAGTGTTTGGCAGCCACTTCTGACACCGCTGATGCCCTCTGAGAAAACAAGAGAACTAAAACACATCCAGCCAAAATGACTCTTGCTGCTGACCTGTGGTGGCATCTGTGGAGATGGGGCCGAGGCGTTTGCGGCCAGTGAGTCCGTAAAGGTTGAACTTGTATCTGCGGGAAGGAACCAGATTGGGGACGATGGTCTCGCGGAAGGCTCCCTCCACTGGGATTGCTTGAGGTTTGCCTTCAGCGTCCTTGTACTGGATCAGAAAAGAGTCAAAGTTCCCCGTGGGGACAGTCCAGGAGAGACGGACAGAATTGCTGGTGGCATCAGAAGCAGAGAGCTCCCCCAGGCTGGGAGCAATTGAGGGATCCTTTGGAGGTGATGCTGGGGAAACAGATAGTAGTAGAGAGAGAAATCATTTGATCTACCAGGGTGGTTCTCAGGAACATAAGAATCTAGCTTATACTGAGTTGGACTATTGGTCCATCTATTTCAGTAGTATCCAGACTGCCTGCTAGCAGCTCTCCAGGGTATCAGGCAAGAAATCTCTCTCAGCCCTATCTGGAGGTGTTGGAGACTGAATCTGGGACCTTCAGCATACACAGCAGGAGATATACCTCTAAGCTATACCAATGGCCATGTATTATGGCTGGCAAAAGGTCTTTAGAACCTCCCCTTGCTGACCTGTGACTGTGTCAGTAGAAACTGGACCCAGACGCTTGCGACCAGAGACTCCGTAAAGGTTAAACTTGTATCTTCGGGAAGGTACAAGGCTGGAGATGGTGACCTCACGGGAACCTCCATCCACTGGAAGGGCCTGAGGTTTCCCCTCCGCATCCTTGTACTGGACCAGGAAGGAGTCGAAGCTCCCAGTGGGGACAGTCCAGGAGAGACGGACAGAGTCGGTGGTGACGTCCGAGACTGAGAGCTCTCCCAAGCTGGGCTGAGGAGCAGGTGTTGTTGGTAGTGGGGCTGCGAAACAGAGGAGGAAGAGATGAGAATGTACATCTTGACGGATGTGGGAAGGAAGAAATGAGACAGAGGCAGAAGGCCCTCCTTATGAGCTCTGTGACAGCTGGCTGACCTAGAGATGGGTGTTTCATCTCCAGGGCATGCGTAAACCACGTGACATCTGTCAAATTTAATTAAAAGGCCCTTGGAGAGAAGCATCAAAAACAATGATAATAGCTGAAAGAACAAAAATTTAAAAGTTTTAGCTACATTGACTTCCACATCTACCAACCCATGCAGATATCCTCCAAAGCATCCCGAGATCTATAGCTTTCTTGGAGGTACTGTGATTTCCATTCTAAAGATCCCCTACACCTTCACAGAACCACAGCTCCCATGGCTCCTTAGGAATATTGCAATTCCCATGGCTCCTTAATAGAACCACAGTTCCCATGTCTCCTTAGTAGCACTGCAATTTGCATGGCTCATTAGCAGAACGACAGTTCCTGTGTTTCCTTAGAAACGGCTGTGAAATAAGCTTGCTGCTCGTTTAATTTCATCATGGGCAGACATGCACTGTGGGAAAAATCGCAGAACGAATCCTCTGCTCTCGTAGCATCACAGAACGAGATGGCGTTCCAAAGTTTTAGGATTCAGATTGTGGATCCATCATTTTCTGATCTTGCCATCCAAAAAGGAGAAAGAGGACGAATGCTCTGCCAGTTAGAAAAGGCATATACAGTGGTACCTTGGGTTAAGAACTTAATTCGTTCCGGAGGTCCGTTCTTAACCTGAAACTGTTCTTAACCTGAAGCACCGCTTTAGCTAATGGGGCCTCCCGCTGCCACCGGAGCATGATTTCTGTTCTCATCCTGAAGCAAAGTTCTTAACCTGAAGCACTATTTCTGGGTTAGTGGAGTCTGTAACCTGAAGCGTATGTAACCCGAGGTACCACTGTACATGTACTGAATGCTTGTGCTAACCTGTGGTGGCATCAGCTGAGACAGGTCCAAGACGCTGGGGCCCAGAGATTCCATAGAGGAAGAATCTGTATCTTTGGGAAGGAACCAAATTAGGAACAATGGCCTCGTGGGAATGTTGGTCTACGGTCAGGGCTTGGTCATTGCCCTCGGGGTCCTTGTACTGGAGAAAGAAGGAGTCAAAGCTGCCAGTGGGGACACTCCATGTGAGACGGACAGAGTTGCTGGTGGCATCCGAGACTAAGAGGTCACCAAGGACAGGTTCCGGCTCAGGCTCAGGTACAGGCTCTTCGTCCCGTGATGCTGTTATGGGGAAGCAAGACGAAATATAATAAAAGGCAGCAGCAGCAGCCCTCAATAGGCCTAGTGACCCACACATAATGTTTCTAAGCCTGCGCTCTCATTCCTGCTTTCCTGGTCATGGCGGGAAAAGCAGCTGAATATCTAGGACTGCGCTATAAAATGCACCTTGAATGTCAGCCCTTGTTCTGGGTGTTTATTTTTGTTTCGCCTGTTGAAAAGGCCACAGGAGTGCTTATGTGGATAGGTGGCACCCATCGTTTCATATAATCCAAGGTCATTGGTTTTTAAAAGAGCACTTTCAGCACACAAAACTTATGCAGGGCTTCGGAGAAGGTGAAAGCATGTTACAGCACAATCCTAAATGAGTCTTACTCAGAATTCAAAGGGGCTTACGCCCAGATAAGTGGGGCAACAGCCACTCTTGTCCTCTCATTGTCTAGATGCAAAGACAGATTGAATTCTGTGTACAATTGCGTCCTGGGTGAAGCAATAAATGAAACACTACGCCCTGGAAAAGGAAATGGGTTAGAGTGGGGGAAAGACGCCACTTCCTGCAAACACAATACTATAGTTCATGACAGGCCTTCTGCTGACCTGTGGTGACATCTGCCGTGGCTGGGCCGAGACGTTTGCGACCGGAGATGCCGTAGAGATTGAACCTGTATTTGCGGGAAGGAGCCAGGCTAGGGATGGTGACTTCGCGGGAGTCCCCCTCCATGGGCAGCACTTGGGGTCTGCCCTCAGCATCCTTGTACTGGACCAGGAAGGAATCAAATCTCCCAGAGGGGACACTCCAGGAGAGGCGGACAGAACTGCTGGTGATATCTGAGGCGGAGAGTTCTCCCAGGCCGGGTGGAGCTGTCACTTCTCTCTCAGGCTTCTTTTCTGGGGCTGGGACTTTGCCTAGAGAGCGAAGAAGCAAAGAATTATTTTTTTTAAGGGAGTGCTGGGACTGAGCTAAGGATGGATCTGCCAGTGTCAATTTTTCTGAGTTTCTCGTTTTTCCAGGTTTCATATTTCCACATCAACTTGCAAAAAAAATAAATAAAAAAATCAGCATTTTTGTGCATTTCCCTCCTAATATTCACATTGTTGCATGCAATTTTGCACAAGACATACATCAGAGACATTTTGGTAACAATAGACTAACAAGTCTAATAAATTATTATTATTATTATTATTATTATTATTATTATTATTATTATTTTAAAGCAATCTCCTCAAAGTGATTGCCATATAAGAAAATTAAAAACAGTTAAATACACAAATACAGCAAATAAATTTAAAACAAGACAAAAACCCTAACAGGACTTGTGGTATAGACCAGGCACGTCCAACAGGTAGATCATGATCTACTGGTAGATCACTGGACATCTGCAGTAGATCACTAGTAGATCATTGGCTCCCCCCAAAGAAGCTGAACAACTGTGGCTCCCCTAAAAAAAGCTCAACATTTTACCTCCTGCCTGGAAAAAAACTCAACAACTTTGACCCGAACCCCAAAAAAGGGGGTAGATCACTGCCAGTTTTTAACTCTGTGAGTATATTGCAGTCTCTTGGGAGTTGGCCACCCCTGGTATAGACGATTTATCCATCTAGGAAAGGCTGTCAGAACAAAGATGTCTTCAGTTGTTTATGGAAAATGTTGATGGGGCACCTGTCGTATCTCAACAGTAATGCTATTCCACTGAAAAAGTGGAGCTGCACTAGAAGCCTTGCTCCGAGTTACTGAGTTCTTGTTGTGATAAATTGCAAGCAATATCCCCTTGAATCATAGAATCATAGAGTTGGAGGGGACCACTAGGATCATCTAGTCCAACCCCCTACAATGCAGAAATCTTTTGCCCAACGTGGGGCTCAGACCCACGACCCTGAGATTAAGCGTCTTGTGCTCTACCAACTGAGCTATCCCACAGGGCTAAATCAATGCATTTTATATGTTATTCCCATCTTTGTTCACACTTGGCCTCGTATACAATTTTTTTTGGACACATGATTTGGAGAACCGCCTCACAAAATTCAGAGAAGTGCATATTTTGAAAGATAGTTGTGCTTCATTTTGTATATATAAGTCAGAATAAGTTGCGTAAAATGTGATGTGAATCATATTTCTCTCCCCCCCCCCCCATGTTCTGAGCTGTGCTATTTTTTATAATGGTTTATACATTATGTATTTGCAGATATTTATTTTTTGTGTTAATAGAAGTGTAGCAAATAAGACCAAAAGGAGGATGAGCAGAGCTATGCTGAAAGATAACCAGAGCAATAAAGTTTGTCAGGGTGGGACTAGGAAGAACTGGGCCGGAGCTGTAGAGAAATAGTGATTAAAGCAAAATTTTGTGAAATTTGCCGACTTATTCCAGAAGAAGCAACTCTGGGAAATGGTACACGATAGGAACATTATCTTATCTCCTCAGCAAATTTTCCTTATGCTTTGACGTGCTTTCGAACTGCTAAGTTGGCAGGATGTTATGGAATAGGACACCCCTATTTTCATCGGGATAATGTTGGAGGGCATGATGAATTTTGTGAGGAGGAAACTGTCTTTAGAGTTTGGATATAAACAGAAAGTTGGAGAGCTGAGCTCAGATGATGATGATGATGAAAATTTATTATTATATGCCGCTCATCCGACTGGATTGCCCTAGCCACTTTGGGTGGCTTCCAACAAATTAAAAAATATCAAGCACAGTAAAAAACCAAACATTAAAAACTTCCCTATACAGGGCTGCCTTCAGATGTCTTGTAAAAGTCAGATAGTATTTCCTTGACATCTAACACTCCCAGGGCCACAAGTGTTCGATTCAGACCACAGGCTTGGCCTGAAAGGGGTTTCTGTTGCCCCAGTGTAATAACTTTGAGTCATAAAAATTCCATTCCTGCCTTTTGGTCAGAGCTTCTTCACAGATACAGCTGTATTCTGCTGCCCACACCCTTGGGCCTAGAAGAGGTACTTTGTCCTCAGCTTACTTTTTCTTTGGCCAAACCATTTTGCCAACTCATCAGCGCCATGTTTACTTGGGAGTAAATCCCATGGAACTCAGTAGGGCTTACTATAGATTAGGCATACATGGGACATGGACAATTTCTCTCTGATTCCTCCCTCCTCCTGGATATTTGTTTTTTTTAAAGCAACACCATGATGGGATAGTTTTTAAACCTTTGGGCCTGCTTTCAAGTAAAACATCTCTGGGCTTTTACAAGACATTTCTATCTGGAAAAGGAAACAAAGAAATCTAAATGCAACTAAAGTCTCCCTGTGCATTCCAGGTTCAAAACCAGGACTGACTGGAATGGTACAGTTTGACTTTGTGTTTTTAACACACCTGGCTTCTATCACTGTCCTTTTGTGGGAGGCGTACGATTAACACAGCACCTATTGACTAAAATAAGCTTCTTGAGGGAAATGATCCGCCCACCCTGTAAAAATGTGTACTGGTTCTATAAGACTGAGCGGCAACAGAGGCAGCCATTTTGATGGTGGCAGCCATTTTGAATTTCCTGAAATCCAGTAAGCACTCCAGAGCAGGGAATGAAATAGAAATGAAATGGCATTCTCTCTCTCTCTCTCTCAACGGTTGGATATTCAAGGAGGAAGTGCTTCCTTCCACAGGGCAGAGTTAAACAGTGGCATTTGTTAACACAGGGTGTAGCAGTGGCTGCCAACCTGGACGGCTTTAAAGAGGGGATTAGACAGATTCATGGAAAACAAAAATATCAGGACCTATTTGTAATATTGGCTATATGCTGTCTCTAAAATCAAAAGTGGTACATCTCTGAATGCATAGGTGCCAACCCCCTGGGTGCCTGAGCACCCACAAAATTCCTCATGAATTTTGCTGGGCACCCACAAATTTCAGTGCCAGGGCCATGCATTCTGCATAGCACCCATGGTCCAATCCAGCAGACAGGCTCTTACATTCTTAATCCTGTGCTCAGTACCACATATTAGGTGTCTGTGTTTCTGCAGAATCACGGACCTGGATAAAGTTAGGAAGGCCTGGAAATTACATGAGCATTTCAAAAGCAGCAGAGATTCCAGCAGATTAGGCTGCCTTGAATTAATGTTTGCACGTTTTACAAATCTGAGACAGGATGGAATTCAGGCCCCAAATATTACTTCTTAAAATTTAGAAATGTTTATGCTTTCTTTTTTTGACTTCTGACCGTGAAGATCGGTTTATAAAACTGAAGTATTGTCAATTACTTTGTAGATAATAATATGCCAATTCAAATGCACTTTTAAAAGAAAGAAAAACAGATGGATCCAACGGTCTGCATAACTGGGAGCGTTGGAATACGTAATTTGTGGGAGAGAGAAATTTCAGCGCAACAATTTATAATGTAATCATCATCAATCTGATGCAACAAAATTGGCAAGGCATGGTTATAATTGTTGGAAAATCTGCCTCATTTGTTTCTGCACAGAAATAACATTGCCTCTGGTGAGTATCTGGCTTTGACTTTTCTTTTTTAAAAGGTATATAAGCAAATGGGACCTGCAATGAAATGTGGTGTGGAGTGTCCCGGCATGGATTATTCTGCAAGGGGCATGGTTAGCTGGTCAGCCGGCCGGCCAGCCAGCCATCTACTCCCCTTCTGGAATAATCCATTCCCTTCCCTTTCCTACACAATTTTCTATTTAGCCCCTGCCCAATAGTTAGCATTCTATGGATTGTATCCAACTAAATTCTACTCAGAGTAGACTCACTGAAATCAATAAACCTAGATTAGTTATGTTTCTTAACTTCAATGGTTCAACTCTGAGTATAATTAGCATTAGCTACAACCAAAACTGTTCTCGTTGGGCTGTTTTCGAGTTCCCCCATATGTTCCCCCCCCCCACTAATAACTTTTTGTGAGGTTACTTCTGCAAACCTTGCCACGTCCCTCTTTTGCATGGACGGCACTGTTTGGGCTGCAAAAGCAATGACACTCATACCTGAAGGGAAGGTTACTGCTTATTTAATTTATAAATTTATAAATTTCAGCCCCTGGTGTTCCCCCTGAAGGAGTCCAGGATAGTGATGGCGACTTATTTTTGCAAGCCAATTTGATTTAGGATTTGCTCGGCCACCCCCTACTCCAAACTCATTTCAACTCTAAAAATCAAGAAGCATGCCAACCAACATTCTGGAGAGACATCGCTCACCTGTAACCATCTCTGTGGAAACAGGGCCATGTCTCTTGCGGCCTACGAGTCCATAAAGACTGAACTTGTACTTCCGGGAAGGCGCTAGGTCATAGATGGTGACCTCCTGGGATCCTCCGTCCACGGGCAGACTCTTCGGCTTGCCCTCAGCATCTTTATACTGGATCAAGAAGGAGTCAAAGGTCCCCGTGGGGATGTCCCAGGACAGGCGGGCAGAGTTCTCTTTGATGTCCGAGACGGAGAGCTGCCCCAAAGTGGGCTTCTCCAGGGCTGGTGCCGGGGCTGAAAAATGAACAAGAGGAGGAGAGGATGATGGCTGCCGAACTCTTAAGAAGAAAAGAAGTAAGCGGATGGGAGAAAATACAACTATCCTAATCCCCAAGTATTTTTATTTTATTTTACCAAGCCTACCCAGAAGAAGTCTATTTTATTTCTGCAGTTTTTAATTCTTGCTGGTTTTAATACTGTTTCGTGATCTGTGTTCTATCTTACACAACCGAGTCTAGTGCCACCTAATGACCAAACTGTATAAGGACACTATCCATGAGCCCAGCCAAGAGCAACTTGGCTACAGACCAGTCCCTCCTCAGGACTGAAGAAGTTTATTTCACGGTAGGTTTTCGGTTGCATTCATTAATTCATTGATTTCCAGATTTCTACACCACTATATTTTCAGAAAACTACCCAAGCGGTGTCTCTAGGAGCCAGTGATGGCCGCCAGCTTGAATGGCTTTAAAAGAGGATTAGACAAATTCATGGAAGCAAGGCAATAATAATAATGATAATAATAATGATAATTATTATTATTTATACCCTGCCCATCTGGCTGGGTTTCCCCAGCCACTCTGGGAGGCTATCAACGGCTATCAACAGCTGTTAGCCATGATGGCTGTGCTCTGCCTCTCTCTGCCTCTGAATGTGAGTTACTGGAAATCGAAGGTAGGCAGAGTCCTGTTGTGCTCATATCTCACTTTCAGGCTCCCCACAGGCATCCGGTTGGCCACTATGAGAAGAGGATGGATGCTGGACTTGATGGGCCTTTGGTCTGATTCAGCAGGCTCATCTTATGTTCTTCAGTACACAGATATAGAATGTACAACACAGATCATAACACAGCACCGAAGCATTAATAATGAGAACTGAAAACTGTAGAAATAAAACAGATCAAGGCTGCATGGAAACAAGGGAGAAACGTGCTAAGAGGAAGGGACGCTTGGCAAATCCACACCGTGATCAACTCCCACCCAGGAACCAATATCCCCACTGTGGAAGGACGTGTGGATCCAGAATTGGCCTCCACAGTCACTTACGGACTCATTGTTAAAACCGTGTTTAGGGAAGACAATCTTACTCGGTCTACGAGTGATCGCCGAAGAAGAAGGAGAAGAAGAAGAATAAATATTGAAAGCACATCATGTCCCCCAAGACGCCTGGGAAATGTATAAGGCTGTTGGGAATTATAGCTCTGTGAGGGTGTACTATAGTTCCCAGAATACTGGGGGTGTGGAGATGTGCTTTAAACGTAGGGTGTGTGCACAGCCTAATTTGGGAAGGAGTTGGGAGGAAAGGGAGGTTAGCAATATAACACTGAAAGAACACGGGCACGTTGGGGCTTGATTCACTTTGATGGGAAGAGGATTCCAGGAAACTGGTGCTGCAATGCTAAAAGCAGGTGCTCAAGTCACAGCACACCACTGCAAGGGTGTGTGTGGCACCATCCTTCATCACACGCAAGTGATCCCAGGGCAGTTTTCCATCATATTAAAAAATACAAAACCAAAATACAGTATATGAAACATAACTAATGACTGCAGCAGTATAGAGGCTAATCAGCATGGCAACTCTTGCTAGGTAACCCTCTAGAATGGTTGTGGGGACCGCCTTCCCTTACGTCTTAGGATTCAGTGTTGCCCGACTCCCATGCCATACCCAGAAAGCAGCTCATGATAAATAACCGCCAACATCTCAGAATCCTGCAAAATGGAATGGGGGGGGGGAATGGTGTTTATCACACCAGAACGGAGAAGCGGGCTGCTGAACCCCAAAATATGTGTCTGGAAGAAATATGGGAGTTAGTGGGTTAGAAAACTTCCTGGTTTGTGTCAGAAATATTATAAGAGGTGTTATGAAGTCATCTTTGTGCAGGTTCTGAAACAAAGTAAAGGAGGCCTAGAGAAAAGAAAGGTGATCAAATATAGCTGGGTAAATGAGGGTTGTGGCTCATGCCTAGACCATCTCTTCTAAATGGAGAAGGTCCTTGGTTCGCTCCCTTGCATGGCTGGGATTGCCCACTGAAACCCTGGCGAGCTATTGCAAGTCAGTGTAGGCAATACTGAGCCAGACGGAGCCATGACTCTGCATATGGCAGCGTCCTCAATTCGGGGAGCCCAGAGCGATGTACCTGTGGATGTCTTTGTAGTTAGAGGAGGATTGTAGCTCCCATCAGGTTTCTCCCCACTTAACTCCAGTTCGTACTCCGTTCTGGGGGTCAAACCCATCACGGTGACGCTTCTCTCTGTCCCCGGTACTCTGATTTCCCCTGGTGGGGCACTGGATTTGGGGTCCCTGTACTGAAGGGAAAAGCTGCGGAAGGAACTGGGTGGGGCCGACCAAGTCACACGGAGACTGTCCGGAGAGATGTCCGTCACAGTCAGGTCCCGCAGTGGCACTTCAGGGCTTTTTGTGGTGAGTCTAGGGAAAGTTTGGGTCTTGGCAGCTGAAGGAGATCCTGGAGCTGAAGAAAGAGAGATGTTGGGTGAGAAAATTGCAACCTCTTCTCCTCCTCCCTGGCTTTACTCCAACTAGCATACCTCCCCATTCCCTGGGCATGGAATAAGGAGTGAAAGGCATATTGACTACTGTAGTGTACTCAATGGCAGTGGGCTGCCCTTGAAGGCTATGTGATGGCTTTAGCTAGTAAAGAATGTGGCAGTCCATATACTTAGGGCATGAGTCACTGATAGCACATCTCAAGAGGGCTCCAAGCCCTGTGCTATTTATTTATTTTATTTAACAAAATGTATATACCGCTTTAGGTTTTTTTGTAGGGCTGTGCGTTTTTTGTTTTCTTTTTTTGCAATGAGTGAGAGTATTTACACTATACTCACCCTCCACTTTCACCCTAGACCTAATTTGCCAAGAAAATTTGAATGGGGATAAATTTTATTAAGAATTACATGCCCAAACATAACTTTGTTTTAATTCTAATCAAGAATGCTGATTTTAGGGGAGAGCAGGGGCCAGTTCAATGGAGAAGTATGCTAGCCAAACCTGTATCAGAGCTGGCCCTGTCAAGAAGAGGGGGTGAGAAAAGGGTTGTATCCCACAAAATCATCCCTTTAGCACAAGGACTTCCATCTGTGCAACGGGACTCCCTGTCCCTCCCCAATGGGGGCAAATGAGGCAAATAAGTCCCGATACATGGGCAGAAGTCATTGTGGTACTGGATAGAACCACAATCATTTCCTCTATGGTCTCTTCACCCAGTCAGAGAGAGCACCTGCTTGAAAAAGACACACACGCACACCCCACTCAAATATCCCAGTTAATTTCAAGGTGAGCACATAGAGATGCTGAGCAGTGGATGGTGGGAACAGCAGCTACATGAACTGGTTTGATGGGTGCGTGGTGGAAGCCAACATTGCTGCAAAAGAAAGTGTGTGATTGAGGGAGAAATCTTTCAGCCACACAGAAGCGACATGAAGGCGAGAGCTCAGGACGCCTCCTTCCTCCTTTGCCTGGAGGAAGAATAAAGCAGTTAAACACAAAGGTCTCCAGAGACACTCTTGACCAAGGTCAGCACGCGACTGTAGCTGGGAAAAGGGTGCGCAATGGAAGATAAATAAATAAATCGCATGACAGAGAAGAAGTAGTGCCAAAACAACCTTTCGCAGAAACATAAAGTTCAGTGGAATTTCAAAATTCAAAAGGTGAAAAATTGTGAAGGTGTTTTTTTTGGGGGGGTGTCCCCCCTTTTATTTTAAAGAGAGAACTCTTTGGGTCTTCCTAATAAATGTTCAAGGCATAACCTTAAACTAAATACTTAAAACTAGATACAATAATCTGCCAGTGTGAGGTTGTGTTTAGAGCACTGGTGAGCTAGGGCCTGTTGCTATATTTCAGTCTAACCTACCAAGCAGGGTTGTAGAGGATAAAAGGGAAGGTTTGGACAAAGCTGGTGTTTTAGACAGAAAAGCAGAATAAAAATGCAATGAAATACTTAAATCAAATCCTTCTCAGTCACCCTGTTTTCCTCTCCAAACATCATTTATATTTAGCATCATACTTGACGGGGATCATCATAAACATTTTTATCAAGAAGCCTATAAATACTCCTTTGTTTGCAAGCAAATTCATAGGACAGGGGCTGCCCCTCAAGGCCTTGCTGGACTACAACTTGAATCATCCCGCTGACCAGTGGCCATGTTGGTTGGGGCTCATGGGAGTTGGAGTCCAACCACAACTGTTTTTTGTTTGTTTTGTTTTGTTTTTGGGTTTAGATCCCCTCCAAAGGCTATCGTAGTTTGGTTCACAGACATTCAGACGATCTTGTGGCAACACAGACAAGGAGCAAAGGCAAACACAAGTGACTGTGAGAAGCAGTGTGTAGCACAAAGAAACAGACTGGACAAAATTCTGGGAGCTGCAAGTGATTGCATTATTTGGCTTCAGGAAGAAGATAATTAGCTGGTGGACACTGTGACATTGGCGTGAAGAACGATACGAGTGAGGAAGTCAAGAAAGCTATTGATTAGGAAAAAGAGAAAACAATTAGCAGGCCGCTGTCTGAACGACTTTCTGGAGCAGGGGTGGGGAACCTCAGGCCTGTGAGCAGAATGCGGCCCTCTACCCTCCTCTATCCGGCCCTCAGAACTTTCCCCAGGCCACAACCTTTGCCAGTCACGCTCCACCCTCTCTTCAAGTCTTTTCAACTAGCTGGAAGGGGTCCTTGAAATGTAATACAATGCCTCTTGCTCGTTTGGTCTGAGAATGGAGACTTAAAAAAAAAGGTTCCCCACTCCTGTTCTGGAGAATGCGAAAGCAACACACGCCTGGATGGCACACAGATTCAGTTTGGTAGCAACATGGACGAGTCATGTGATTGTATGACTAGAGGCAAGAAAGAGATAGCGAACCACCCTGGGAGACGGACGTCCTACCCATCCTGGTACCTGTGGCGGTTATAAAGGAGTATGACTTAGAGGAACGTCCTTTCAGCACCCCGTGGATTTCCACATGGTAGGTTGTGCCAGGATCCAATCCGGTGATAACTGCTCTGGAGGAATCTCCAGGCACCACTAGCTCCCCTACTTCTCCAGTCCCCGTATTGCGGTAGAGGATGACCACGTTGTCAGAGACCCCTCTCACGCTGTCCAGAGACACCTCAATGCTGCCCGAGGAGCTGCCTACTACCGCCGGCTTGGGATGGTCTGAGTGGGAGTAGCTGCCTCTCGCAGTTGGGGATTCTGTTTTCTGAAGCAGATCGTCAGTCTCTCTATCAAGCCGGTCCTTGAAACTCTCTATGACCTCCTCTGGCTTCCGGAGAATTAGATAGATGTATATGTCCCTGGCCACACTCTGTATGGTCCGGTTACCATGGAGAGGGAAGTTTATGGCACGGAGGTAGCTCTCCAAACGCTCGAGGAGGGTCCCATTGTACGGGGAGAGCTTGGTCGAGATATTCTCTGTCATTTTCTTCATGAAAAGCTCCTTAGCTTTGGCGACGTTGGAAGGGCTACGGCCTGGCTGCGGCCTGTTGCCTGGCTGACCAGCTCGAGGCCCAGAGGAGGAAGAGTCAGGCCTTCGGTGGGAAGAAGAGGGGGGTGGTGTGGAGTACTGGCGGACTGGCTGGCTCGGAGCTGGTGCTGGTGGGATCAAAAATTGAGGCAGTTACAGCAAAGGAGGGGATGAAAGTGAGCTGTGGAGATGGGATGCATGGGAAGTGGTAAATCAATTGCAGAGGTAGATCCCCAATTGGTAAGAAAATCCCTGGTTTCCCACCCATCCACCCCTTCCGAAGCAGCCTGCAATGGAGTTGGCACCCTACAGAAGAGACATGCGCTCTGCTGACCCCTTCTTGGGAACCTTCCTTCAAGCTCTCACATCAGCTGCAATAAAAGCGAGGCAGTTAGTTTGAGCTCTCCTCAGAGATCACCCTTGTAGCCCTTTCTGTCTGTTGGATCTCCAGAGACCTGTGAGCTGTCAAGAGAAAGGAAGAACAAGGGGCTGTGGGAGAGAAAGGGATGCCATCTTCTGACCACTGCAGCTGTAGAAAGGAAATCATGAGATGGTAATAATACTTGAATAGAAAAGACGTGGGGAAAAGATTATGGTGAAAGATGAGAGGCACCGAATGTGGGCAGTTTCATATTCATCTTGCAGTTACCCTTTGGCATGCTGTTTCCTACTGGGATGCTGTCTCCAGGACACCCTCCACACCCCGATTCCCCTTAAAGAGTCCACCTTCTCACTGCTGTCATTGCTCGCTGTGGCTGTCCTCCTTGCTCACTGTTCTTGTGCCTGCCTGTGAGGTTGAGACCCAACAAGCAAGCAGGCAGTGGCAGCCTTTGCCCCCCAGGGATGGCTGTTGGGACTGGTGCTCTTTGGGACTAGTAGAGTGGAAGGCAGTGAAGCACAACAGTAGGCAGAGCCAGAGACAATGACAGGCAAGAGCCAGAGCCAATGGAAGGTGGAGCCAACTAGTCCTAGCTTTGCCTCCATCCTCCTTCCTGCTGAGTTTTTCAACAGGCATTGCTGGGCTTAAAGGAGAAGGAAGGTGACAGCCAGGGCTTACCCCCTGGACTGGTTTTAAGAAAGAAGGTGGGCAGTTGGGAACTGGCTGAGGGCAGAATGAGGTTGGTGGGGTGGTGCCTCAGTTGTCTTCCACAGCTGAGCCTCCTTTTCACCACCATTGTTGTCTAGGCTGGGGACAGATGAACATGCAGGCCTTGTCCATGTGGTGTTCTCCTCCAACTGCTGCTATCCTGCACTTTCTCTCCCCTAAACCCAGAGATTCCTCATGCTTTGAAAATCCAAATAGGAGATTGCATAGGGAATCTCCAAATTTAGGGAGAAGAAAATGTGGGACAGCAGAAGTTGGAGGAGAATGAAGTGGGGGAATCAAAGGAGACACAAGAGGTTCACAATCCACATTAAGCTAAGAAGAAGAAGAAGAGTTTGGATTTGATGTCCCGCTTTATCACTACCCAAAGGAGTCTCAAAGCGGCTAACATTCTCCTTTCCCTTCCTCCCCACAACAAACACTCTGTGAGGTGAGTGAGGCTGAGAGACTTCAGAGAAGTGTGACTAGCCCAAGGTCACCCAGCAGCTGCATGTGGAGGAGCGGAGACGCGAACCCGGTTCACCAGATTACGAGGCTACCACTCTTAACCACTACACCACACTGGCTAAGGTATGAGTAGGTCCCTAGTCCTAACAAGGAGTTAGGGAAGTAACAATGGAGAATTGCTGGGCCTAGGCATACATTTGTTGAGTTTTGTTATGACCATTTCTTCCATTTCACCATGAGGTTTTAGTCCTTTAGCAAAATTGGGAGAATTGTAGATTTCGAAAGATAGCTGAGTTTCATTTCATGCACTTACTTCAGAAGCTGAGAATGTCAGCTTCATATTTTAATGCAAACCTGCCTCCTTTGCTCTTCCTGAACCATCCTTCTCCCTTAATCTCTTGCCACGTGGCATAACCTGTGGCCCCATAAGCTCACCTGCTAGCCTCACATGTGGATTGATTTGCATGTTGGGGAAGCAGATGGCATGGACTATGAAACCTGGTCCTGTTTTCCTATCAGTTTTGTACTAGAGGTATCAAGCACTTAGTGGTGGCATCCCATTAGGTTGCAGAACTGAAAACAGGAGTGGGAGTGGGTCAGTCGGAAGAGCGCTCTGCTTCCCTTTGCCTTTGCTGCGTTCTGGATCGCAAACTGTTTCGGGAAGTGTGGATTAGGTAGGTCTGCCTTTCGGTACAAATTGAATCCCTCCCGCATCCCCAGCTGAGACAAGGGGCAACCCTAGCTCCCAGCCGCCACTCCCGGGGCCCTACCAGTTGTGCTGACGATGATGCTGGTGGCTCGGCTGTTCTCGCCGCTCTGGCGGGCGAACATGGTGATGCGTATCGGGTGCTGCTCTCTAGCTCGTCCAGGGTGACGCTTTCAGGCGCTGCAGGCAGTTCCACACGCTTCACAGCCTGGGCGGGCCGAGAGGCAACCAGAGGCACGTAGCTCAGGATGTAGCTGTCAGGGCGAGAGGCTGGCGGTTCCCACTCCAAGGTCATGGAGTTTTCTGTCACCTGCGACGACTGCAGGCCACGCGGAGGAGCTACTCCTGGGAGGGGGGAGAGATGTACATAGCACACAAGGCACAGAAATGAGACCGGAGGACACTTAGAGGCAGCAGGAGCTTGTGCAGAATGAAAGTAGCAGGGAGGGAGCGGAGGCCGAGCGCTTTAAAACTGAGGACTAGAGCCTTGATTTGTTGGCACAGGGTGTAACAGGAAGTACAGGTGTTTAGTTCTATTCCAATCTTAAAACTGGACAGCGTAATGCTGGTGGTCAACAGAAGAGGTTTAAAGACGGTCTCAAGGCAAATCTAAAAAAAATGCAGTATAAACACCAACAATTGAGAAACACTGGCCTGTGAACACTCCAATTGGAGAACAGCCTTTACCAAAGGTGTCATGGACTTTGAAGATGCTCAAACTCAGGACGAAAGGGGGAAACGTACTAAGAGGAAGACATATTTGGCAAAGCTTCACCGTGATCGACTCCCACCCGGAAACCAATGTCCCCACTGTGGAAGGAAGTGTGGATCCAGAATTGGCCTCCACAGTCACTAACGGTCTCACTGTTAAAACCGTGTTGATGGAAGACAATCTTGCTCGGCTACGAGTGATCGCCAAAGAAGAAGAAGTGCAGTTAAGGATATGATATGCAGGGGAAGGTGGTATTAGGAACATAAGAGAAGCTCTGCAGCTGCATCAGGCCAGGGGCCCATCATGCTCTGGCATCATGTTCTCGTGGTGCCAAAAGGAATCCTGAAAGCAGGACCAGCACTTCTCTCGACACTGGAGATTCGGAGGCATGTTGGCTGTGACAGTGGAGGCAGGACATAGCCATTGCGGTTAGCACCACAGAGGCCATTTTAGGATAGCGCAACCAGTTTGGCTGCACTGGGCTCCACGCTGCAGGGGGCGCCACAACAATGCTGCAGAATGGAGCATGAGAGGCAGCAGGGGCGAATTTGGGCACCACACAGGGCACCGCTGAAATGTGACAGCCCAAAGTCCGCCACCGGTAGCCACTCGGAGCCTTTACCCTCCATGAATTAGACTGCATTCGCACACCAGTGCATCCTGTTTCCAAACGTTCCACTATCTGCTAATTTCTGCGTTGTATCTTAGCTTTCACGCAATGAAAAGGCCACTTCTGGAAGTGTAGCAGAATATTGTGGGTGATCTTGGGTGTCCCTGCCTCTCTGCCTATGGATAAAAGGGGAAGAGAGAGAACTGGTATGCCGCCTGGAGCTCCTCGGAGGAAAGGCGGGTTATAAGGTGGTGCAGTGCATTTGGTCAGTGCCTCTGGCTGTTAACCAGAAGGTTGCTGGTTTGAGCCCACCCTGGGAAGAAGGCTGTGGGCAAAAAGCTTCCTGCGTTGCAGGGAGTTGGGCTAGGTGACCCACAAGATCCCTCCCAACTACAATTCTATGATTCTCGTCATCACTGCCCCACAGAGAGTAATTTAGACTAGAGATAGGCACTCCTAAAGCTGAACTGGGAACAGGCTGCAAGGGCGAAGACGGGCAAAAGAGAGAATAATAATAATAATTTATTTATACCCCACTCAGCTGGCTGAGTTTCCCCAGCCACTCTGGGCGGCTCCCAATTGAGTGTTAAAAGAGAAACACACTGCTCCAGGCTACATACGTGTACGCACGGTCTGGGTGACGGGGGTCCGTAGCGTTGCCCCTTTTCTGCCCGGACAGTGACAGTGTATTCCTCTCCCGGCATCAGCCCTCTGCGTTCGAAGCCTGTCTCCGTGCCAGACAGACGTACTGATTCACCTGCCTGCTGATCCCGCTGCAAATCAGAGGAGAACGGCGCTGAGTAACTTTTTGGCACCAGAAGGAAACACCCAATAACGCACCGTCCGGCAGTGCCCGGTTGTGTTTATACACACACACAGATTAAAGCTTTCCAAGTCGGCTGCCACTGCCACATCTAGCAGTAGCGAATGTCATATTTCAACCACACACAGCGTGAGGAGTCCTTTCTGTCGTTCCTGAATCTCTCACAACCTGGGCTCACTGGATGGCGTTCTAGTGTTGAGAGAAACCTCAACACCAGCCCAAGATATTATGCTGCTTGAGACAAAATGGTGCGCCCCTAGCCCACTTACAGAAACCATCCGGAGGAGCAACTGGATCTTACTTCAGCACGAATCATAGGGCAGCACCCTCCACCACAACTGAGGGCAGCAAGCTAGCTGAGTTGTCACAGTGCGAGCTGCATAGCGCAACCAGCTCTGCCCTCCAACATCTCACTGGCGCCCCCCTCAGCATCTGCCTCATGAAGTGGCCGCCTCACTCTAGCTAACATTAGGGCCAGCCCGGATATACCTCTATTCCCCTCCCCCATACACCATTCACAATTTTCCTAGCCAAATGAAAGAAGCCCCCTGCTCAAAAGACCCACCCTTACAATCTCCTGCCTTCCCTGCTTTCTGTGGAAGCACATTGTCCCAAAGAGTGGTTGCTTACTGTGGGCTTCACGTGAATTTCATACGCATCCACAGATACTTCCGGGGCGGCTCCACTCCAAGCGGAAGGACGTCTCATCTCGATTTTCACATGGATGCCAATGGATGGAATCTCTGTTCAGGTCAAGAGCAAGAGAAGAGTGGTGGGTGGCAGAAAAGATTCGAAAACCAAATTTATCTCCAGCCTTCTTTTAACACTCACCCTCCCCAGCGTGTCCCCCAAAAGTGTATTGATCTGAACCTCATCAAGATAAACGCCCTGATGCCTAGGGTGGCTAGAACTTGCATGCCATTTGCATATGCAATTATACAGTATATGTTTAGATGCAAATTTAGGGGGAGGGAATAAAAAATGGAAATACAATATATCACACCACAGCAGGAAAGGCTGTGATCGGGTGGCCAGAGTGCCTGACTATGATAATTAAGATGATTTTATTCATGAATTACTTTCCTTTCAAGGTGATTTATGTACATACGATTAAAAAACATTGTTCTAAAAACAAAACAACAAAACCTCAAGACAGATTTAAAAACCAATATAAAATTAATAATAATAATAATAATAATAATAATAATAATAATAATATTGCTCGTGCTTCACCCCAATATCCCAGGGCGGGTCACAGCAATTTAAAATGAAACATTAAAAGCAGATTTTTTTGAAAAAATGAATGTAAATGTAATGATATTTTTTTTTTAAAAAAGTATAATTATTAAAAAATCACAGTCACAAAAAATAGTGTGGATGAACACCTAAATGAAATAAAAATGAGCACTAAATCAGAGACCTTTTCATACCGGATGTAAAAGCTTGTTCGGTATGCTGCCTACTATTGATGAACAAGATAACTATTCTCTTATGAAAAACAAAGGCTTCCCCTCACTTACACGGTTGGCAAGCATCAGGGTTTGACCTGAAGTGCCCGAGGAACTTGCAAAATAGCCTGAGGGCAAGAGAAGCAAACCCAACACCCTGAGTCACTGGGCCGCAGCGATTTCGTCTTGAGGTGTTTCCTACCTACCTATGGAACAGTCTTCTCCCGAATAACCGTCATGACAGAGGCACACTCCGTTCTGGCACTCCCCGCGACCGCTGCAGTCCTCCGGACATGCCAGTTGCCCGCAGTCTGGCCCGGTATACCCCTTGTGGCAGGCGCACACAGCTCCTTTCAGGCAGCGTCCTCTCTGGTTGCAGTCGTTGGGCAGGCCTTGGTTCCACAGGCTGGGCCCATGAAGCCAGGCTCACAGATGCACCGCCCATTGTGGCACTCTCCCCGCCGGTTGCAGTTGCTGGGGCAGGCCCGGCTTCCGCAGTCGGGCCCGAGTAGCCGGGGTCGCACACGCACTGCCCATCCACACATCGGCCACGACCTTGGCAGTCCTGCGGGCAGGCCGGGTCGGCACAGGAAGGTCCAGAGTAGCCAGGGAAGCAGGCGCAGCGCCCGTCCACACAGCGCCCTTGGTCGTTGCAGTCGTCTGGGCAGGAAGGCGGCTCCTCGCAGCGGGCACCGGAGTAGCCGGGGGCGGCACTGGCAGCGCCCGTTCGCGCACTTGCCACGCTGGGGTCCACCACAGCCACCTGGGCAGGTTGGCTCAGCACAAGTGGCGCCACTCCAGCCTGCCTCGCATTCACACAGGCAGCGGGAGAGGTCGAAGGAACCATGGTTCGAGCACAAGGTGCGGGTGTCTGTCTGGCCTAGGTGAGGGGCAAGAGAAAGTAGGGAAGGGAAGAAGGGGGTCAGGGATTGAAAGCCAGGCCACACCTAAACGTGGGTTTATTTATTTGCACATATAGTCATACCTTGGTTCGCGAATGGAATCCGTTCCAGAAGTCTGTTGGACTTCCGAAATGTTTGAAACCAAGGTGTGGCTTCCGATTGGCTGCAGGAGCTTGCTGCACTCATCAGAAGCCGCGTCGGACGTTCGGGTTCAAAAGAACATTCGCAAACCGTAACACTTCCAGGTTTGTGGCGTTCAGGAGCCAAAATGTTTGAGTCACAAGGCGTTCGAGAACCAAGGTACGACTGTATTGCCTATTTATCACGCCTGTCAGGAGCGAGCCCAGCAGTAAACTACACTGTGCAAGTTGGAGTTAACTCTTTATTAGCAAAAACATGATAGAAGCAGGAGGGTCAGGCACAACAGCTCATCTCCAGTAGGCCTTGCCCTTATGAAAGCAGTTGCTAAGACTGAAGGTTCCTGCCTCCTGCCCAATGTCCCCTCCTCTCCAGGGTTTTTTTCCAAGCAATCAGAGACTGTGCTTGTGTGAAGCCAAACCTCTCCTCTGCCCTTTTCATGCCTCTTCTGGTTCTGGAAGACCAGAGGGGAGGAGAGCTGGGTCACAGCAGGAGTGGGAGACACCTATGACTCTTTACCAGCCTGACTCATCTATGTCTCTTGACTTCCCTCCTGCTTCAACTTCTGCCTCTCATTCTGGACATTGCCACAGAGTCTCCCAGCTCACCAAACCCTGCTACATCTTCAGCTTCTGACACCTCCTCCTCCAGTCTTCTCGACCTCTGACCAACCATCAGTGTCCCACCACCACTCCCCAGGCTTCTGAGTCTTCTTCCCTTGAAGAAACTGTAGTGGCATACAGGGTTCTCTCCCACCCCGCATTTCATCCCCACACGAACCCAGTGAGGTAGGTTTTCCTTGTGCCTCAGGGGGGTCACTTCAGTGCTGCATGCCCTCTCCAAGGCCTTACCTGTACTAGCCTGGGAACTGCTGGTCGCAGGGCAGCAGCCTCCCCCAGCGCTGGCAAGGTGTCCCGCAGTGACCGCACTTCGTTCTCTAGTGCCTGCAGCCGTCTCAAGAGGTCCTGGGTGTCCTCGGTGCCAGGTGGGCACCCACAGGACTGCTGGGGCAGGTTGATGCGGTGAGTGAAGACCACATGCTCCTGGTCTGGCCCTTCCAGTGTGTGCTCGTACAGGCCCCCTCCCCTGGAGGAGCCAGGAGGGCCCAGCGCCTCTTGGGGTGCAGAGGAGGCTCCCTCATCCTCGGTGCCATCTCCCTTCAGCTTTATCGTGTAGATATGAGAGAAAACGGTAGCGTTGGAGGGGATGACCCGGTGGGGCACATGCGCCTCCCAAGAGGTCCCCAGCCAGAAGAGGAACAGAAGGAAGGGTTGTCTCCCCATGCTCTGGACCTGTGAGGGAAATGGCAACAAAAAAAGATGGATGGATGAGGGCCGACAAAATGGACCTGAAGGTGCATTCAATTGTGTGGAATATTGTATCTGTTTTCCTGATTACGATGGAAGTACTTCTGTCCTATTTTCTAATATTCCTTTCACACTCAGAGAGCTAGCCAGCAACAAATCACAGAGGGTATGTGATGCTAACTCTTTGTTAAGAGAAACAAGGCCTGCTCACGGTTGCCTGGCCTAATGAGCACAGCAATTCTTCTCAGTAGTTTTTGTCCCTATGAGGCAGTTGTGGAGGCTGAAGATCTCCTCCTTCCCACAGTTCCATAAGTCTGTTCCTCCCAGGTCTATACCAAGCAATCTGAGACCACGCCAGCACACCTGTCTCTGCTCCTCCCTCTTCATATCTCTTCTGGTCCTGGGAGACCAGGGGGGAGGGGAGCTGGTCACAGCAGGAGGGGGAGACCTGTTTCAGTTTTGTTAATATTGGTTTTGGAAAAAAGTGAATTGGGTGGATTTACCAATAAAATGGCAAAAAATGTTTCAGGTTTTCTCCAATCCCTACTCAGAACATACAATGGATGGCAGCCTCTCAACCCACTACCACACATGATTGAGTAACTGTATCCTGAGAGGAGTCCTCTTGGAACCAAGGACTATGAAATCAATGGGAAAGCAATAAATGTAGTGTTTGGACAGCCACTTCTGAACCGCTGAATGCCCTCTGAGAAAACAAGAGAACTAAAAACACAATCAGCAACAAAATGATCTTGCTGCTGAACCT